TACGCTTAGTAGCTTTATATTATCCTGGACTAAAAGTTATGACAACATTTGTTACCTAAAATAATCTTGAAATGGCGCAGTGATCAAAACAAGAATCATTGCACGGTGCAAAATAAAAAATAAAAAACCGCAAAAACTTTGCTTCCAACCCCTCCATAATTAAGAGCTTCCACTAAGCCAGCTGTCAGCTAGCCATAAACCCTGACCCTTGTCGCAGGTGTGCCGCGATTAGGTTTCCGCGAACACAAACATGCACAACATAGTAAACGAATAGTTGAGTGGCTCATAAGTTTTGGGAGATTAAATTACCGGAGGCGTAGCGGCTTTTAATGGGGCCATTATTTATGCAAAAAAGAATTTGTAAAAGGTAAAGTACAGTAAGATTTCAGAAAGGAAAAGTAGGTTAGACTTAGTAGGCTTAGGCTTAGAGTTAATAGGCTTAGGTTTAGTAGGCTTAGGTTTCGAGGCTAAGGCTTAGTATTCTTCGGCTTAGACTTAGTAGGCTTAGGCTTAGTAGGCTTAGATTTAGGGTTAGGCTTAGGCTTAAGCTTAGTAGGCTTAGATTTAGGGTTAGGCTTAAGCTTAAGCTTAATAGGCTTACGCTTAGTAGGCTTAGGCTTAGTAGGCTCATGCTTAGTAGGCTTATCCTTAGTAGGCGTAGGCTTAGTAGACTTAAACTTAGTAGGCTTATCATTAAGCTTGTTAGGACCTGTTAGGATGAGTCTTAGTAGGCTTAGGCTTTGTAGGCTTAGGCTTTGTAGGCTTAAGCTTTGTAGGCTTAAGCTTTGTAGGCTTAGGCTTTGTAAACTTAAGCTTAGCAGGCTTTGGCTAAAGCTAGAGCTAAAACAAAAAAGCAACTTTTTTCCTATAAAACCCCTAATCAAAAATGTCATTTCCAAGTGGGATTTAATTGGTTTTTTTGTCATTAAAGGGGGGTTCTGAGCCATTAAACGTTCCAATTCATTAGTTTCGTAGGAAAATGAAAGAAAAATCAAAAGTTTTAAAGGGGTTTTGGAGGATTTAACATATAAGTATGTGATATATAAAAAGGCATTCTTTAAAAATCAAAGAATTGTAAAAACAATTTTGCACCGTGCAACCACTTTTACGGATTGCACTGTGCAGCCATTTTTCAAACACTAGATGTCCCATTATTTTTAAACCAGTCAAAGTAAAAATTGCTTTAATTGTTTTTTAATAGCCTACACTAAGAACAATAGTAATACTTTTTACCTAAAATGTCCCACAAATTGCACTGTGCAAAAAAGACATTTGTTGCACAGTGCAAGAGGATTAAACGTCTGTACGGTCAAATAAAAAGCACGCATTTTCCCCAAAAATACCTTTTTTTAGTTAAAATCGAATTTGAAAAAAATTAAAAATACGAATTTCGAAGTAATTAAAATTTCAGACCCGCAAGCATTAAAATATTATGACGTTTTAAACCTCTTCTTGCGACGGAATTTCTGAATATCGCTCAAGTTCGAATACAAACATAATTAATTTCGATCGTAATCTGCATGAAATCATCGTAAAATGACACATAAAATTTTTTTATTTTGAAATTTTTCATTTAAAAAAATTTTAAATTTAAAAAAAACATGACTCAAACGAAAAAAACGTAAAAACTCTTTACAAAACAAAAAACGGCAAGAAGTTTCATTACAAAACCAAACAAAAAATTATTTTGCACCGTGCAATCAAATAAATAGATTGCACCGTGCAGTAATATTTCAAAAATTAATTGTGCTATTCTTTATAAAAAAAGCAAAATAAAATTTATTTTAAAAGCTTTATAAAGACCTATACTAAAAGTTATGACAACATTTGTTACCTAATATTAATAAAAATAGCACAGTGATTAAAAGAAAAGTTATTGCACGGTGCAAGAAAATTAAGCGACTGCACGGTGCAAAAACTTTTATTAATTGCAACGGACAAAAAAGAAGTTTAAAATATGAAAATTCAATAAAAATAGCAAAAAATTTCTTTACAAAGGAAAAAATTGTAAGAACTTTCTTTACAAGTTGACAAATGGCAACAACGTTCTTTACAAAACTTAAAATAGCAAAACTTCATTAACAAACCAAAAAAGGGCAAAAACTTTCTTTAAAAAATAAAAAACATGACGTAATAGCGCAAAAACTTTGTTTCCAATTGCAAAAAGCCGGTAAATCTTAAATAAGCGGCTAATTAGCAGCCAGCCGGCTGTCTACTTCGTGGCCAAGCCTCTCGTCGCGCACACTTGACCTTGTCGCACGTTTATGTTGTTAAAGACAAGTCCCTCCAGCAGGAAAAAGTTTTTTTTTCCAGCGGACATTTGAGCCGCCAAAAGACAAATAAAAAATGAAAAATTGTAACAATAGACAGCCGGCTTTTAGGGCCGCGTTAGTCGACCATAGCGGATCGGATTCACGCGTTTGATATGAAATTAAGCCAAAAATTTAATTTTTGCAAAAATTAAAAAATTTTTTTTTGTTTTTAAAATTCAAAAAAATCTTTGGAAAGAAAGTATTTGCGGTTTTTTGATTTGTAAATAATGTTCTTGCCATTTTACTTTTAGTAATAAAAGTTCTTGTCATTTTACGCTTTGTAAACAAAGTTCTTGCCATTTTATTTTCCGTAAAGAAAGTTCTTGCAATTTTTGGTTTTGTAAAGAAAGTTCTTGCATTAAGAAAAAGTATCGTATTTTACCACACCCAATCAAGCACCGAGCACCACCCCAGAATAAAGTGTCTTCGAAACATATCAAGAGTGGGTTGTTAATCCGCTAACAGTGCTCTGACCTATAATAACATTGCAAAACAAACAAAAACCCAAAGAGAAGGGGAATTCCGTCAGAAATTTGCATAATTCCTTAAAATAGCACGAGCAAACAAAAAATGGCAAGAACTTTCTTTACAAGACAAAAAATGGCAGAAACTTAGTTTGCAAACGTGCAAACGACAAGAACTTTCTTTACAAAACAAAATCTTTAAAAACTGCTATTGTCATCAATATCAGACTCCAGGTCGTCACCCGAAGCCGTTCCAAAAAATCTGCCAACTATGTTGGTCAGCCGCCCCTGAAGCTGGCAGACACGGACATTCGCGGGCGGCTAAATGCCGTTCAATGCTAGAACAATGCTAGAAAAATGCGGAAAGGTCTGGGCGCCGCAGCTAACCGACGACCAAAAGACAACAAGCATTTTAAACAGTCGCGTTTTGATTGGGTTTCCCTTGTTTGTTTCGATTTTCGCAAAGAGACGATTGCGCTCTCTGCGCACCCTCTTCTTTTTCGCTGCTCTCTCGCTTTTTAGCTCCATTTTAGGCGATTTTTTTTTGTGTTTTTTTACAATAAATAAGGCAAACTTAATAAAAATAGGTATGAAAATTAAAAATTTAGGTCCTTTGACATGTGTTGCAATAGTATATTAGTCGTTTTCCAACAACTTTGCTATATTTTTCATAGTTTTTACAAAGTAAAGGCGGAATTTAAAAAAAAGAGGGGTTTGATCACCTAAAACAATATAATCAAGCCGCAACTTGTATCTCAAAATTGTCAGCCAGTTTCCGTTATATTTGGTATCAAACTAAAGCTTATATCAGGCTTGTTATGGATAGATAAAAATAAATTCAGATTTATCAACGATTTAGAAAGTTATACCTTGTTATATGTTTTGAAGGTAGCAATTTTTCATATTGATGCCATTTTATAGATACATTTAAATTGGCCTGGAAATTAGCCTCAAATGAAAGGTTATGGGGATTAGATATCCTTTTCTATTAAATTACATATGCGTTTTTTGATTAAAAAGGCAGAAACTTTCTTTACAAACAAAAAATGGCAAGAACTTTCTTTACGAAACAAAAAATGGCAAGAACTTCACAAAGTTAAAAATTTCTAAAAACTGCCATTGTATGATCAATGTCAGACTCCAGGTCGTCACCCGAAGCCGTTCCAAAAAATCTGCCAACTTTGTTGGTCAGCCGCCCCTGAAGCTGGCAGAGACGGCGATCCGCGGGCGGCTGGATGTCGCTAATTTTAAGAACATCTAATACATCTGCGGGTCTCTGGGAAGCCGAAGCTAGCCGAAGATCGGAAGCGATCTTCAGACTGTATCAGTTTGAGCAGTTGCGTTTTGATTGGGTTCCCCGTATTTGTTTTGATTTTTGCAAAGAGACGATTGCGCTCTCTGCGCACCCTCTTCTTTTTCGCTGCTCTTTCGCTTTTTTGCTCCATTTTCGGCGATTTTTTGTGTTTTTTAGAATAAATAAAGCAAATTTGATAGAAATAGGGATAAAAATTAAAAGTTTAGGTACTTTGACATGTGATACAGATGTAGGTAAGTCGTTTTTCAACAGTTTCAGTTTATTTTTTGCAGTTTTTGTAATATAAAGGCAGTATTTCAAGAAAACAGGGTGTTTGATCACCTAAAACAATATCAGTGACCCGCAACCTGTATTTAAAAAACTGCCGGTCCGTTTCGTTTGTGTTTAGTATCAAATTAAAGCTTATTTTAGGCTTGTTATGGATAGAGTAAGATCAAATGGCATTTGTGATCCATTTTGGAACTTATTCCTTGTTATAGGTATTAAAGGTAGCACTTTTTCAAAACGATGTCATTCTGCGGATAGGTTGAGATTGGCTTCGAAATTAGCTTCAAATGAAAGATAAAGGATTGTATTACCTTTTTTGTTACGTTATTTTGAAATTAATGTCTAATAACTGTCAGTAAAATAGGTATTAAGATAGACCAGTTTTGGGTTTTGTGGGACTGCACGGTGCAACGAAATTATTTTTTTTAAATTTGTTTTTTTTGTAAAATAATGCCAATTTTAGGTCTAATATTGTCAGTAGAACCTTTATAACACTGTGCCAATCACTAGTTCAAAGTATTCAAAAAATGTTTGCCTTTCGGGCGTTTCAATCAAGTTGTATAAGCCTGTACTGATAAGCATTTACGAATAGCGTTTGCTGTTATTCATGGTCTCTTTTTGTCGTTTTTAACGTTATTAGTCATGGTAAGTAACATATTTTTAAATTTTGGCTGTTAATTTTTATTTAAATGGCAAGAACTTTATTTACAAAGCTTGAAATGGCAATAACTTTCTTTACAAAACAAAAAATAGCAAGAACTTTCTTTAAATACCGTAAAATAGCAAGAATTTTCTTTACATTTTGTTTTTTAGGTTTACGGAACGACTCGTGAACGTGGTCTACCAAGATACGACAGTTTTACATTACAACCAATCCGACCACCGATTTATGGCGGCACAGTGAGTGGAACATTGAAACATTACAATAGAAGACCTCTTCATACTGCAAGTTTTTCAAAATTTTTGTCAATTTTGGTTTTTAGGCTTCTAATTGAAAGAACTTTCTTTACAAAATATAAAATGGCAGGAACTTTCTTTACAAAACAAAAAATGGCAAGAACTTTCTTTACAAACTAAAAAATTGCAAGAACTTTCTTTACAACCCTTTTTAGGACGTATATTCTCAGCCCAGACCATCCGCTGTAAGACCCATTACTTTGGAACATTTTGATCGACCAGTAAACGGGACTGTCAGATCAGTCAACCCATATTCATCGTTTGAGCCGGCTGTCTCGCCTCCAGTTACTGTAACTGCATTACCTACTGTACAACATGCGTAAGACTGGTTTTAATTATTTGAAATAACCTACAGAAAAAAAATGGCAAGAACTTTCTTTGCAACGCGTAAAATGACAAGAACTTTCTTTATAAATTATAAAATGGCAAACACTTTCTTTACAAAACAAAAACTTTCTTTACTAAACAAAAAATAACAGAAACTTTCTTTACAAAACAGAGATGACAAGATCTTTCTTTACAAGATAAAATATGGCAAAAACTTTCTTTCCACCTTTTAAATTTCATTTTTTCAGTTTCAAATGGAACTGGACCGAACGTTTGGCTGAGAACACTTATATCGGCATTCATCGATACTTCTTCCTGGCCAAGAAGCTGCTAGCCTTGGCCGCGTTGGCCATAACTGTTTATGTCTTCTTTGGTCGATTCTCTCATCCAATTCGAAAAAGCATCGACGAGCCTGACCAAACCTTTTTGATTACGATGGCCGAGCGAAATTTGCATACAATTTTGTTCGCCGCTTCGGTTTTCACAATTTTGGGTAACATTATTGGCAGTATCAACCATTGGAACGATCCACAAAAGGCGTTGACACAGTTGTGGATAAGATTGGCAATTTTGGGATTCGAAGTCATTTTGGACATTACTGTTATCGTTTTTGCTGTCGCTGCCATTATTAAGGTCTCTCAGGTGAGCTTGAAGTTTTTTTGCACGGTGCAACCGATTTTTTGGGATAGCGCCGTGCAGTCATTTTTTAAAAATTCATTGTGCCATTATTTATGAAATAAGAAAGGAAAAATTAGTTTTAGTAGCTTTACCTAATCTATGCTGAGCAGCATTTGTTGCCTAAAATAACCCGAAAACAGCACAGGAGCAAAAATAAAATTTGTTGCACGGTGCAGTGGTTTTCAGAAATTCATTGCGCCATTCTTTTTAAAGCAATAACCGTAAAAATAATTTTAGCTGCTTTATATTGTCTTAAACTATAAGATAAAATAGTATTTGTTACCTAAAATAAGCTAGAAATTGCACAGTGCAAAAAATAAAATTGGTTGCACGGTGCAGTCATTTTTCAAAAATTCATTGTGCCATTCTTTATAAAAGTACCAACTTAAAATTAGTTTTAAAAGCTTTTTATGGGTACGTTCTTAAAGTTATAGTAGTATTTGTTATCTAATATAGGCTAGAAATTGAGCGGTGCAAGAAATAAAATTGGTTGCACAGTGCAAAGACTCTTATAAATTGCACTGTGCAAGGAACAAAAAAATGTAAAAAATATGCAAATTAATAAAAATGGCAACAACTTTCCTTACAAAGCAAAAAATGGCAAGAACTTCCTTTACAGCACGAAAAATGGCAAGAACTTTTTTTGCAAAACCAAAAACAACTAAAATTTTAAAATTTTTCAATTTCAGGAGTCAAAAGAGGAAGAAACACCCGATCTTACCCTATTCTTCTCCCAAAACCAACGTTTTACTCAATTAGGCATTGAAATTGGATTGGCCATAACTTCTTTGCTTTTCAGTTTCTTCAGTATTTACAATGGCATTTATGCCATTATGAGATTACTACGTGATAAGAACGCTGAATTGAACATTTATCGATTGAATATTGAACAAGCTAGCTATGCCAATCAGTTGGTGCCTGCTAGCGATGCTTATTAATATTTTTTTGGATTTTTGAAGTTTTTTGGAATTTTGATAAAATATGTTTTGTAAAGAAAGTTCTTGCCATTTACGTTTTGTAAAGACATTTTTTGCTATTTTATGTATTGTAAAGAAAGTTCTTGCCATTTTCTTGTTTTGTAAAAAAAGTTCTTGCCATTTTTTGTTTTGTAAAGAAAGTTTTTGCCATTTCAACAGACCTTCTATAACTTCCGTTGCGGGACCTAAACTGGGCTTCTGGGGCCTTTTATTTATTAAGTCCGGCCTTCAGGCCCGCACAATCCGCTTTCAAACTTGTTTTGGCCTGGCCCCTTTGCTTGTCTAGGCGTAACTCCCTTGTTAGCTAAACCCTTGCGGCCTTCATTCAAGCCTAGCCCTACAGTCTGCACAATCCGACACGGTCGCTTTCAAAGTTGCTTCGGCCCGGCTTCTTTTCATGTCTAGATGCAACTCCCTTGCCCTTGTAAGTTGGACCTAGACATGGAGAACGCGCCGAACCCATTTTTCAAGTCCGGCCGATATAAATTTTGCTCTGGTCTGGTCCGAATTTTTTATATCTGCAAACGGGCCGGGCCCATTTTTCTGGCCCGGCCCGATCTAAATTTTGCTCAAGCCCGGCCCGAGTTTTTTTAACGTTCATACGGGCAGGGCTTTTCAGACCGGCCTGTTTCCCATGTCTAGTTGGACCGCTGGGGCCTTCATTCAGTCCAAAAGACCTAGCCTGGTTCCTTTTCAATTTTGTTTCAGCCCCCTGTAGGAGATCGGGCCGGACCTAATAAGACCCCTTTCTGGTCTAGTTTAACCCCTTTCAAGTCTAGTCTAACATTGTAAAACCCAAAAACTAACTTTAAGTCAACCTTTATTTTTTGAAAACGGTTTCCTGCTTGATGCCGAACATTTCCTCGGCGATTCGTTCAAAGTTTTTCCGTTCATCTGGGGTCAGCCGGCTGAAGAGATCGTCGTCCTTCTCCGGATCCAATCCTATTTCTTTCAGTTTGGCATTCAGTTCCGAATCCGACAGTTTCTCAAAGTCTTTCATCGACTGGTCGTAGACGTCTTGTAGGTATTCGGGTTCGTCGTCCTCGTCGATTACCAACTCTTCGCCCGGTTTCAGGCCGATTTGGGGATTCAGCTCGGCTTCCGACTTTTGACGGTCTTCTGGAGCGTGTTGGGCCATGTATTCCGCAAAAGTTTGACTGAAAATGGCAGGGGTAAAGGAAGTTCTTGTAATTTTTTGTTTTCTTAAGAAAGTTCTTGCCATTCTAGGCTTTGTAAAGAAAGTTCTTGCCATTTTATGTTTTTTAAAAAAAGTTTTTGCCATTTTCAGTTCTGTAAGGAAAGTTCTTGCCATTTCTTGTTTTTTAACGAAAGTTCTTGCCATTTTAAGCACTATAAACAATATTTTTGGATATTACACTCAAAATGGCACTAACAAATTAAAAAAAAAGACGTACAGTGCTTTTTTAGGCTTATCACTTTTATTTTTAGCTGACGCTTCCGGTTTCACATTGCTTTTGTCTTCTTTTTGTTCGGCTTTCTGTTCTAATTCATCTTCTTTCACTTCTGCTTTTTCTTCTTTCTGTACTACTTCCTCTTCTTTCATTTCTTCTTCGTCTTCTTTCTGTTCTACTTCGTCTTCATCTGCACTTTGATCATCACTGTCTGTTTCGTCCTTAAAACAAAAAAAAATATTAAAAAATCTAAGTTTGTTACCTAAAAATTGTCTAAAATAATATAAAAAATGAACCACAGTACAAAGCAACGTTATAAAATGCGGATAATGTACTAAACTTGATAAAAAGTGGTTAAAATTATCAAACATAACAAAAAATTAATCAAAAACCATCAAAAACTCGTATACTATCCACAACTCAGACCCCCTTACCAGCTCTTTCCCAATGAACCTGGCTATTTGGTCCTGATAGAAGGCGTTCGAACATTCCGCATGATTTTTGCTTTTGTAGCACCGTAACGTACAGTAGTTGCGTTTACATTTCGGGCATTTGTACGTTTCTTTAAAGTCCAGTTTGCAGAATTCACAAGTGCTGAAGTTCGGTTTTGAGGTCATTTTGAAGGCTATAGTGGACTTTTTGGAGTCCTTCTGAAACATACAGTATGATTATGATGAAAAGTAATGTTGCAAAGAAACAAGGAAGATCTTAAGAGTATTATTAGTAAAATACGGTATGACTAGTTGTCAAAATTTAGTAGATATGACTGGATTTCGATATTATACTAGACCATCAAAAGTTACCAATTGGTTTTGAGTCATAGCGAAAAATACAGTAAGCCTACGGTAAAAAATGCTGTGGCAAATAAACATAAAATGTCTTAAGAGTATTATTAGTCAGATACCATACAACTACTCATCAAATGTTAGTACATATGAATGCTTTTTTTATATTACACTAGCCACCTATAACAATGTGCCAAACTATCCTGTGTAACAAAACCTACAGTAATCCAAATGTTAAAATTTAAGCTTTATAACCAAGAAAAATGCCTTTGTCATCACTAACCATCATTACAGTTCATCACAACAAAAACTATAAGTTATCAATAATTTTCTATATTGCACTACCTAACCAATTAGGATAATATGATAAAAAAGGCATTTTTAATGTTTTACTGATAAAATTTAAGCCGAAAGTCCTTCTTCAACTAACAATTCACTTCCTTTCAAGTATATTGTCATTGCAATTAACATTTGCTGAACCACATTCACAACATAAAACTATCTTTATTGTTTTAACATCAACAACTAATCATAAATGAAATGAACAGACTGGGTTTGATATGAGCGGAGAAAATACTACGGGGTACGTTATTATATCTAATGTTAGAAAAAAACTAAAATTTTCAAAAATTGAATTTAAAAAAATTTTAAAATTAATTTTTCGCTAATTTTTTAAAATTTAAAATCAAAAACTTTAAAATTTTGAAAACTATAGATTACAACATTTATAGAGTTGTGGATTATTAACGGCAGCAAACAAAAAATACACACACGGGTTCAAATACGAATGATATACAAGTGGTTGTGTTGATTATGGGATGACACGTCGGGTGAATTAGTGAGTACTTTATGGTAAAGCTAGGAATCGAAGATCTGAAAGTAATTCTAATTAGTATTAAAATATGTTTTCAATTTTAAAGTAATTTTTAATATGTTTGTTTGTAAATAAAGTCTTTGCCATTTTCTATTTTGGAAAAGAGTTCTTTGTAAACAAAGTTCTTGTCATCTTTTGATTTATACAGAAAGCTCTTTTCATTTTTAATATTCGCAAATTAACTTTTATCCACAAACCATGTTGTTAGACAGTGAAACTTGTAAATTTCATTGCACCGTGCAGTCAATAAATTTCGCACGATGCAACAAATTTTCTTTTTTGCCCTGTGACACTTTTGATACATTTTAGGAAACAAATACTATTTTAAATTTTACTACAGATTAATATAAAAATGTAAAAACTAATATCACAATGATTGCTTTCAAAGTAATAGCACAATGAATTTCTGAAAATTAACCGCACCGTGCAACAAACTTTACTTTTTGTCCTGTACCATTTTGGACTTACTTTAGGTAACAAATATTATATTAACGTTTAGTATGGGATACAAAGCAGTGCAAACTGGTTTCACAATGGTTGCTTTGAAAGTAATGGCGCAGTGAATTTTTGAAAATTAACTGCACCGTGCAACAAATTTTTCATTTTGCGATTTTATGAGTTTTTTGTCCTTTCAAATAGCAAAAACACTCCTTTGTTAATACCACACAAAGTACAGGTATACAAAAACCAATGTTTATCCAAAATCCCCCAAACCTGACCGTTTTTCTTGTAAATTTGTATAATCTTGGTCCCACACAACCACACAAACCGTCTTTAATAATCTTATCCTTTTGAAAAATCACGGTTCATTTCGGTTTGGCAGTTGCTGTGGTCTAATCTTACCGCCGCAGGCAATTACTATTTCGCATTTCCTGTCGTCTTATTGTAGCATGGGATCTCACGGCGTGCAAAAGTTCGCGGTTTCCGGCTTTAAATTCCAGATTACTGCATATTTCTTTACGTTTTAACGTGTAGTTTATAGTGGCTTGTAGATCTAGTAAAGGGCAAACCAGGCCCGGCCGAAGCAACTTTGAAAGAGACCGGGCCGAGGTGGCACATGCGACACCGAAGGCAGCAGCGCAAACCAAGACCCCAAGAGCTCACAAGGAAAGTACCCTACCTGCCCCGCTCAGAATCAGCTCAAAATTTTTATATGAATTCTTTGTACCACCAATAGTACCCATTAAAAATTTTAGCTTGCGCTTTTGAGTTTTAAATTTAAATTATTTGAGTTTCCCGCTAATTTGGCAAATTTGGCATAGTGTTTCAAGCACTTTTTTCGGCTTTCCAGACAAGATACGCTTACAAATTTAAAAATGTAGGTTCATTTAAAGGTTTTCTACTAGTATATCAAAGAAAAATTATAAAAAGTCAAAAAATGACAAAGTTACAAGCTTAAAACACAGTGCCAAGTTGGCAGGAAATTCAAAATGCCATTTTTTAATCTCGATTTTCTTGAGATTTCTGGAAAGCGCGATTTAGCACTTTTCTGAAAATCTTATATTTACATGATCTTCCTATATAAAAAGTTTGAAGTCAATCAGAGCGGGGCAGGTCGGGCACTTTCCTTGTCAGCTTAGGTCCAGCAATAAAATATTTCCCCCGGTCTCTTTCGAAGTTGCCGAGCCGGCCCAAGCAAATTTTTGATGTTGTAGTTAGTTGCTAAAATTTTAGAGTTTCCTAGTAGATTGGATTTACTTCTGGACGTTATACCATCCTAGAGACACCTTGAAAGATTGTTAAAAAACATTATCAAAGCGCATCAACAACATAGTCTTAGAAACTTCAAAAGCATTCAAAATACATTTTGCCAACAAGTTAATAGTTTCACTTACTCAAACGCTTACTACAGTAGTTACTAGCTGCACTTACTCTGAATCTTACTACAGTAGTTCATAGTTCCGTTTACTCAAAAAACTAATAAAGAAGTATTCGTCAAACCGTTCTGACTACAAAACCGCTCCTGTAGTGTAATATTGAAAGCTCAAACGTACAGTCTTTATACAGCTTGACATACTCGAAAGATTACATAGTTTCTTTAATTTCAAAAACTAAACATTTCTTACATTACTCTTGCCTTGAATTTATTAGTACCCTTGATTTTAAAGTGCTTTCCTACAATATCCAAGTTAAAAACAAGGAACATACTAAAATACTTCTATTAAACTACAACAAGTTAACAAGACGACAAGTTCTTCACCAGACGTCTTAAAAACATTGTTGTAGTTAAGACATTTTTCTAATTAGTTCTTTATCTTTAGCCTTAAAATTGTTGTCAAGAATCTTCTAAACCGTAAAACACTAGTGTAAGTTCATTTTTTTAAACGGTTAAAAAGTAACCACAAAAAACGGTCAATTAGAGAAATATGCTAATTCGTTCCTTGTTTCTAACTTTAATATTGTAGGAAAGTCCTTTTAAAATCAGAAGTACTAATAACTTCAAGGTAATAGTAATCCAAACATGTTTAGTTTATGTAGTCGAAGAAACAGTGAGTGTCATGTTTTCGAGTATTTCAAGCTGTATAAAGAATGAAACAAGCCTTGAACTTTCAATATTACACAAGAAAAGTGGTTTTCTGGCCAAAACAACGTGAAGAACACTTCTTTACCTGTTGTTTTAGTACTTATAACTATGAAAATTGTCGTCAAAACACGTGTATTATGTTTACTGCTGTTAAATATTGTGGTTTTTCGTATTTTTCATTGTAAATTGTAGCCAAAGTAACGTTACTTTATGAGTTTACAATTGACAGTACCAATGTAAAATCATAGTAATCAAAATTTTACCACTTCTATTTATTTAGCTTTAAAGAAAAGCCCAATTTTTCTATTACCTTCAATCTCTCGTTGTGGTACCTAAGCCCCTGAAGCCTTGATTTGAGCTCGAGCCCTAGCTTCGGCTCGGCCCTAAACGTCGCCTAGTAGGCCCAATTTCAGGGCCATTTCCATTATATTTTTGAATTGAAAAAAATCAAAACTTCGTCATAACTATTTTTTTTTCAAAATACTGTTTTTCCAAGAGCATGCTCATTAAGAACCCGGCAGTGGTACAATACAACACAACACGGTTCCAGCTTCGCAGACATCACATCTAGTGATGAAACTGGGCCTATTCAGCCCAAAATCCAAAATATAAAGAGGGGGTGTGGCCAAGACGCGAAAGCCAAGCTTAATATAAATACGCCAAAGTCTTATATATTAACTTTGAAGCTTGTAGGAATCTCAACTTCAAGCTTGTTTTAATTAACGTATTTGCTTTGCCTTCTTTACATTAGCTTTGTAAAATTTGTGCGCTGTTTTACCTTATTTATTTGGTTGTGTTACTCTACTATAAACACAGATTAATATGTCTTTCGAAGATGAAGCGAAATGTAAGTGTTGTCTAATGGACGACAAAACTAAGGGGCTGAGACTATCATTATGTTTTGCCTTACTTGACTTTTTTGACGTCAAACTTCATAGGTAGACAATAAAGAGAGGTTTTCTAGCCTTTGGCCGCAACTAGACATTTAACAAGGAAATTGTCAAGAAAAATTAGTAAAATAAATACTAAATTTATTGTTATTGTTGGTATTAGTACTAAATATTAGAAAAAAAGTGTCAAAAGATGTACCTAATGCACAGAAATGTGATATAGGTCAAAAAATTCTGAGATCGTCCTGATTTCAAAACTGTTTCAAAAAGTTGCTAAATTTTACTAACCTTACAGTAATATGGCAACTTTTGAAGAACAAATTCGGATTCTTTTGAGCTGTATCACATGTCTGAGCGTTAGGTACAACTTTTGACACTTTTATTGCAATGGATAGTATTAATATACCGAACTTAAAACCCATGTTTTTCAGCAACGCGCGTTAAGTACGAACTAAGTCGGATTACAGACAGACATACAGAGATCTTCAAGGACACGTACAAGATGATCGGCCGTTCCAAGGGCCGGAACGGTACCAACATTCTTGTTCGGTAATTTTTAAAAAACTTGTCATTCTTTAAGCTTCTACAATTACAAAACATTTGTCTTTAAAACTTTATGCAGATTAACATATCCCTTTATGCAGATTAACATAAAACTAATAACAAAATTGGTCTTAAAATGACTATCAAAATAATTTTATAGTAACCCCTAATTATGCTATTAAAGCAACTTTTTAAAGACACTTCAAAATCCTTAAAGCCACTTCTTAAAGCTTCATATGTGTTTCCAAAGAACAGCGTGCAAGAAAACGAACCTTTGCTATCAACCCCAATTACACGTCACTTCCTTAAGTTAATATGTCGTTTTGAGATTTTCTTTACTTTATCCGCCGCCACTAATTCACTTTGACAACAATTAGCCATTGAAAAAACATTAATAACAGCCCATTGGTCTAATGTCTCGCCAAAAACAAGTCAGATTAAAAAAAGATGCTATCTAGACATTTTTTTGACAAAATTAATTGCAAGTCGAACATAAACTAGCTACTATTTCATGTAAAAGGGCCGAGCCCAATTTTTAGCCTCGTGCTATTTAACATAGACGCTTATTTTCAAGCTAATGAATTTTGAGCCTAAACCAGACCTGTAAAGAGCCATCGGCCAAATTTACAGGCCCGGTCCGACCTAAGTTTACCTCAAGGCCGGCTCGGAGCGTATCTACCCCTAACGATCCGGACCCTTAAAAATTTGTTTCTAACGTCCCAGCCCCCAACCGGACCTAGTGGGTGTCTGACCACAAAAAAAAATTCCGAAACCCCCCAGACAGAAATTACCCTGCCCAAACTGTCCAATATAATATACCTCAAAGTTAGGCTCACCCAATCTGCATTATAACTGCGCCTATTTTCAGTATGTTTTCGGACCATCCCCAGTACAAGGACATTTGGCCGCAGTTCAGGCCGATTCCGGACAGTTCGTTGATGAACTCGGACGTGTTGCGGAAGCATGCGCACACCTACATGGGCGGTTTGAAGCGGATTATCGACTCGACGGACCAGGAAAAGTTGGAAAAGGAGTTGAGAAAGATTGCCAGCTCGCATGTTAAATGGGGGATTTACAAACATCACGTAATTGTAAGCTGTTCTTTCGCCGTTAATTTTGAATTTAGGGGAAAATAGAGGTGTAGTGTGACTCAAAATGATATTTTTAATGCCATTTTCAAATCAACACCCAATAGCTTAAATTCAAAAGATGTACCAGTATCAGTTAAACCCAATCCAAGCCAAAATTTTAATTCTTTATATGCCAAATCTTAAAAACTATAGCATAAACTACCCTCTATTGCTTATGAATCCTCTTTTCAGAACATGTTGCCATGTCTTTTGGCCGTTCTGGCCCAGTATACCGAACTGACGGACGAAATCAAAGAGTCCTGGACTACGCTTTTCGATGTAATCGCTAACCTAATCGACATCTTCAGACACTAAACCCATCTTGCTCACTACAACAACATATTTTCAACTAGCAGACTCGATCTCACTCTAATATACAAAGCAAAAATTGACTTTGAAGATTAATAAACTGATAATTACAAGCTAGAATCGTCCCGTGAAATTGAGTTATCATCTACGCTGTTAATAACGAAAAATACAAGTTATAACATGCATCTATGAAATTGTAATTATGTGCGGTTAGGTGTGTTAGATTAGTGGGTAAACCTTAATATAAGAGTGTAACTAAACTTTTTTTTGTTGTTTTAGATCGTATTATATAGTACATTCAATTTGGCATCTTTTAATAACCACATGACATTAGTTATAACCAGCGTATACGATAATACCAAAGAGTTTCGTTTCATATCACAATTTATACCTTTAGACTGTGTTTTACCAGGCTTGACATACGTTGCCATACAATTTTAAGCCGTTATTTTGTTATCAATATTTATCTGTCATATCTTCATACGTTATCCATATCACTCCATATACAACCCACACAACAAACATTACAGTTGAACCCTCGGCCTTCTTGCAACTTTGTCAAACCTTTTCCGGCTTAAGCAGCGAAAAAATGAGATTATGCTCGAAACAGGTAAGCGATATCTCTTAACATTTAGGCTTAATCCCAATGTTGATTACGTTTGCCGCTGTCTTTTTACAGCTATTAATATTGTTGTGAATCTAATCGACATAAAGCTGTTATTCGTACCAAAATGTTATTTTTTTTCAATTTTTTGAAGTTCAAATAACCAAAAAAAATCAATTTTAATCCTCCCAACCCTACCTTCAAATGCCATTTTGTGTTTACTTCCATTCAATGCTGGTAACGGTGTGCTAATAGCGACGGGTAAGCTTTGTCGTCGATTCTTCATGTCTCCAAACTTGAATGAGCCAAATGACCGGTCGATTGTGGAGTTGGCCGAGTCGTTGGGCCGTGTATAAACATGGAATGTGGTGTGATGTACATCTTCGAACCGGACTGGCAAATGTTTTCTCGGAGGTTTCGGTTCAAAATTCAGATCGACCGGTGGGAAAACAATGTCCAGTGTCGGGGATGGTTCTTTCTCTTCTTGTTGTTGCTGTTGTCTTCGCTTAGCCACCTTTGATAACCATCTTCTGGCTGCAATTTTCGAGCAGTACAAGAAGTAGCGTTGCTTTAGGTAGACTTGCCTGGTTTCTTCTAGCTCCTGCAATAAAAAATAATATTTAATATGGCAAGAACTTTCTGTAAAAAACAAAAAGTAACAAAAACGTTCTTTACAAATAAAAAAATTAAAACCCGACCTTAAAACAAGGCGTAAGCTTCCGTTTCTTAACGGGAGGCTGTTCTAGACCACTCAAGCCTTCTGGAACCATTCTTTTCTGTGCTTCATCTGAGTCAAACTTTGGTAAATTGGCCAAAAACTTGCTGAATTCCATAATTTGCTTCCATTTTTCATAATACGGTTTGACTCTAAAACAAATTTCAAATCAAAAATTAAAATTCTCAAAGTATTCCATTCTTTTGAGGCAATTTAATAGCAGTAAGATTTTTAATTAAATTTTTGCTCAAACGTTCCATAATTTCCAAAAAAACGGAAAAAGCTTTTGTTTGTTACCTAAAATCTCATAAAAATTTTCATTTTATCCCTAAAATTAAAAAAATCTGACAAAATACAAAAAAAAATTTTGTTACCTAAAATACAAAAAAAAAATAAATTTTCATACCTAAAACCCTACAAAATCTTCAACTTACATTCTCAAATCTCGTTTTTCCTTAAAATCTTCAATTTTCTGTTCCAATTCCCTGGCATTATGAGCTGATAACCATATAAAGTCTTCTATGCACGAATCAAAGATTTCCAATACATATTTGTCGCCCAAATTCTGTTTAATTTGCGACGCTTTCTCTCGAATTTGATGCCAGCTTCTTCGCCTGAAAATGAAAAAATTTCACATCTTTTCGTTTTTGTAAAGAAAGTTCTTGCCATCTTTTGTATTGTAAAGAAAGTTCTTGGCATTTTTTTCCTTGAAAACAAAGTTTCTATCATTTCTTCTTTTGTAAAGAAAGTTATTGCCATTTCTTATTTTGTAAAGGAAGTTCTTGCCATTTCTTGTTTAGTAAAAAAAGTTTTTGCCATTTTTTGTTTTGTAAAGAAAGTTCTTGCCATTATCTATATTAAATCCAAATTTTATCATTTTCAAAAAAAAATGAAACTCGGCCCCCCCCCCCCTTCCCTCAAAAAGTCAAAGCCAAGCCCTTACTTTTCCTTCTCCACCCTCTTCTGTTCCTTCATTTTTCGTTTTTCTTCCCTTTTGGCCGCTTTTTCTTTTTCTATTTGTTCTTGTCTCCTTCTCTCCTCTTCCAACCTCTTTTGCTCTTCTTCTTTTCTCTTTTTCTCGGCCTTTTCCTTCTCTTCTCGTTCTTTTTGTTCTCGTTCCTTTGCTTCTTGTTCTTTCTTTTTCCTTTCCTCTTCTTTCTTCTTGTCATCTGAAGTGCTGGGTAATGGTAGAGTAACAGATACTGACACGTCTTTTTCATTCAAACTATTTGTACCAAAAGAAAGTGGTGCTGATAGTGAATTGAAGCCATTTTTTAATCCAGAAGATGAGTCTAATGTCTGAGATGTTAAGGTAGATCCAAATGATAGCTTTAGAGTACCAGAAAAACCAGTGATTAGTCCTAAAGGTCCATTTCCTAAACCAGGTGCACCATTTGATCCAGAAGCGGGATTAAGCATTGAAGATGACCCAGGTGCTCCGTTAAGTCCAGACGATGACCCAATCGCTCCATTAAGCCCGGAAGATGACCCAAGTGCGCCATTCAGCCCAGAAGAAGCTCCAGTTTTACCAAACAGTCCAGACAAACCAGGAACACCATTTGACGGTCCAGGTGCACCAAAAGGCGCATTTGAAGACCCAGGAGCCCCAAACGGTCCATTTAAAGCTCCAAGTGCTCCAACAGCACCATTTTTAGGCTCTGTTTTTCCAAATGAAAACGTAGGTGCGCCATTTGATACCTTTGTACCAAACGCACCAGTTGAAGAACTAGTTGTACCAAAAGCACCGACTGTAGAACTATTTGCACCAAAAGCACCAGTTGAAGAAGTACCAGCACCGAATTGTCCATTTGCCCCAAAGTTTTTGCCTGGGGCGTTAAAAACTGATCCTTCGGACTTTTTTCCATTTAAAAATCCGCCAAAACCATTGTTCTTAATGCCATTTTCCAGTCGATTATCAGTCGGTTTTGAGGCAAAACTGAAGGATCCTGTTCTGCCCTCCTTTTTCTCCAAAAAATCTTCATTTTTGGCCAGGAAACCACTAAAAATAAAATTTTTTTTGTAAAATACGGGATGCAAGAGGACATATACAAAACGCCAAAAAACGAATATCTACGCTTTGTAAAGAAAATTCTTGCCATTTCTCGTTTCGTAAGGAAAATTCTTGCCGTTACACGCTATTTAAAGAAAATTTTTGCTAATTATTAGCTTGTAAAGAAAGTTCTCGCCTTTTTGATGTTATAAAAATTAAAAACCATTTTGGACTTATAAACCTTACCCAAATGCCATCTTCGGTTTAACTCCAAATTCAAAATCATCACTGGTACCAGTTGGATCTGGTGGTACGCCGCCGAGAGTTGTTCGTGCTCTGAATGGCGCTGGCTTTGGTTTTATGTCTTTTAACATTGACGATATTGCAGATGGTGCAATCTTTTTGTGGAGCTGAAAATATTATTTATAATCTTACTGTAATTTTTTTCTTAATTTTGCTGCAGTTTTTCATTATCATAACTTAATTTTTTTATTATGAAAACTATTTTCCGCTTTGTAAGGAAAGTTTTTGCCATTTTGTGTTTTGTAAAGAAAATTCTTGCAATTTTTTGTTATGTAAAAAAAGTTCTTGCCATTTTTCTCATAATGTAATTTTAAATTCATTTTACTTTTAAATGAAGGACATGAATTTTAGTGCACCGTGCAGACGTATAATTCCTTTGCACGGTGCAATAAATTTAATTTTTTTCTATAAAAAACTGTAGCTTATTTTAGGTAACAAATATTATTGTAACAATTAAAGCAATATATTCTAAAGCTTTGAGAACTATTTCCATGTTGATTGCTTTCAAAATAACCTCACGCTAAATTTTTTAAAATTTCTTGCACAGTGCAGTCAAACAAATCGACTGCACCGTGCAATCAAATTAATTGCTTCCACGATACAGTAAGCATACCTCATGTCCATTATTAGAAATTGTTTCCAAAACTCCAAACTCTTTGTGTTCCACCTCAAATTTGGGTTTTTGATGGCTTTTTCCGGGTACAAACTGGTGTTGTTCCAGAAATTCCTTCAGAACCGGGTCATTTTCGTAATATCCTTCAAAGGTAAAGGAATTAATGGGTTTTGGAAACACGGCACGTTGAACACGTCCATTTGCAATTGTTTCGTCCAAAGATGCGGCCAATTTCTCTTGTACTATGCCTTTTCCAATGTTATAGTCAATGTCATCTAGTAGGTCAACATCAGCCGAGGGTCTTGCCAAAGTTTGTTCGACCTCATCCATGATTCCCAGCTGGCGAGCCACTTCAGCACATTCATCCACGTTTGCAAAGCCTAGATCGTTTTTTAGGCTTTCAATTGGGTACTGAAAAGGAGTTTTGTCATTATCTGGTTTGTAAAGAAAGTTTTTGCCAATCTATGTTTTGTAAATAAAGTCCTCGTAATTTTTTGTATTGTAAAGAAAGTTCTTACCATCTTTTGATTTGTAAAGAAAGTTATTGCCATTTTAAAATTCACAACCCAAAAATCAACTTACTTTGCCTCTAAACGTCCTTAATATTGTTGTAATAGCTTCCAGACGAAATTGCACAATCTTGCTGAAGATCAAGCTGCTCTGAAATTTCAAACATTTTTTCGTATTTTACAAAATTATCTAAAAATGTAAAAAATTTACCTGTAAAAAAGTCGCGTCCTTCATAAGCCTGAAGAAGACGACATAATTATCGGTTTGGAAGGCGCATGCTAGTTTCACAGCCAGCTGGAACGGTGCTGAAGTTCGGATTTCATCTCGGTATGCTCTAACGCTACTAAAAGTCAAAAAAATACATATGTATGCAGAGAATGTCGTATTTTACATGAAAAACTTTTAAATTGATCGTTTGTTACCTAAAATTCTAAAAAAGCTTCTTTCTATCAAGAAACCTTAATTTATTACATAAAAATATTTTTTTCTGCTCTAAACCTCAGAAATACAAAAATGTCCGTTTGTTACCTAAAATCCAAAAAAAAATGAAAAACCATACCTAAACACGTTGGAATCAGTCAAGTTGAGTAGAATGTCATAAGCTCGGAATTCGGCTTCTGACTCACAAAATTCGTTTTTCTTAGCCAAATCATCGTAAATGTGACGTAGAGTTTGAATACATTTGGATAAGTTCTCTGTGTTTAGACGTTCATTGAATGTGTTGGCCTGAAAATAGTCGTTTTATACCTAAAAATTAAGGAAAACTGTCATACAAATTCAGAAGTACCACAAATTTAGTCAGTTTTTGCTTTGTAAAGAAAGTTTTTGCCATTTTTAATCACAGAAATACCTACATCAAAACCCAACATAGCATAACCAGCGAATATATGAAACCTAGTGCACTTTTCAACTAATTCAGCTGCCAGTTGATCACTTAGCATCTGTTGAGTGACTTCTTTCCGAATCGACCTTGTTCTTGTCCATAAAAAGTCGTACCACTTTGGCAACTCTTGTCTTGAAGGCCAATTTGACATGAATTCGAAGATCAAATAGTCCATTGTCTTTTTCAAAACCGCTGGCGGACGCAACTCATGCGGTAGAGGTTCTTCTTGATCTGCCGCTGATCTTGAGTAATCTTTCACTGCTTTTTCGGCCGCCATCGTACCATTAGCACCACATTCATATTCGTTGACCAGTTTTTGAACATCTCGCATGTATCGTTCTTTTTCTGGACACATGTCGGGGCATGTTGCCTGAAAATTAGATATTTTAGTATGTAATGCATGTAGTAGTTACTAATGTACATTGTGGTAAAAATATAAGCCTAAAATCCAAAGAAAACCCTCAAAGCACAACTTACACTTAAAACTCTAGCTTTCTTAACATCCGTATTCTTCACCCGTAGCTTGCACATCAACTCATCTCGTTTTAATAGAATATCATACTTGGAAAACGTGTCTAAACATGGTGTACCTCGAAGATCATCCAACTTTCGTACTGAAACAATATAAAATTAAATTTTGAATGCAAATAGTTCCACAAATTTTGAAAAATACAAAACCTAGTTGCTATTGCCATTTTAAAAAACTTACAAACATCATATTTAATTTCCTCAATGTCCGCCTTCTTCTGTTGCGTTAAGTTTCCACCTCCATTACCCTCCAATCTTCTTGATCTTGTGCCATTCTAGAAATTGAATATAAAATAAAGATAACTTACTCTTGGTTGTCCACTTCGAGCTACGTTTCGCCCAAACTGCTTTGATTTTCCATCCATTAACCCAAAAATCTGAAAAAAGCAAGTTTAAAATTTGGAAATAAAGTTATTTTTGAGAATGTATACGTAACATAATATAACACTCAATAACATGGCAAAAATAATGTTAAACCAATCGAATTTAAGTTAAAAATATTAAAAAAAGATTCATCTAACACCTTTTAATCAGATTTATAAGGCAAAACCATGGCCAAAGCCAAAAATATTACCTTAAAATATCAAAACCTTTTGATACATATGTTAATATAAATTTAATTCACAAGTCTTAGCCCGCAAAATTAATCAGTTTTTTATAATCATAAGATACAAAAGACCTTTATTAACATAATACATGATAAAAGCGTATCAAATTTCAACTAAATAACATCAAAACATCTCTTCAAACATCAAACCTTCAATAATATAAAAGCAAAAAGCAATATTTTAAAATGAAAATCCATAAAATTGTCAAAATAACCTCAATAAAACATATGATATAACAAAAACCATATGATACATCAAAAAACACCTCAAGTATTTACTTTTTCATGTCCAAACAGCTCTTTTTAATATTGTTATAGAGCCGAAAGCCGAAAAATAAGGAATTTATTTTGGGCGCGCTTTTTTCTCTCTAACCAAACGGGGCTCTGTGCGCGCTCTCTTTGCGCTCCATTGTCTTGTTTTTACATCTCCCTTTCGTCATTCCTTTCCATGTCTGACGCGTCTCCTTGCGTTAAATTGTGTCTCGTTTCTCGCTTCTCGCTGATTTGCACGGGCCGCTCTCTTTCTTTTGCGTTATCTCTCGCTGTTTTTTTGATTTGGAGCTAGACAGTAGATTAAAGCGCAATTTTTTTGATAACTATATCATCGTGATGAATTTTGAAGGTCATTTGTTTAAAATAGTTTAAATTTTTACTAAAATATCGTCCATAATAGCAAAAAACAGCCGATAACCTGATAGATAATATAGTTTATGTCATAACTTTTGAATCCATTCAAAACTAAGCCCAAAACCACCTTTAATAAAACGAAAATTAGTCTTTCCAGCTGTGCTTGAGTTGTTGAAAATATACATCAGTGTTTTGATTAGCATCGAACAAGATTTCGTCGATATTAACATGTTGATGTAGACAGCTCTGTTTATGTTGTTCATCAACTTTAGAAGAGGTAAGTCGTCTTTTTAAGTCATTGTAAGTTTGGTTGATCTCTCGTTTCCATAAGTTATTAGAACTTAAAATGAGATAAAATGACTTTAAAAAAGCAATGTCAAAAATGGCCATTACTATTGCTCGACCGCCTTTGAAGAGGTCCTGAAATTACAGTAATCTTTAAAAAATAAAAAATCGAACAAAATATTGTAGCAAATATAAAATTGTATTTATTGGCAAATTTTTGACCTGATACGATTTTTAGCAAAAGAGTTATTAATAAAAATGGCATCAGCTTCCAAGCGGATTCGAACTTTCTTTGATTTTCGACATTTCAAACGACCGTATCTCTTTTATACAGTAAGATTTTAAAATAAAAATATCAGGATCAATCTATTTTTTCTAGCTCTATTTAAAAATGTAAACTTAGTTTTGCAAGAGAAGAGTAATTTTACAGTACGTTAAAAAATCAGTGTTACAGTAAACCTACTGAACTTTTAAATTCACTATAATTTCAAAAACACTTCTTAGGTATTATGTATACATATTCTACCCTGTAATCGTCAAAAACTTCAAGTGAATACCTATAACTCAAAAAAAGTTATGACCAAAAGTATAAACTAAGCTACTACAATATAGACCAGACCTACCACATAATCGCCATGATAAACCGCATATCCAGCACCATAAAAACAAGCACATATACAGCCAATAACTACAAATACTTCAATGCCTTTTCGAAGGCCTTTTGAGGTTTTAATGTTTTCGACCAGTTGAAATCGTTGGCTCAAAGTCGATGGCCTTCTATTCTTCAGAGCACATTTATATCGTCTTTTGTTCCATAACTCGAGAAGTTTTAGAATCTAAAAAATTTTTTGAAGATTAAGAAATGTAAAATACGCTGAACGACTTTCTTTAGTTTAAACTCTAAAATGCTAAACACATTGATAGAAATACAAAACTTACTCCCAATGAAGCCACTAACAAGACGACTACCAGTATACATGACAATTGGATCAAAAAACGAACTAAACACAAGAGAAAATTAATATTTTTTCATTGAAAAACCATAAATTTGAAAAAAATTTTGTTTTTTGTTTCGTAAACAAAGTTCTTGCCATTTTTGTTTCGTAAAGAAAGTTCTTGCCACTTTTTGCTTTAAAAAGAAAGTTTTTGCCATTTTCAAGCCAAACCCTTAATATAGATTTATTGCAGGCTGCTGAACCCCGTTTTGCCTTGTAAAGAATGTACTTGCCATTTTTTGTTTTATAAGGAAAGTTTTTGCCATTTTTTAATTTGTAAAGAAAGTTCTTTCTATTTTAATTTCAAAAACGCTTTAAAAATTAAAAAACCTTACTTTTATCAGACGTATTGTAGATTTGATAGTAGCTCATATAGCTAAAACAACATAATAATACCGAAAATATTGACATGAACAAACTAATGTGTCGACTGTTTTCGTAATTTAAATTGTTTATCGAAGCTACTAGTCTTTCAATAGCTAGTACCAAATAACATGTTACTACAGTATACGAGCCTATGAAGGTTATGAAGGCTGATACGTCAACTGAAATTAATTTTATTATAAGTTAGGACTCTGGGCTAGAGCTCTGGGCTAGGGCTAACTTACACAGTAGTTCTCCTCTTATTGGAGCTAGGCAGTAAAATAAAAACTGTCCGACCAAAGCAACCACTGCTCCTAGCTGCATTTTTATTAAAACTAGCCAAAAATGGACATGTAAAGCGCCATTTCTTTTAGTAACATTTAGCGTAAATCCCACAAATGACATTGTAAATAAGATAGAAATAAAAAGTATTAATCGACCGGTATAAAAGGTACAACTAGCAATAGAAATAAGGTTAACATCAGATATTATCGGTTCTTCTAATGACATTATTGATGTCATCAAGGACAAGTTTTAAAAAAAAATTTTTGTGCAAAACTAGTCGTAATTTCAATTTAAAACGTAAAATTTAAGTTTTTGAAATTGAATTATAAAAAACATTTTTCTGCCGTGTTATTTTAAAGCCAGGTGAAAGGAATACACTTTGCCAATCTTAATTATTTTTTCAAGGTTTTTTCTTGTTGAAAACGTCAAAAATGTTTTTTTTGCAAAAAATACAATTTTATTCCCTAAAAGTGCAAAAAATTAAATTTAGTCGCACGGTGCAATGAAATTTTTAGATTGCACGGTGCAGTCATTTTTTAAATCTTTATTATGTCATTGCTTCTAAACCAAAAATTTTAAAAATAATTTTAATAGCTTTTTACTAGCTCATACTAAAATTTAAAACACTATTTGTTACCTAAAATAAGTAAAAAATGAAAATAGCATTGAATAAAAAATTTGTTGCACGGTGCAATATAATTTTAGATTGCACAGTGCAGAAATGTTTCTCAACTTTATTGTGCCATTACTTTTGTACCCAAACCTGCAAAATTAATTTTAAAAACTTTTTATTAGCATATACAAAAATTTGAAATAGTATTTGTTACCTAAAATAAGTAAAAAATAGAAATGGCAATAAAAAGAAAATTGGTTGCACGGTGCAGAAACAATAAAATCGGCTAAAAATAAGTCTAAAAATCAGTTTATATTTAAAAATATAAAAATCAAAATTTACAGAACAAAACCGTCAGATTCAGCAGAAAATAGAAGTTTTTCAGTAAAATTGTCAAACAAAACGATGCCGAACACTCGCATTACTTGGTAGCTTTCTCGTAGGAATGTGGCTGTTGATACAATACCAGATACGATTAGTAGTAAATTGCCGAATCTTTCTAAAATTGTACAGTAAATAAATATAAAGGTACGGTAAGTTTGATACGTAAGAGAAAGCAAAGATAAGACACGGTAGGGTAGGGTAGATTCAGCATGGTAGGTCAAAGACAGAGCAAGGTACAGGAAGCTAGAGCATGGCATGACTATGGTAAGACAATGCAGTTCAAGGGGAAATCAAAGAAGGGCAGGGAAAGGCAAGGCAGAACAAAAGCAGACATAAGACAGGGCAAAGGCAGGGCAAAAACAGGAAAAAGGCAGGGAAAAGGCAGAGCAAAGGCAAGGCAAGGCAAGGCAAGGTATATCCTTACCTTCATAATTCTCCATTCGGCTGATTTGATAAAAGCAAAACAAGTCTTTAATGACCTTATCCTTGAACTCTTCTATGTAGCCCAAACTGCTTTGTACATCACATCCGCTTTCAAATAGTTCTCGACAAACAAAGTTACAAGACTGACAGAATACGATCACTTTTAGTGTTGCTAGCTCCTGAGGTAAAATGTTGAGCCGTCTCATCGGCATAGCGACGTCATCGATACAACTGTTGGTCATCTGGTTGTACAGCTTTTCTTGACGCCATGCCCGGTCTGGGTTCACTATTTTCTACAATTTTTTTTGTAAAATACGTTCAAAATTCCCAACAGTACTGAAAAATTTTGCCATTTTTAGTTTTGTAAAGAAAGTTCTAGTCATTATTTAGTTTGTAAACAAAGTTCTTGCCATTTTTCAATTTGTAAAGAAAGTTCTTGCCATTTTTCATTTTGTAAAGAAAGTTCTTGCAATTTCTAAGTTTATTACCTAAAAACAACAATATTACCCTACCTGACTTTCCTCGGGCAAAAAAGCGACATCCCGTGGCATACAAGTGCCATTCGGCATCATCCAAACATCGTCATACTGTGACACAGCTGTACAGTAACCCGTTTCGATTACTAGTTGATAAACAGAGTATCTTCTTAACGCGGCTGCACGGTGAGAAACTGATAAATTGTGAAAGAATGATAACCCATCCGCCCATTCTACCATAGCGTACATTTCAACCGATGCTAGAGCCGCCAATTCTACAGTATCCACAATTCGAAGGCCGGTGAAGTATGCAAATGGAGGGTACTGTAATAACTTTAATAGAGGATTGTAATCTACCCTACCCTACCCTACCCTACTCTACCTTACCCTACCCTACCCTACCCTACCCTACCCTACCCTACCCTACCCTACCCTACCCTACCCTACCCTACCCTACCCTACCCTACCCTACCCTACCCTACCCTACCCTACCCTACCCTACCCTACCCTACCCTACCCTACCCTACCCTACCCCTACCCTACCCTGCCCTGCCCTGCCCTACCCTACCCTACCCTACCCTACCCTACCCTACCCTACCCTACCCTACTCTACCTTACCTACCCTACCTTGCTGTACATTACCCTTCACTGCCCTACCCTGCACTTGCCCTTACCCTACTCTGATTTACCATAACTAAGGCCTACCATTGCAATAGCCTAGCGTTACAGTATCTTAACATAACCTTACTCAATCAGGCCCTATGTTATTTCTAACACAAACCTTTCATAGACCTATTGTAATTAAGCAGCAACTCTACCTTTCTCTATATCGGTCCTAAAGTAACCTTAGCCAACCCCTACCCAATACTAGCCATACCATACTCTTAGCATTTACAATCTATCATCATATACCAAACATCTAAACTACCAGCCCTCACTTACATTATCAGTCAAATCGCATGACAACTTCCTAGCTCTTGTCATGGAATCGAATCTCTGTAGCTTGTTCTCTCGAGTACGGTAATCCAATTCAGTCAACGGGTCGATCAGATTATTCAAATCTAATGGTATGTTCACTTCAATTGGAGTCTGTACAGGCGATGGAGTGACATTTTCTTCATTTGATGACTGTCGTTTTGAACGAGTTTTGGGTTTGAGTGGTATTATATCACGTTTTCCTTTTAGGGCTGTAAAAAAGTGGAACTTTAATTTATTAGAAAACGGCAAATAATACAAATTTTAAATTTTCCCGCCAAATTTGGCATTGTGTTTAAAGTTATTTTAATTGTAAAAAAATTATAAATCTGATACTATTGTGTATTATGCTGTTATAAAATGAATTATTTTATCTAAAAATCTCATAAAAATTCAAATTTTCATTTTCCCGCCAAATTTGGCATTGTGTTTAAAGCTGTTATAATTGTAAAAAAATAATAAAGAAGGTAAAATACAATTGCAAAAATCAAAAATTTTCTTAATTAAGCCATTACATAAATTGCATTTTAATACCTAAAAAATTCAAATTTTATTTTTCGCGCCAAAATTGTCATTATGTTTTAATCTTTTAAAGTTGTAAAACAATAATGAAATAGATAAAATACAATAGTAAAAACCTATAAAACGCTTAAATTAAGCCATAAAATTTCATTTTAATACCGAAAAACAAAAAATTCAAACTTCAAGTTTCCCGCCAAAATCGGCCTTCCGTTTCAAGCTTCAAAAACTAAAGAAAAATAATTAAAATGCAAACATATAAAATTAAAAAATGTTAAAATTACCTTCTTTTGTCATTCCAGCCATAAAACATCGATGTAAGCGGCAGGCTGCGCATGGCCCACGGCTCTTCTTTTCTCTCGCGTCACATTCCAAGTTATTGTCGCAGAAGTATCGTCGATTGTGGATTACTGCTCGTCGGAAGAAGGTTTTGCATCTAGAACGAAATTTTATAAAATTTAAATTTTTTTGATAATCTTAAATTTTAAAAAAATTTTTGAAATTTTTAAAATTTAAGCCAAATTTTAAAATTTTTGATGTTTTAGGTATAAAGATTATATTATTTATGAGTTTTTAAGTATAAAGTTGCTAAAAGACCCCGTTTTGAGGTTTTTTAAGTTAAAAAACACGATTTTCGAAACTTTTAAATTTAAAAATTTTTAAATTTTTGAAATTTTTGCAAAACGCACTAAAAATGCACTTTCATTAACCTTAAAAGTATCTTTCTTCGTTAAAATGTGACAAATGACTACGTAATTGGTTGTTGAACTCGAAAACAATATGTTATTTGTCTTGCAAAGTATTGAACACTCACTGATCGCCCGAGGCCACAAACTAGAAACACGAATCAAAAAACATTGATGATAAGTTATTTCTTGAAATTGTTGAAGCGGAAGTTTAAAAATTGTAGTTTTTGATGACAAGATGAAATAAAATTTGGAAGGGTAGGGTGGTGTAAAGTAGGGGAGGGGATTGGCTAGGGTAAGACTTTGGTAAAGCTAAACGGATTATTTAGCTAGGACGCGTGCAAAGACAAGAAACAGAGCTCTGGTGACTAATAGTGAGGCTAGGGCTTTGGCTAGGGCTAGTGCTGATGCAAGGACCAGGGATCAGGCTAGACCTTGTCTAGGGCTTTTACTAAGACTAGAATTAGACCCCTAATGCAATGACACGGCGAGTTAGGGCTATTGTTAAAGCAAAGCTAGAGCTGGTTGTTAGGCTAGGGCATAGGTGAGACCATAGGTTATGGTTTAGGCTATGACTTAGGCTAGGGCTCTGGGCTAGGGCTCTTAGGCCAGGGTTTAGGCTTAGATTAGCGTTTTTGCTACAGCTATGGCTAACCTTAACAACAGTAAATTAAAAAAGTTTTTTAATAAAAGTCATTCGATATATGTAAAATACTTCCTGATGCGGTATTCCAGGCATATTATGCTTTGTAGTAATCTATTATTTTCAAAACAGTCACTTCAAGTGTGATATTGACTTAAAACTTTAGTGAAACTGCCGTCAGACCACGTGTGTTTTCGGAAAAAAAGGAACGTAAAAAGTTGATAACGGTTTCTTCATGTTTAAATCGTCTATAACTTGAAAACTAACTTAATTTTAGGTAAAACGTAAAGCAAAGTCAATTTTAAATACCTAAATTAACATATTGTTGTGAATCAAATACCTAAACTTATCAAAAATAACCTAAAGGACGCAAAAACAACAAAAAATGGGAATTTTTACCCTTTTTCGGCCATTTTTTATTCGAAAAACCAATTTTTTGAACTGTAAAGAAAGTTTCTTCTAAATTCTAAAATCTCCAGAATTTTAGCTTTCATATGATATATAATTCAACAGTCTTTCAATCCAACAAGCCATCAAAAAAACGCAAAACCTAACGCCTATACCCACAAAACCTATTACAATATCAAATAACTCACCCCAAACAAGATTGAATGCCGTAGTGTTTGCCAGCTCCATCTCGACCACAAATAATACATAATAATTGACCATTTTTACTCTTCAAAACTCCATTTTCACCCAATAACAGTCCGCTTTTCCCTCGAAATCCAACTAAATCAACATCGAAATTTCCAGAATTTTCCAAATTTCCTTCGTTCAAACGGCTGTAACCTTCTTCTAACTCATCATACTGAACTGAAACTTGACTACATTGGCTGGAATTGATTGAGGATTCTGTTGAAATGTCTTGGGCGTCTGTTGAAGTTACGCTTGATCGACCAATTCGAGTTTTTTGATCGGAAAAATGGCCGGATGGTTGATATTGAAGATGTTGGTTTGAAACATAGTCAGAAGATGACGCTGCGGCTTCAGGATGAGTTGAAATTGACGTAGAATATTCAGAAGACTCTGTAGATTCCAAAAAATTCTGATTTGAAGTTGTAGCGTGCCGTGCTGATCGACGTGCTCGCTTCAATGTCGGGTCGACTTCACCTTTCGGCCTACCTGCACTTTTGGTCGAAAATTGGCCAGATCTTTTGGCCAAACGACTGGAATGCCGTACAAATCGACCAGTCGATTCAGAATTCTCTTCCATATCATCTACACATTGATTTAGTTCTTCGTTAAATCGACCAGTCGCATTTTGACGCCTCAAACGCCCACCAACGGTCCCACGACGTTGCTTGGAGAAAGAAACCGCTAGGGCGGTAGCCATTATCAGAGAAGCCCCACTCCGAATGTTTGGGGTCAATAATAAGAGAATTGTTTTAAAGTCGAATGGGCAATAGGTTTTTTTCTTCTTCGCGTTGCAAAAATCGGCGAAAATCACGTTCCTAATCGCTCTGTCTAGGTTCATATCAAAAGGGCTTTTTCAGATCGAGAGGAGGGATTTGTTTCAGAACGCCATGTGACTATGAGTGATAATGGAAGGGGGGTGATTAAAGGTCAGATACGACATTGGCATAAAAATAGCAAAAGGAGGGTTTTGAAGGGGGAAAATGAGGAAATAGTGTTGAGAAAAGGAGGTATTAGAGAAGAAGTCATAAAAATAGGTAACAAAGGATTAGAGTAGAGCAGGATAACGTAAGTTAAGGAAGGTAAAGGTAAATTAAGTTAGTTTAGAAAATAAGATGAGGTATGGTGGAGTAGGATGGGGTAGGGTAAGATACTAAAAGACAGAGCATAGACGTAGGCAGGGCAAGACGATAGGAAAGGCACGTCAGAGTACAGTAGGATAGGGTGGGGTAGAGCAGAAAATACTAATGGACAGGGCAAAACAGATCAGAGCAAGGCACCGCAGAGTACGGTACAATAGGATGAGGGGGGGGGACACGGTTCAATGGGGTAGGGTAAAACATTAAAAGGGCAGGGCTAGACATAACAGCGCACGCCAGGGCAAGGCAGGTCAGAGTAAGGTAAGGGTAGGGTAAAGTAGAGTAGGGTAGAGTAGGGTAGGGTAGAGTAGAGTAGAATAGGGTAGGGTAGGGTAGGGTAGGGTAGGGTAGAGCGGGGCACGGTAGGGTAGTATACTTTTACTTTCAGTTATCAAAAGTCAAAAAAAAACAAAATACAAAAAAATTTTCTAAAACGAAAAAAAAATTTTAATTTTAAAAATTCATCAAAACTCAGTTCGACCCCAAAAAGCGGTTGTAAAACTAATTTTACTACTTTCTTCGAGTAACTACTAAAATCAATATAACTAGGTGTCTACTGACAGTTCAAGTACCGCTTCTGACATGACAAATCGTAAGTTTATTACTGTTATTTTTTCATATTGGTGGTTTTTTAAAAATATACATGCTTTTCTTGAGCTGTAGAGAAAGTTCTTGTCATTTTTTGTTTTGTAAAGAAAGTTCTTGCTATTTTCTGTTTTGTAAAGAAAGTTCTTGCTATTTTCTGTTTTGTAAAGAAAGTTTTTGCCATTTTTTGTTTTATAAAGCAAGTTCTTGCTATTTGAATAATAAAAATCGAAATTTTATGTTCTGCAGCTTGCGAGTGACAAGTTATACGATGATTGCTAGTTATGCTTTTCAAATGCTTTTTTTAAAATATATTTTTTTATGTATTGTAAAGAAAGTTTTCGCATTTTTACCAACTTTTTTCTTGCAGTTTGAAATTTTTTTTAAAATTTTTTTTAGTTCCGGACGTCACATGTAGCACATTATCGTTGCCGGCTCAAAAAAGTACGTCCAAGCAGACGATTAACATGGTCTTCACGATCGATGGAGTCGAAACCTTGATCGACTACAACTTGACCATCAAATCATTAAATCAGAAGCCATTCGTTCAAGTCCAAGCCATTTCCGTCGATGGAGAAGATGTTGTCATCAATGAACCCAACTTGTATCGTGTCAGAGTGACAGATTATCGTGTACGATGCCCGAATCAAAACTAATTTGTACAGTTTTTGAATAAACACTTATTTTGACAAATTGTTTGGCTTAGCTCTAGGCCTAGCTCTAGTCTTTGAAATGTTAGGTGCCGACAAAAAGAACCCGCCATACTTTGTATGTAATTTCTAGTAAAAAATGGCGGGTTCTTTATGTCGGCACTTAACAGAACTAGTCCTAGCTCATTGTTTTTTAAATTTTGTTTTTTGAAAAGGATACTGTAGTTTTGTAACTTTGGTTCATCTTGCGCTGTTCTTTGCGTTGGGTAGGGCAGGGTGAAGTAATAGTGTAAAGTAAGGGGCTTAGACTTTCGCTTAGTAAACGTATTATTTTAAGCTTAGTAGCTAGAGATAAGTTGGGATCTGGACTCGTCAAGTAGCGATAGAGGCTACATCTGACTGAGTCTGAAGCTAGAGGTAAGACATTGGTCTAGGATCTAATCTAGGCTCTAGGCTAGGGCTTCTGGGCTAGGGCTCTGGGCTAGGACTCTGGGCTAGGGCTCTGGACTACGGCTCTGGACTAGGGCTCTGTGCTAGGGCTCTGGGCTAGGGCTCTGTGCTAGGGCTCTGGGCTAGGGCTCTGGGCTAAGGCTTTGTGCTAGGGCTCTGGGCTAGGGCTTTGGGCTAGGGCTCTGGACTAGGGCTCTGTGCTAGGGCTCTGGGCTAGGGCTCTGGGTTAACGCTCTGTGCTAGGGCTCTGAGCTATGGCTAAGCAACCTTGTTTTTAAACGCAGTTTCAATTTATTGCACTTCACCTTTGACAAGGTTCTTGAACTGCGCAAAAGAACCCAATCCCCTCATAAGGCTTATCGTCGGGTTAGGAACGCGGCGATTAAACCCACCCCACCTCAAGGTGGAATCTCGAAAAGTTCGAGCGCGCAAGCTTAAATTAGAAGAGGCAGCGTTGGCCTAAAGTCGAGAGTCCCGAAATTGCTTTGTAAGCTTTGATTGGAGTGAGGGTCAATATTATAATAGGCCACGAGTTGATTGTTGTCCGAGAATTAAGGTGTTTCGAAGTAGTTTTTTATTCTTGGGGTGGATTTTTAGTTTTTATTGATAAGTCGAAGAAGCGAAGAGAGAGGGTGGGGTTGGGGGAGGGGGGAGAGAAAAAACGGAAAATTGATATTACTATAGCATGATATAAGGTATGATAGAAAAGTAGTAAAGTAAAACAGAAAAAAAACGGACCGAGCTCAATTTTTAGGCCCGGCCCGACGTATATTTGGGGGAGGCCCAGCCTGTTTCTCATGACTAGGGTAATGTATAATGCTCGGCATTGGCTATATTTTAAAAGTTATTTTAACTCCCTCCCCTTTTTCACCCACATTTCCACACCCTTCATATCTTGCCACTTCACACCTCACATAACCTTGAAAACTCATGAACTCAAACAAAAATTCCTCGGCTTAACTGTGCCAGTTTACGCAAACTTGAACCACTTTTATTGATCCTATCTCCATGACACTCTACAAATCCACCGGGCAGGGTAAGGTCACTTAACCAAAACAAGGGCCGGCACCTGAGGGCGCCGTTGCGTAACGAGGTGATAGCCCTGAAATGAGGTCGAGCCTGATTCGCACCGTGCGATAGTGCCGGAAGCCGAGGGAGGAGGCGCTTCTTGATTATTCACTTTACTTTGACTGTAACCGAGTCTCGGCTTGTTGTTTTAGTTTTTTATTTGTGAGCCGTTTTGGAATTTCGGTTTAAAACTTGGGGTGTGGTAAAAGTTTTTGAGATTTTGCTTTTTAAATTTAGGAGTGGTTTTGAAATTTCTAAGCTTTTAAAGTTAAAAATACAGTAAAACTTCTGTATAACGTATGTCCTGAAAGTTTAAAAATTTTTTTATTGAACATTCTGTTATACAGTACCTTCTCTTATATAAGCAACCCAAACTTTTAAATAGAATTCACTTCTTAAGAAAATTGCTTTTTTACTCAACCCATACCCTGCCCTACTCTGGCCTATCCTATCCTTCCCTACACTATCCTATTCCCCTCTTCGAACCACATTTACCCGCCCATACCTTACTACTCACCATCCCGCTCTCCAAGCCAAATTTATCAGCCTTGACATCTTTATATCAACGTACTAGTCATTTTTAGTCAAAAAACCCCTAACCAGTACTAACCGACCCACCAAACCCACTGCACTTAATCCCAAACCCCTCTATATTACACTACAGCTCCCTTTAGCCGGTGCCTACCCGCAAATTAAGTGGAGCCGCGGAATAAAAATAAGTCGGTCATCGGCTGAAACTACCGTCGGGAATTTTTGTGACCGAACGTTAACAAAAATGGAATGGGCGAAGATAACGAACGAAACTTAAAACTGTCCATCTTGCGGGTTTTTTTTGCCGTGGTTTGGGATACGTTTTCGCGCAGCTTTATTCAAATTTTGTAATTTTGGGTATTGTTTGGGTTCATTTGGTATTGGCTTCAACATTTTAAAATTTTTGGGTGCTTGTTGATTTGGTATCACTTTTATATTTGAAATAGTTGTTTTGTTATCATTGCAATTTTTGCATTCATTCAAAAGGATAGGGAACTCTTTTAGGTAGGGTGGAGTAGGGAAGAGTAAAATAGGGTAAGAAAACGTAGATTAAGGTAGGGTAGTGTAGGATAGGGTAGAACAAAGAAGGGTAGGGTAGGGTAGAAAAAAGTAAGATAGGTTAAGAAACGTAAAACAAGGTAGGGTAAGTAGCCAAGCGGATGACTTTGCCCTAACAGGAGCTCAGAATTTTTTTTTAAAATTGACTTTTAATCCTAAAATTCCATCATTAAGCTTAAACTGATATTTTTAAGCTTAAAATATCGATTTTAATATAAAAAGTTATTTTTAAGCCTAAAAGTTTATTCTTAAGCCTAGAAGACATTTTTGAATATAGAAACGTAGTTATAATCTTAAAAAGGTAGTTTTAAGCTCGAAATTCAATTTTAAACCTAAACATATTTTTAGGCTTAAAATTATACTTCGAGCATAAAATTATATTTTAAGCCTAAAATGTAATTTTAAGCCTTAAACGACATTTTTTATCCTAGAAGTCTATTTATAGACCTAAAAAATGTATTTTTGATATTAGAATTTAATTTTAAGCCTAAACAATTTTTTATTTTTTAAAATTTTTACATTTTGCATTTTCCGTGCTTGCCTTTTATTCAGTGTTACCTTATTTTAACGTTAAAAAACACCCCCTATCAAAACTTTCTCAAAAAAAAACACCCCTACTGAACTTCTCTTTCCAGCCACACCCAGTAGGTGCCCAACACAGAATGTGGCACCATAGTATGGCCCTAATATGGGCCATCCTATTCCAGCTACTGGCTGCTCAAAAGCAACATAATATAACACAAGTGCCCTACATCTTAACTGGTGTTTCCATGAATTGTCCTGCTGGCTGGGACCTCGTCGGCGACAAATGTTTTCGCGTTTTCAATTCGGAAAAGTCGTGGCCACAGGCTTTACTCTTCTGCGAACGGTAAGTGCGCAAGGTTTTTGTAAATTGTTTTGGCGGGGAAATTTGAAAAAACATATTTAAATTTTGAAATTTAAGCTAGAAAATTTGCAAAATTATTTAAAATTCCCTGACAAACAACAAATGGTAAGAATTTTCTTTACAAGACATAAAATGGCAAGAACTTTTATTACAAAACAAGAAATGGCAAGAACTTTCTTTACAAAACATAAAATAGCAAGAACCTTGTTTACAAATCAAAAAATGGTGTTTTTCGTATAACTTGTTTCCCGCAGGCTGCAAAATACAAAATGTGTCTTTTTTAGTTTTAAATGGCAAGAACTTTCTTTACAAAGCATAAAATGGCAAGAACTTTCTTTACAAGACACAAAATGGAAGTTTTTTAATTTTACCAACCTTTAAATCTACTATAATATAAAAACTATAAAATTTTTAATTTCCGGATGTAAGACGTCATAATTTCTTAAATTCCTGAAATTTTATCAATTTGACACCAATTTCGAGGCATTTTCGAAGTGTTAACCCGTACTGACCTTACAAAATCCGTTTTGAGATTTTGAGGTTGCGATAAGCGTTGTAAGCGTATTTTTTGAGGAAGATTAGCGAAGGTAGATGGTTATCGGACTTTACCGAGTTGTTTTTCGAGACTCGAGGCTTCCACGTATACCTAATTAACAAAGAATGACAAGAACTTTCTTTACAGAACAAAAAAGAGCAAGAGCTTTCTTTACAGAATGAAAAATGTCAAGAACTTTCTTTACAAGAATTAAAATGGCAAGAAATTTCTTTACAAAACAAAAAATTGCAAGAACTTTCTTTACAACTCTTAAAAATTTTCAGCTATGGCGCCCTGCTAGCCAAAATCGAATCAGCGGCCGAAAACGACTTCCTCAGCCGAATCATCGCTCGTCCAACCAAGAGCTTGGCCCAGTCCAGTGCCAAGCATTGGATTGGTTTAATCACGGAACGTTCCTCGAACGATGACGGCTCGTTCGTTTGGTCGGACGGTGTGGTTGTCAGTCGATTCGCCGGTTTTTGGTCGAAAAAACAGCCCGATTTCGGGCGTGGTAACTGTGTTCAGGCCGGTGTTAACGCCGAGAAGTCGGTCGAATGGCAAATGGAGATGTGTAACTTGATGTCACCCTTCGTATGTCAACTCAACGCTTGTGTATCAGGCTCATTTCATTGTAATAATGGCAAATGTGTGGCTGGCAAGGCCAAATGTAACGGTCGAAATGAATGTGGAGACTATTCGGACGAGCTGAATTGTCCTCCCCCTCATGGACAAGCGGCTTGCCTAAAATACGAAAAAAGCGAAAATGGCAAGATTGAATCGCCTAATTTCCCGTCCAGCTACGGTCCGAACGCGGACTGTCGATGGGTTATTGAAGGGCCGGTCAATAGCAGAATCATGGTGAGTTCCTCTTCTTCCTCTCCTCTTTCGTCCTTATCATCATCCATACCCTAGACATTTCTCTGCCCTACCCACCTTACCAAACCTCGCCTTTCCAGATCACATTCGACCAGTTCGAAACCGAAAAGAACCAAGACTTGGTAACAGTCCTCGATGGTGGACCAGCCGAGAACTCGACCATCGTTCTCAGTCATCTCAGTGGAACGCCAGAACAATCTCAACTATCTCTAATGTCATCTACCAACATGATCACAGTACAATTCCGTTCGGATGCGTTAGTTCAAGCTCGAGGCTTTAAAGCCAATTGGAGAGCCGTGCCATTCTCATGCGGTGGAACGTTGAAGGCACATCTGTTTTCACAGTCTTTCAATAGCCCCAAGCCTTATCCGGCTGGTGGAGAATGTGTGTGGAAGATCGAAGCACCTGAGGGGCAGTTGATCAGTCTGAATGTAGGTTTTGGTATATCTATAGCTATATAAAGGTATATCATATCTACAGCTATATTAAGCTAAAGCATAACTATACCGCTATAAAGGAATAGACTACCTATACCTATATGAAACTACAGCATATCTATACCTATATAAAGGTATAGCAAATCTATGCTTATATAAACCTATATTAACCATCTAAAACCTCCTTTCAGATCGAAGACCTAGACGTAAAAGCCGGCAAAGACCAGTTCATCATCTACGACGGTCCCCACCCATCAGCACCAATCATCTCTCGTCTTTCTGGTCGACTATCCAACCAACTGGTCATCTCCACCCAAAACCACCTCTACATCTACTTCTACAGCAGTCAAGCCGACCCAACCACTGGCTTCACCGTGAACTACAAGAAGGGCTGCACCAACACCATCAAGTACACCTATGGCAACGTTCTCTCTCCAGGAAACGGACTAGTACCATATGCACCATCCCAAACCTGTCGCTATGTGATCGATCTGGAAGGAGGCGCTGAAGCAAGCCCAATTTCAATCGATTTCAACAGCTTTGATATCCAAAATGACGATGTTTTGAGGATCTTTGATGGCGAAGAGAACAGCACGGCCTTGCACGATGGTAAAGGATTCACTGAAGGCCGGAATCCATTTAGAAAGCTGCATTCAACTAAAGGAAAAGTTACCGTGGTGTTTGATACCAATGCTATGAAGCAAGCTGGTGGATGGAATTTCACTTTTTCAGCCAGTAAGTGGGGGAAAAAGGTTGAAAGCAAGTGTAATATAGACCTAAAAGCCAAGTACAATATAAAAATAGAACTTACTGATCTAGACATGGCTTTTATCGGCCGATAGCTAAAAGAAATACCTAAAATCAAGTAGAATATAAAGCTAAAAGTCAAGTAAAACATAAAATATAGAACTTACTGGTGTGAGAATCACTTTTTTCGGTCAATAACTGTTTAGAAACGCTGAAAATCACGTGTAATATAAATCTAAAAGTCAAGTAAAACATAAAAAATAGAACTTACTGATGAGAATCACTTTTTTTCGGTCAATAACTGCTTAGAAACACAGAAAATCAAGTGTGATATAAGCCTAAAAGTCAAGTATAATATAAAAAGAACTTACGGACCTAAAGCAGATGAAAATAGAAGTATAGCTAATGAAAAACGAGGTAAAACAACAAAAAGTAATGGAAAAAGTCAAGATTTGACATTATTTTAGATTTTTTAATGTTTATCAAAGGTTTATTCACGACACGAAAATAGAATTTTAATTTTTTTAGCAAGAAAAACCTGAATTTTATATTGTTTTAGGCTTTGAGTCCTTAAAATTATAATGTTTTAGGCTTTGAAGCCTTAAAATTATATTGTTTTAGGCTTTGAGTCCGTAAATTAATATTGTTTTAGACTTCGAAACCTCAAAATTATATTGTTATAGACCATAACACCTTAATATTTTATTATTCTAGCCTTTCAAACCCCTTAAATTAATATTTTTTTCAGACTGCCCAACCCTAAAAGCCCCTCGAAACGTATTCTTGACGACCCAAGCCACCTCGTTTGGAACTAAAGTGACTGTGAGTTGTCAAACTGGCTACGAGTTCACCAACGGAATTGGTCATCGATTCGATGTTTCGTGTGACATTGGCGGAAAATGGTCCAACGAATACATCCCTAACTGTCAACGTAGGTTTTAGATATTTTTGTTTGATTTTAGGTAAAAAATTTCAATTTTTTGGTATTTTAGGTAATAAACGGCAGTTTTTGGGCAAAACCATGTTGTTTTAGGTAACAAATCTTGATTTTTTAGTAGTTTAGGCAGTAACGTTTGTTTTTTGAATGAAAATTTGTTGTTTTAGGTAGTAAAAGTTGTTTTTTTTGCTAATAAATTTGACTTTAGATAACAAATTTCGATTTTTTGGTATTTTAGGTAACAAAAACTAGTTTTTGAGCTAAAACTTCAATTTTTCAGCCGTCTACTGTTCCGCCGTGCCTCAAATAGCCAATGGCTACGCCCTTACAGCCACCAACGTATCCTACGGTGGTGTAGCCCAATTCAAGTGCTACGACGGTTTCCATTTCGCCTCAGGCAAAGAAACTGAAGAAATTTACTGTAAAACCGAAGGTTGGACTGAAACCCTCAAATGTTTGGCCGAAACCTGCCCCGCCCTCCAGACCTTTTTGAATGGAGAACGGACCTTGAAGTACGGTGATGCTACTGGCTTCGGCACGGTGTACCAATTCGAATGTGCTCCAGGCTATAAACATAGTGGACCGAGTACGATATTGTGCAAAAGCGATGGGAAGTGGTCTGCTCAGCAGCCAATTTGCAAAAGTGAGTTGATTTTTTATTGTTAGTTGAGTTTTTAAAAAATTTGTAATTGCATTGCACTGTGCAGTCATTAATTTGTTGCACTGTGCAATAATTTTTATTTTTTCATAGTGCAATTTTCGATTTGTTTTAGGTGACAAGTACTATTTTAATTCTTAGTACGGGTCCTTACAAAGCATTAAAATTACTTTTTCATTGCTAGCTTTATAAATAATGGCAAAGCAATTTTTTAAAAATGATTGGACTGTGCAACAAATTTCTTTTTTTTTCACCGTGCGATTTTTAGCTTATTTTAGGTAACAAATATTATTATAAAGTTGTGTATGAAGACATAAAAAGCTATTAAAACTAATTTTACTCTGATTGTTTCATAAAGAATGGCACAATGAACTTTTGAAAAATGACTGCACGGTGCAATCACAAAATTTCATTGCACCGTGCAATAAAACAACCTTTTTTGGATCTGTAAACAAAGTTTTTGTATTTTCCGAATTTTCGAGCTAGTCCAACTACAAATTCCAATTTTTCAGAACTAATCTGCCCAAACATTCCTCAAATCGAAAACGGTCGTATCGTACTACCGCCTTCTGGAGCTCTCGAATTCGGTGATTCAGCTCGAGTCGAATGTAGTCCAGGCTTCAGAAGCACTGGAGCAGACTCAGTGAAATGTTTGGCCAATCAAACCTTAAGCCAGGTCCCAGAATGCAGAGATGTGGACGAATGTGCTGAAGGAATAGCATCGTGCTTCGTCAAGAGTACCAAGTGTATCAACTTGAAGGGAGGGTACACCTGCCAGTGTTTGGATGGTTTTAGGCCTCAATTGAGTAAGGATATTAATTTTTATGGAACTAGGAGGTGTGGTTGGGTAGGGGGTATGTTAGGGTTGGGTGAGGTAGGATAGTGTAGAATAGGGTAGGGTACTTTCTTTCCGGGTAACGAAATGTGGCATGAAAACATTATTTTAAAATATATATAAAATGTGTCATCATGACGTGTTTTTTGACTTTTTAAAAATTGTGTCATCATAACGTGTTTTTTTTTGACTTTAGCAAAATGGGTAATTGCGACATGTTTTTCAGACTTTTAAAGATTTTTTTTGTCATTATGACATATTTTATAGACTTCCAAAATATATGCGTCATCGTGACATTTTTTTAGACGTTTTTTGATATTTGTCATGATGACATATTTTTTAGACTTAAAAAATGTGTCATCATGACATGGTTTTTAAACTTCTTATAAAATGTGTCATCACGACAAATTTTTATTTTTTTTTAATTTAAAAAATTTCAATTTTCAGCCTGTCCCTCCTTCCACATTCTCTCCCCCAGCTCGGTCAAAACCAGCAGTTCGGCCGTCTTCAACATGTCATCAGTGACGTTCTGTGCCGAAAAGCGTGACGATCAACGTTATGTTGAGTTCGAATACGCTGCACCAAAGGTACTAGAAAGGATTCGATTCGAAAAGACTGAGGAAGGAGTACCACTATCCATATCATTGTACTACTCACCTGACTTGATGTCCAAACTACGACAAGTCGAAGAGTTATCAGAAGTTGCACTGAAGAACGTGGACATGGCTGGTAGTCAAGTACTCGTACTCAAGAGTACCATCGAAGCCCAGAGGATCCGCATCAAGATCGACAAGTTCAAGGACAATGCCTGTGCCAAAGTGGAGCTAATGGGATGTCAAAAGACGAATTGTGTCGATATTGACGAGTGTGAGGAAGCCAATGGCTACTGCGACCACCAATGTCACAATACTGTAGGTGGATTCAAGTGCACGTGCAGAGAAGGCTACGACCTGTTCAATGAGAATGGCCAAGGAGGAGTGGTGCTGCAGGAAGGAGAGACCGGCTATGATAATCTGGACATGGTAAATTAAACGGTTTTATTTGGGCGGGGTGAAATATTAGGATTTTTTTGGGCGGGGTAAAACTTTGGGATTTTTTTTGGGCGGGGTAAAACTTTACGATTTTTTGGGTGGGGTAAAAGAGAAAAAAATTGTTGGGTAGGGTAAAAATGAACAATTTTTTTTGGGCGGGTGAAATTTTAAATTTTTTTTGGTGGTAGGGGGAGGGAGAATTTTTTTTGGACGTGTAAAATTAAAAAAAAATTTGTTTTGGGCAGGGATATTAAAATTTTTTTTGGTGGGGTAAAATAATAAAAACTGGTTTGGGTGGGGTAAAAATGTTTTTTCAGGGGGGTGGATTTTTTTATAAAAATTTTATTTTTGGGCGTGGTAACTTGAAAAAGATTATTTTTAGGCAGGGTGGCTTAAGTAAAAGATTTTATTTTTGGGCGAGGTAAAATTTAAAAAGATTTTTTTTGGGTGGGGTAGCTTTTGAAAAAGTTTTTTTTGAGTGGGGATGACGGCTTAAAGGATTTCATTTTTGGGCAGAGTACAGTGTTAAAGCTGGGGAAAGAAAATATGACATTTCCTCTTTCAGATTCGCTACAACAAGACCTGTGTAGCTAGAAAATGCCCAGGAGTTGAAGCACCGGCGAACGGAAAGTTGATCAACTTGAATAAGGAGTTCGCTCATCCTAATGTCATGGAGTTCAGATGTAACCATGGGTATCAGATCATCGGAAGCGCCTTCTTACAGTGCACATTTGATGGTACTTGGAATGGCACTGTGCCTACTTGTTCACGTGGGTTTAAGGGCTTAAAATATTAATCCTAAGCACTCACTTAAAGCCTAAAATATGAGCATTATGTGCTCACTTTTAAGCCTAAAATATGAGTATTAAGTGCTCGTTTTTAAGCCTAAAGCCTCTTCAATAACCCTAAAACAATTTTAGCCGCCGTATGTGAAGGAGTACAGAACAACACCTCAATTGGTATGTTCGTCACCGAAGAGAAGCCCTACGTGCCCTACGGCGACAATGTTACAGTAGTCTGTACCCAACAAAACCGCCCCATCAAACAATCCCCCCTAGGCGGACTACGTCAATGCATCTACGACCCACGCCCAGACGGAATGGACTACTGGCTAAGCGGCCCCGAAGCCACCTGCCCACTGGTCGAGTGTGGTCCACCCCCAGCGTTGGCTGGTGCTTTCTACGAGGGCGAGGACGCGAACTTCAAGGTCGGCTCGTCGCTAGCCTTCAACTGCCGCCCACCTTACTCGCTACTCGGTAAAAGCTCGTACGATGACCGGATAGCACGCTGTAACGTGGACGGTAGCTGGGATCTGGGCGATATGCGATGTGAAGGTCCAGTCTGTGTGGATCCAGGCCATCCCGAAGCCGGCCAAACCCACCTGAACTCGGTGGAAGAGGGAGCGGTGGCTAAGTTCACTTGTGACCGGGCAGGCTACAAACCGTACCCATATGATGCTATCAACTGTACCTTGGGCACGTCGTGCTTGTTAAGTGAAGATGTTGGTATATCAAACGGCTACATCCCCGACGGCGCCTTCTCGGATTCAGACACCAAAACCATGTGGGGCTACGAGCCACACAAGGCCAGGATGTCGTCTACAGGCTGGTGTGGCAGTAAAGACGCCTTCATCTTCTTATCAGTTGATCTACAAAGGATTTATACACTAAATACCTTGAGGATAGCTGGAGTAGCTGGTAGTGGATACCTGAGAGGTCATGTCACGAAGCTGCAGTTGTTCTACAAGGTTCAGTTCAGTCAGAACTACGACACATATCCAGTAGAGTTCGAGACGGAAGCTGGCAATCATAACAAGATGTATCAGTTCTACCTCGATCCACCTATCAAGGCTAGATATGTGCTTTTGGGTAAGTATTGTACTAATTGAGGGTAGATATGTGCTGTTGAGTAGGTATAACGAAGACTAGATATGTGCTTTGCAAGTCAAATCTTTCGTTGTGGGACCTAAGCTGGGTTCCCGAGGCCTTCTCTCTGGATCTTGGGCCCACGTGCCCCGGGCCGGCCTCTTTAAAATTTGCTTTGGCTTGGTCTATTAAGCATTTTTCTAGTCTAGCCTAAACCTTAATTTTACAAAAAATCTCCTTTTCAGGCGTAACCGAGTACGAAGAAAACCCATGCCTCAAGTTCGACATGCACGGCTGCCTAGCCCCCCTAACCACCGCCCACGAAACCCCATCCCACCTCCAAGTCGGCTGGAACGCCAGTGTCCCACAATGTATCGATTCCGAGCCTCCACAGTTCATGAACTGCCCAGCCAATCCAGTTTTCGCTCAAACTGACGAATTCGGCCAGATCCTACCAATCAAATACAACATACCCGATGTCCATGACAATTCCGGAGTCGTTGCCTACGTCAAAGTGGAGCCAAAAGACTTCCAACCACCCTACCACATCCACGCCCCACTCGATGTGAAGTACACCGCCTACGACGAAGCCGGAAACTCGGCCGAATGCATCGTACAACTTCGAGTACCTGATACTCAACCTCCAGCTATGAAATGCCCAGACTCGTACTCAGTCTTCGCCACAGCCAATGAAACCACAAAGCATCTGGTGTTCAACGAAAGCACAATACATGTGGTCATGCATGATCTGTCAAACATCACCGAGTTCACGTTAAGCCCACCAGAAGCCGATGTTCATCTCTTCTCGGCCATTGATTTAGAAGCCACGGCTACGGATAGCCATAACAATCGAGCCAACTGCAAATTCCAAGTGGCATTGATGCGTAAGTGAAGCAAAGACAATGTAGTTTAATATTAAGTATGGTAAAGGATTTTGGTTTGAAAGGGATCTGAGCCATTTTTTATATTACACTAGAGGTCAAGGTCATGGTTAATATAATGAAACAGAAGATAAAAATATTTTTTTTGATTTTTTTTATAATCCTTAAACAAAGATGGCCCGTCACGTATTTTACAACTAAAAATGTTAAAAATGGCACCAAATTAGATTTTTATATTACACTAGACATCAAGGTCATGGTGAATATAAATTTGATCATAAAGCTTGCAATTTTTATTTTTAGTCCTTGAAATGACGTTTCTAAACAGAAAAAAGATATTTTTGTGAATTATAACACGCCAAATGTCATAAAATGTCGAAACCAAGACGTTATGGATCATTTTTATGTTACACTAGACATCAAGGTCATGGTGAATATAAATTTGATCCTAAAACCTGAACTTTTAGACTGAATTTATGAAAAATGACATTTTTGAATGTACAAAAGATTGATTTTCGAATTACGACATAAGAAATGTCATTAAGAATAAAAATTGGAGTTTAGGGATTATTTTTATATTATCATAGACATCAAGGTGATGAGTAATATAAATTGTTATAAAAATAAAATTACCAAGGCTAGTGTTATAAAATGTACCTAACTTGATAAAATATACCTAATTCTATACAATGTGATACTAAGTTTGCAAATTTGCAGCTGAACCATGCACAGAAGCCTCGCTACGAACCGACCTCAACTCGGTGAAGAAGTGCGAAACCGAGAACAACCAAACCTCATGTGTCATAAAGTGTCGTCAAGGCTACAGATTCGTCAACTCATCAATCGAAGAGCTCACATACTCATGCTCATCATCTTCCGAATGGTCCCCCAAGTCCCATCCACCAGCTTGTGTACCAAAATCCGAAGAACCAGCACGATACGAGTTCAAAGTCTCGGTCGACTACAGTAGCAGCATCCCAGCCCGCCAAGAATGCATGAAGCCGTACGCTGACGCCGTAGCCAATGCCTTCGAATCCCTGGACGGATCGTTGACCCAAAAGTGCTCTAGTTCAGTCCAAGTCTTTGTACGCTACATGAACTCCAACTTCATGGTAGATGCGGCCAATAACAAGATCGTGAAGGCCAACTTCACCGTTCAGATTTTGCCTACCGTGCAACAAGAAGTCTTCTACGAACTTTGTGGTCTAACATTGTCAACTATATTCGATTTGAGAATACCTGGTGCTACAATACCCGTGAAGACCTTGCTACAGCTACCGAATGGTGGACTAAATGCACCACATTGCATGCCAATGACTGCCATTTCAACCAAAATCAGCCAAGGCTTTGCCTGCACGAAGGGAGAGATTCTGAATAAGGAGGGAACGGACCTTCCGGAGTGTGGTAAGTTAAAAAAGTCATGTCACGTCTTGAAAAATCTAAAATAAGGTTTATAAGACAAAAAATGAGTGTTTCTTTTGTAAAAATGATGATAAAACGAAATGTCACTATTGATTTTTAACTGAAATGATTTTTAAACTGAATCAGAACTGTTTTTAGGAATTTAAAAAGTTAGAAAGACACTTTTTACGCTGTTTTGTTACCTTTTTTAAAATTGGACGAAGTGTCAAAATTGATTTTTTGAAATGTAACGAAGTGTCAAAATCAATTTTCTTATATAAAATTTTTTAAAAATGAAAATTTATGACACTTTATTATTTTAAATCGTAATTTTTTATTTTTGTCATTTTTGACGAAATGCCACTATTGATTTTTGAAATCTGACAAAATGTCAAAATTGATTTTTTTATAAATTTCAATTTTCAGTACCATGTGCCAAAGGTTCAGTCTTCGCCGGCTCCACCTGTGTTCTCTGCCCAGCTGGCAGCTATCAAGACAAGGATGGTCAACAAGAATGCAAAAAGTGCCCCGAGGGCACTTTCACAGCCACCACTGGTACCACCAGTCGCTCTGGTTGTCTGGCTGTCTGTGGAAATGGAATGGTCTCTGAATCCGGCTTGATACCGTGCCAGCTTTGTCCTAGACACACATTCGCTGGACCTCCTCTGCCTGGAGGCTACAAAACTTGCGACGCCTGTCCAGAAGGTACGTACACTGCCAATCTTGGTGCCACTGGTCCTAGCTATTGTAAACAACCATGCAAGCCAGGCTACTTCTCCGAATCTGGTCTGGAGCCATGTTCACCATGCCCGTTGAACTTCTATCAGCCAAGTCTAGGCCAACAACGTTGTCTTGAGTGCTTGAATAATACCGTAACCCACGAGACCGGTCGAGCTCTGGAAGCCGACTGTAAGCCTTTGGAATGCACTGGTGTCAAGTGTCAGAACAAGGGAGTTTGTGCCATTGCCAATCATAAAACGACGTGTGAATGCCGACCCGGATTCACTGGAGAGTTTTGCGAAGAAAGTGTACCAATTTGTGATACGAACCCGTGTTTGAATGGTGCTGCGTGCGAGAATGTGGCCGGAACGTTTAGATGCATCTGTCCACAGAGTAAGGTTTTGATATTTTTTAAAAAGTTATTTTAGGCTTAAAGACTTTTCGTTAAGCCTAGAAGGTGTTAGGCCTAAAACTTTGATTTTAAAATTAAAATGTTAGTGTTAAGCCGGTTTGATTTTAAGCCTAAACATTTGCTTTCAAGCCAAAAACGTTGATGTTAAGCCTGAAGAATGATTTTAAGCCTAAAACATAAATTTTAAGCCTAAAAATTTGATTTTAAGCAAAAAATGCTGTTGTTAAGCCTAAAGATTTATTTTAACCTTAAAATTTTATTGTTAAGCTTAAAGATTATTTTGAAGCTTAAAAGGTTGATTTTAAGCCTAAATATTGGTTTTAAGCCTAAACATTGATTTTAAGCGTAAAATACTTAATTTACAATATTCATTCCTAAAAAATTAATTTTGATTTCTAATTTTTTACCCTAACCTGCCATTTTCCATAAAATAACCCTTACTTCCAGACTTTACCGGCGCCCGTTGTCAATTCGGTCCAGACGAGTGTATCGGTGTGAACTGTCCGAACGGTGGTGTTTGTCAAGACCTACCAGGTGTTGGTACCCACAAATGCGTTTGTCGAACCGGTTTCATTGGCCATGATTGCTCGGAAATTGCTGATCTATGCCAATCGGATAATCCATGCAAAAATGGTGCTGATTGTGTACCATTACAATTGGGAAGATACAAGTGTAAATGCTTACCTGGATGGGAGGGTCCCACTTGTGAGAAGAATATTGGTAGGTTTTGAAGTTTTAAATTTTTGAAATTTTAAAAAATATTTGAAATTTTAAAGATTTTTCGAAACTTGAAAAATTAAAAAAATGAAAATTTTGAATTTGAAAGCCAAGAAAAGGACATGCTTTAATTAAACACGCACGGAATGTCGTGTCAAGTAACATAACACAATATCAAATGGATATAAAAAAATTAAATTGTAAACAAGAAATGAAAAAAAATTGAAGTTTAGGGTAGGGCAAGGAATTTTAAGGAAAACTAGGGTGGGTGAGGCAAGAATAGTGAAGGGTAGAATGGGTCAGGGTTGTCTAGGGTAATGTACCATGCAGCAGGGTAAGGTAGGGCAGAGAAAGTTAATTTTAAGAGAAACCAGGCAGGGCAGGTTGTAAAATGGTTTGTGATTAAAAGTTTGAAGAAGGCTGGGGGTAAAAACTGATACGACAGTCCATTTTTGCGTTGGCACCGAAAGCCTAAACAGAGTTAGTGGTGTTGTTAGGGCAAGATTTGTTAAGGTATGGTAGTTTATAGGAGAGTAGTTTATAGTTGGCTAGGGTAGGCTAGTATAGAGTAGGGTGAGGTTGTAGGGTAGGGTAGGGTAGGGTAGGGTAGGGTAGGGTAGGGTAAGGTAGGGTAGGGTAGGGTAGGGTAGGGTAGGGTAGGGTAGAGTTGGGTAGGGTAGGGTAGGGTAGAGTTGGGTAGGGTAGGGTAGGGTAGTATGAACTGTACTTGGGGTAATATACGTGCGGCAACACTTTGTTATGAAAAAATTTATTTTGATTTAAAAAAAATGAAAAATCAAGAAAATCGATGGTAATGTCTCATTACCCGTAATAATGAGAGTAGTAAAACCTGAGAAAAAATAGCTTAAGATAGGCTTTACGTTACAATAACATTAGTAATATAGGAGGGTATATACATATATAGGCATAGTAGATTGTGTATTATACTGGGCTTTAGTTTGGGATGACAAAGGCGAAGGAAATTAGGCTTAAAAAGGAAGTTTAGGCCTAAAAGTTGATTTTTAGGCTTAAATGTAAACTTAGGCTTGAAAAATAATTTTTTAGGTTTAAGAATGAAGATTTAGGCTTAAAACTGCCTTTTTAGGCTTAAAGCTGTTCTTTAGACTTAAGGGTTTCTTTAGACTTAAAAATGACTTTTAGCCTAAAAACCTGCCGGTTAGGCTTAACAATAAAGCAAAGAGATCAAAATTCAAATCATTAAATCAAATTTAAACTTTAAAATTTGGGTTGCTAGGGGGTGGTGGCGGAGCGGTCGGGTTGGCTGGTTCATATTGTGATACCGGCGCGAAGCCACTGCCATGCTGACGTTCCATATCCTTATGGTACTTGCGCGTAATACAGAACCCAAAAGAGACATAACTTATGAAGAATATATCCAATAAGATAAATAACAAGCCATAAAAGCGAAGTTCGGCCGCGACTTCCTTCTGGGCATGGACGTCAAGTTCTTCGTCCAAGAAGACCTAAAATAAAGTGTTTAGGGAGGTGAACGTGGAAAAAGTGTGTTTTAGGTGTAAGGAATTGATGGTTAGATATAATGAACAATATCTTGGGAACGTTTTGGCAAATTTTTATTAATGGTACTACTGGTACTGACTCAAAAATTAAATGAAAAATAGAGTGGACCATGAATTTATGGGTCAAAAATAGGTGTTAGGCTTGATTTAAAGCAAGAAATAAGCCTAAAGTAGCTTTAAATTACTAGCGAGCTTTGCAGTTCAAGTGTAAACTGTTTTGCCTTCAAGGTTTATTAATTCAAATTTAAAACTGACGTCAACAATTAAAAAACCTATATTGTTTTGAATGCTCGCCGACTTGAAACAACAATTTTACTTGGAAATTCAAACTAAAAGAATTTCAAAAACAATAAAATTTAAGGCGAGAACTCACTGACCAAACAACAACCTTAACAATGTTGTATTAGGCGGTTTTGAACAATAAACAAACAACACGTTTTTGAACCAAAAAACACACTTTTTTAAATTTTAGCTTATTACACTTAGTTTTTATAACTTTAAGGCTTAAATATAGATAGCTTTAGACTGTAAAAATCAAGTTTAAGCGTAGTGTTCTAAAAAAATAGGCTTAAAATCTTCCTTCAGCCTAATTTTTTAAAATTTAAATTTCAAATCATAAACCAAATTTTAGGCTTAAAAAACCATATGCTAATCAAAAGTAAAGCGTGATTGACCCAAAAAGTCTTTTCGAATCCATTTCACTTCCAATTTGATATTGCGTTATGCAAAAACGGCCTAATTTCATAGACCGACGCTGAATCCGGAGGCAATTCGAGCGGTCCCCGTTTTTTTGGTTAGAAAAAGAGGTCGAAGCCCTCAGGGGAGCCGGGCCAAAAGCAGCCAACTTTGGGTCAATTAACTCCCATTGTTTGTTTTAACCCGTAAACAGTGGTTTTAATATTCGAAAAATTTTAAATTACTCATTTTTGGCTTATCTTAGGCTTAAAATTATTTATTTTTTGGTTTAAAAATGCCCATTTTAGGCTTAAAATTGGCGATTTTTGGGTTAAAATCAGGTTTTCAAACACTTTATGAAACTATATCAATAATACTAACTCTAATATACGTCCCTAGTTAAAAAGATCGTATTTTACAATATACTTACTCAACTTAAGGCGGACTTTATTTTTAGGTTGTTTTGCACCAAGAGTCATCCTTTAGGCTTAAAAAGTTTAGCTCAATATGTAGACCTTTAGGCTTAAAAATTGTTGCGCAACAGGTAGGCCTTTAGGCTTAAAATGTTTAACGCAATAGATAAGCCTTAAGGCTCAAAAATTGCAATTTAATAGGTAGGCCTTTACGCTTAAAAAGATCAAAAGATATGTCCACATGAACTAATAGTTACTGGACTAAAACTTTCAAAAGATATAGCTATATCAAGTAAACTAAAACAATCCAAAACCATACAATTGTTAACTAAAAACCCACAAAAACTAACAATTATCTCTTTCCTAATCAAAAACAACGGTTAATCCGTAATTACTTACTCGGTAAACCCAAAACACCAAGCCATTAATCTTCTGGGCACCGCCGGTAAAGTAAAAAATACACAAGAAGCCGAACACGAAGCCACAAACCAGTAGGCCAATTTGTTGAATTAATCGTGGCAGCACATACGATGCATTCTTCTTCTTGTGCGCCGCAATTAACATACCAAACGCGGTGAACAGGGTTACAATCCAGAATGTCATCACGAAAATCATGAACGCATTTCCAAAGTCTCTGAAAAGGGTTTGTTGGGTTAGACTTGTTTAAGGTGGTTTTAGGCTTGTTTTAAAGTGATGTTAGGCTTGTTTAAGGAAAATTAGGCAGGGATTCGAAGAGTTTAAGATCTTCTATGGTTTCTAGGCTTGCTTAAGATTGTTTTAGGCTTATTTTAAGGTGATTTTTAGCTTGTTAACGAAGCTTTAAGCATGGTTGAGATGAATGGGGGCCTTTAAAGCTGTTTAGGTCTTTTTAAGATTGCTTTATGCTTGCTTTAAGGTAGTTGTAGGCTTGTTAAAGGAAGATTTAAGCATGGGTAAGATTAAGATAAAACAGTAAGGGTTTTAGGCCTGTTTTACATTTTTTTAGGCTTGGTAAAGGAAGGTTTAACCATGGGTAAGATGAGCTTAGACTTTTAAAGATTCTTAAGCCTGTTTAGTATTGTTTTAGGCTTGTTCAGGCTTACTTTCAAATTTAAAAATATACTGTTTGCTCAAAATAAGTCGTTTATAACCTTTTTACTACGTTTTTCTATGCCAATACCTATAAAACTAAAGTAAAACCAACTAAAGACCTCATTGCACACGCAAGTAAAGCAATTACCACCCAGTAACTTTTTATGATTTAAAAAGTGTTTTCGAAAAATAGAAAAAGCGTTTGTTGGCCATAGTTTTTGCTTGCGTATCTCCGAATTTTTCGAGTTTTCCGGTAATTTGAAGCCATTATTCGAACGCAAGGCCAATTTTTTTTGCTCGCAAAGGTCTTCAAAAATAACAACGGAGACCGTAAACATGTGATTCTTTGTTTTTTGAAACTTATTCTATAGGGAAAATAGCTTAAAATGGCAGGGGAGTTAGGGGGAGGGTTGATTTTTAAAGATTTTTCCATTTTGAAAAGGTTAATAGCCTAATTTTGATGACATGACATGTTATTATAAGAAAAAAGCCGCAGAAACAGTACTATTAAGTTGACCCAAAAGTAGCGGGACACTTTTCAGTTACTTTTCAACTAAAAAGTGTCCCATTACTTTTGGTTCAACCTATAACAAACTAAAAAAGTACTATTAAACGAATATTCAAATAAACTTACAAGTGATGAATCGTCCTCAATATAACTTGACTCATGTTGTACCAACAGTACAAAGAAACGATCAGTTCGAAGCAACACAGCCATATGGCACACTTGTACATGGGGCAACAAAAACAACAACAAACCATGGTTGGTGCTCTCAGTAGTTCACCAAAACAACTTGACCACGTTGATTCGGAATGTTCTGTAGCACGGTTCCGGCCACTCGAATATTTAAAAGATTCTGATAAGCCTGTAGCAGATGAGTTAGGTCTTGTAGCAGATGAATTTGAATATCCCGTGGAGTCGAGTGGCGCCGGCGGGCGTGGTGGGATCCGAAGATCCTGGGGCGGAGTCGGCGCTTTCAGCGGTTTGTTGAAAGTGAAGCCGATGTGCACGGCGCTCTCCGTCTTTGCCATTGTATTTTCAAGGCTTTGTCTAGTTCTGTGAGGAGTGTGTGGTTGTCTGTGGTATCTGCGGGGTTGTGGTATGTTTTGTTTTGTAGCGTCGTCTCGTAGGTTTTTCGTTCGAACGTTTGTTGGAGCTTCTGACTTGGTGTGCTCGTACTGTCTGTGGTTGTGTCTTGACTTGGTAGGTTTTTACTGTCTGTGAAACGGTTGTGTCTTGTCGTATGTTTGTTTGGACGTAACACTTTTTTGGCTTCCTCTGTGTGTAGTAAGTATATTCTGTTCCTTTGCGTCTGTTGGACGTAGCTCTGTTATTTAAACGTCCTTGACCGTGCTGTATCGTTCTTAATATGTTACTCTATCCAGAAGCTCACCTACAGCCTCTCCAACAATCTCACGTTGTCTGCAATAAACTCTCCGTCCTTCTATTAAAATTCTCTGCACGTCAACCAACCTCCTTTTTTTCTTTGTCCTTCCGAACGCTAACTCGTCTGTCAACAATCTCCACCCGCCGTTGTATATAATTCCTTTTATTGCGACGCAAAAAGGAAAAGATTTTGTTCTTCCCTCTTTTTGTTGGCCTTCGATGTCTTAATAAGGGCGCAGGAGGTTAACTGGAAAAAATAAAAATAAATATTCTACTCGAGCAAAACACGTTCCACGGAATAAGAAAGTATGGAAGATGGTAAACATAATAAGTGAGGGCTGGAGGTCACATAGGGTATTCGTGGTAGTAAATATTAAAGAGGAGAGTCAGGTCTTTATAGAGAAACAAGGGGAATGGAATAAGGTCTTCATAGTGGTACTACTACAAAACGATAAGTTTGTCTTGATGGTACTACTAAAAGAAGTGGTAAGTTTTCCATAATGGTACTACTAAAACATAAGTCCTTCCTTAGTGGTACAAAAAAGGATAAGTTCTTTATAATGTTGCTACTAAAAAAGTATGTTTTTCTTTATGGTACCACTTAAAAAAGGGTAGAGTTTTCTTGATAGTACAACTCTAAGTAAGGTTAAGTTCTTCATAATGGTACTACTGAAAGAAAGGATAGGTTCTTCATTATGGTACAAATAGAAAAGGGATAAGTCTTCAATAATGGTATTACTAAGAAAAGGGTTATCTTCTTCATACTGGTACTACTAAAAATTTGCAACTTTCTCAACATAGTAAAAGTAAAATGGCAATTATAAAGAAATTGCTTAGATCTCAAAATCAACGCCAAAGATCAACCGCTTTATCATACCTTAAGTCCAAAGTCTGGGTAAAAGGTAGATTTTTAAACCTTTATAGCATCCCTCCTTATAGCATGCCTCGTTATAGCATTATTTCTTCATAGCTTACCTTCTTATAACATTGTCTTCTATAAAACGTAGCTCCTTATAACACAGCTTTTTGTAGTTTATCTCTTTATAGCATAATTTCTTATACCGTCATTACCTTTTTCAAAACCTATTCAACCAAAACCCAAAACAATTTGTAAAGAAACAGCCAATGATTGGGTGGAAAAGCTTGTTCAAAACAACTTGTCCTAAGCTTGTTCGAATCAGATTTGCATCAATTAATCTTCCCCCAAGTACACGGCTTTCACCGCCAGAGGCAACAAATCTTTTCGAACAAATATTGTTTCCATAACCCAATTATTTAAAAATAAAACATTCCGAACAGTGGGACAAATCTTTGGGGACAGCTGGTTTGATTTTTTTTCGAAAAGAAACGGGGCGAGGGTGAAGGCAGAGTGATGATGTTTTGACATTACAAAGAGGAAATATGTTACGAAAAGACTGACCTGAGGTTAGTCATTGCGGTGGGAGGTAGGGCAGTAACTAGTTAGTCATTGGTGGAAGGTAGAGTAGTAACTGGTTAGACATTGGTGGAAAGTAGACTAGTAATTGGTTAGGCATTGGTGGGAGGTAGAATTCTGAAGGGTTGGACTCATTTTTTTGGCCCGGTCTTTTTCACAATTTCTTGGCTGGACCGAGGTAGGACCAAGCTTAGTGGGACCCTTTTCAGGTCTAGTGGGAGGGGTAATGAGCTTAAAATAGGGGTAGTAAAAGATAAAATTACCCTAAACTAAAAAAATAAGCCTAAAGTATAAAAATAAGCTTAAAATAGAAAAATAAGCCTAAATTTGAAAAACCCTAAAGTTAAATAGGTCTTAAGGAAAAAACATAAGCCTAAAGCAAAGAAATAAGCCAAAATAAAAAAAAATCTAAAGTAAGAATAAGCCTGAAGTATAAAAAAAAGCCTAAAGGACGGAAATAAACCTAAAATAGAAAAATAAGCCTAAAATTTTTTAAAATTTGAAAAATTTTTTAGGGCAGGCTTAAACCGGAATGGATAAAAGTAAAAAATAAGACGAAAAACTAAAAAAAATTAAAATTATGCCAAACTAGCCAAATATATACTCAAAAACCAAAAACCGCATCCACAAAGAATGACTAAATCAGCATAGTCAGCCCCATCTCTAACATGTGTTGTCACTTTAAGACCACGGACTACTCGAATTACCGTCTCCTGACCTCGCGAACTTTCTTCCGCTCGATTTGCGGTTAAAACAACCTCAAAAACAATCTCTTCCCAAGGACAATGTTTATTGAAGGGGGTAGGAAGATGATCAGTGGGAGGTGATGACTAGGCATTAATCGAGCAAATCGCTTGTTTCTTTTGAGGTTTTAACGGTAGGAGGTTAGGCTGATCATGGGGAAGATTGAAGGTTTTCAAATGGTCTTAACGGATTTAAATTAAAATGGCAAGAACTTTCTTTACAAAACACAAAATGGCAAGAACTTTCTTTACAAAACATAAAATGGCAAAAACTTTTTTTACAAAATAAAAAATGGCAAGAACTTTCTTTATAAAACGAGAAATGGCATATACCGTATAACTTTTCATCCGCAGGTTGCAAAATACGAAATCTGTATTTTTTTGGTCTCATGGGATAATTAAAGACTAAAACATTATATAAGGGTTCCACTGTATATTGATCTGTAAAGAAAGTTCTTGACATTGAATCGAAAAATAAATTTTACAAAAGTTTTAGTAATTTTTGAGTGTAATTTGGGTTGGATAGTAAAGTACCGTATACCTTTTCCTTTCTCTTCATTTCAATCTCTCTAATTTGACAAGAACGTCAAGATTCTTATGGAAACAAAAAGAAAAACATTGAATAACACTTCAAGGTTACTATAACATTACTAGGAATCAAAGTAAAAATTCATTGAATGGTCGTAAAAGAAAACCAAAAATGACAAGAACTTTCTTTAAAAATCAAAAAATGGCAAGAACTTTCTTTACAAATCATAAGAAAACAAAAAAAATATTAAAAAAACATAACAAAAACAAGATTTCAACTTGAAAATTGAGTAATAATTGATTTAACAAGTGGCTTTACATAGTTTGCACTTCTAAGTTTATACAAAAGATTAGTGTTTTTTGTAAAAGCGAGGTTTAAGCGCGGATACCAAGAGGTTTATTGGGATTAGAATATTACTTTAGATCATAATCAAGGGGGTGGGTGATTTTAAAAATTTGGGGAGGGTAGGATATTTTTAAGAGTAGTGGTGGGGGGCGGAGAAGAGGGGGCGTTCCAAGAAGATTTTACATTTACTACCCTACCCTACTCAACCTTTTTTACACTACCCTACTATACTTACCGTATTCTACCATACACAACCCAATTTTACTATACTTTACTCTACCTTACTCTACCATTCTTTAGTCTACCGTAATTTTCCCTTCCCTCACTTTAATCTACCCTACTATACATTACCAAGCTTAAATCTACTCTGTCTTATTTTGCTCTACTCTACCCTACCTTACTCTAACATACTTTGCTCTACGGTACCTTACTCTATCTTACCCTACCTTACTCTGCTTTACCCTGTCTTAGCAAACATTACCGTATACAAACTAACCAAATAGTTTTAAGTTTTTGATACAAAAAAGTTTTAAAAAATGTGTAAAATACACTGGAGCCTGACTGTATTCCAATATTTCTCTAAACCATGCATTTTCAGACGACTGCAAAGACAAGCCATGCGCTCTTGGCGCAGTATGTCACGATCTAGTCAATGATTTCGAATGTGAATGTCCACATGGCTTTACTGGTAAAAGATGTCATATCAAAGAAGACCTATGTCATCCAAACCCATGTGCCAACGGCGATTGTGTCGACCGACTTTTCGACCGCGAATGCATTTGTCACGAAGGCTGGACTGGATCACATTGTACACAGAACATTGACGAATGTGCCGACGCCCCGTGCAAAAACGGCGGAACTTGTAGGGATAAGGTAAGGAATGGCGCAAAAGTTAAAAGTTAGGGTTTTTTGGAATTTTGTGAAATGGGTGAGAAACATTAATTTTTAGAATAAAAAGAAGTGCTATAAGCTTGAAAATGGCATAAACTTGAATTTTGATTGTTAAAATGTAAAAAAATATAGGGTTTTTTCAATTTTGTGAAACGGCCCGGCTGAAGAAAATCGATTTTTATAATGAAAAGAGCTTATGAGCCTAAAAAATGGATAATTGTGTTTTAGCGGTTAAGAAAAGTTAATTTTAAGTTTTAAAAAAGTTTGTGAAATGGTCCGGGTGGAAAAAAATTGTCTAAAGAGGCCTACAATTGATTTTCAAGTCTAAAAGGCGATAAAAGTTAAGGTTAAATAGATGAAAATTATTAAAGAGCTAAAATATTACCTAAAAACGTCATTTTTTATTTTATTATTACCTAAAAAATTATTTTTCCGAAGCAAAAAACCAACAATAGTACCTAAAAAACCCAAAAAATTCCCTCTTATCAAGTACAGACCTGACTAAAACCTCGAAAAACAGCACTGTTCCATCTTGTTTTCAAGTTAAAATGACGATTTTACAATCCGAACTGATAAGAAAGTCAAAACTTAACTTGAGCAAGCAGTAACGTGCTTAAGTTAACAAGATTACCTAATTCTCGAACAAAGATAAGATCTAAAATGGCTTTCAAAGTCAATTTTTGTGAAAATGTTTAAGAATGAGTCATTGGGAAAAGGACAAAACTGTTAAATTTGACTGTAAACAAAGTTTTTGAAATAAAAATTTTATTTTTTGCGAAATTTTTGGTTTTTGGAAGGTTTGAGGGTGGAAGGAAAGTTCTTGCTATTTTTTGTTTTGTAAAGAAAGTTCTTGCTATTTTTCGTTTTGTAAAGAAAGTTTTTGCTATTTTTCCATTTGTAAAGGAAGTTCTTGCCATTTTTTGATTTGTAAAGAAAGTTTTTGCCATTTTTTGTTTTGTAAAGAAAGTTTTTGCTGTTTTTTTTATTTGTAAAGAAAGTTCTTGCTTTTTTTTATTTTGTAAAATACGCTCTTGGTTTTATGGCTTTAATGTTAAGTTGTATGTGTTTGCAGCCTGCAGGCGACAAGTTATACGATGAATACGGTTTTTTTTGTTTTTTAAAGATTTTTTGTGGTTGTAAAGAAAGTTTTTGCTATTTTATCACATTTTTTATCAAAATTTGACAAAAAATAAAAAAAAATTTTTTGGGTACATTTTTTTTCAAATGGCATTAAAACAAAATTTTTTTAATTTAAAAATTTTCAGGAAAACGGCTACGACTGTCAATGCCCACCAGGCTTCTACGGAGTCCAATGTCAACACCAGATCAATCACTGTGCCACAGCACCGTGCCAAAACAACGCAACGTGCCTGAACCAAGGTGCCAAATACCGTTGTGAATGTCCACTCGGCTTCGAGGGCGCACACTGCGAACTAGAGATTAATGAATGCGAAGAGAAGGAAGCTTGCAGCCCTGAGGGCACGGAGATGTGCCAAGACCTGGTGAACGGCTTCAGATGCCAATGTAGACACGGCTTCACGGGCGAACGATGCGAAATTCATCAAGACCAGTGCATGAGTGAGCCTTGCATGAACAATGGCAGTTGTATTGATTTGGGTAGTAGGTTTAAATGTGAATGCAAAAATGGATGGAAGGGAGAGAAATGTGACATTGAGGCAGGCAAATGTGAGGACAAACCGTGCAAGAACGATGGCAATTGTGTCAACTTGAACGATGGAGACTACTTCTGTGTTTGTCCTGAGGGTAGGGAGTGATTTTTTTGATATTCTCAAGAGTTTTTGATGGTATTAGGGGGTTGCAACAGAATGCCAAGATTGGCGGGAAAGTGAAAATTTGAAATGTTTTTACAATTTTTTATTAAAAAATAATTTTTAGTTATTTTAAGTAGTTAGAATTAATTTAAAACATATTTTTCGACTATTATAAGGCTTTAAAACAGAATGCCAAATTTGGCGGGAAAATTGAAATTTGAATTTTTGTTTGAAATATGTAAAATTTGGGGCTTTTAAGTGCCTAGGGCCAAAATAAAACAGGTTTTGACTATTTTAAGGCCTTAAAACAGAATGCCAAGTTTAGCGGGAAAAGAAAAATTCAAATTTCACTTTTTTCAGGAGTAAGTGGAAAGAACTGTGAACACGCCCCCAACCGTTGTATCGGTGAACCTTGTCATAACGGTGGAGTTTGTGGCGATTTTGGTTCAAAACTCGAGTGTACCTGCCCTAAAGGCTTTGTTGGTGCAGGCTGTGAGTACCAATTGGACGCCTGTCATCATGGTCTATGCCAAAATGGTGCCACATGCGAAAGCCTAAAGAACGGCGACTACAAATGTCACTGTGACAAGGGATATAATGGCAAAAACTGCGAAAACGAAATCGACGAGTGTACCAGTGGTACCTGCCCAATTGGTGCCAAGTGTATCGACCAGTCGAACGGATATTACTGTCAATGCCCATTTAATATGACCGGACCTTCATGTGACAAGGAAATATCGACCGATTATGACATTCGATTCAATGAAGGTATGGAGGCGGCGCAAGCTGCTTTGGCGGTACCAGTACCATTCTCATCCGGTGCTTTTTCATTGAGTTTGTGGATCAAGTTCGATGAACCACATGCTAATGGGGATGTGCTGACATTGTACAACAGCCAGTAAGTTTTACTTATCAAAGTAATGTTTATATAATGTTAAAAATGGCATTTTTTATAATTTTATCGCACAGTGCCAGAAGTTTTTCGGATTGCACAGTGCAATGATTTTTAAAAAAAATGTTTTTGCCATTATTTTTGAAGAAATTAAATTAAAATTGGTTTTAATAGCTTTATATTAGTCTGTAGTAAACTTTATAATAGATTTTGTTACCTAAAATTACATGAAAATTTTGCTTTGACGAAAATAAAAAATATTGCGCGGTGCAAGGAAATTAAATTTTTGCACGGTGCAGGGGAATAAAAGATAATACAAAAAATGGCAAGAACTCTTTTTACAAAACAACAAATGGAATGAACTTTCTTTACAAATTAAAAAATAACAAGAACTTTTTTTACGAAACAAAAATCGGCAAGAACTTTCTTTACAGAACAAAAAACTACAAAAACTTTCTTTAAAAATCAAAAAATGGCAAGGAAAATCTTTACAACCTTTAATATGACGTTTTTCAGAACCCTAAACGGACCATCCAACCTGACCGAGCTCTTGAGAGTTTCGGCCGCTTCTTGTCGCTTGGCCCTATTCTCCGACGAAAATCCATTGACTTTGCATTTCCCAACGAATCAACGATTGAATGATGGAAAATGGAACAATTTGGTGATCACTTGGTCAGCTCACGAAGGAGCATACTCTTTGGTTTGGAACGCCATCAGGTTGTATGCTGATGTTGGCTATGGCAAAAATAAGCAGTTGAATATGAAGTGAGTGGGTAAGGTCGGGTAGGGTAGGGTTGGGTAGGGTAGGGTAGGGTATGGCAAGGTAGGGTAGGGTCGAATAATACATGAGAAAGTATAGTAGGGTATGGTAGGTTAGGATTGGTGTGCTGTATTTACAGTGTGGTACTAAAAATGGCAATAACTTTTTAAAATTAAAATTTTTTAAAAGATTTTTTGAAAATTTAAGATTAGCTTAAAATTTTAGTCTAGAAACATATGTAATAGTTAAAACTTTTATTCGGGTCCTAAATTACGAAACGTGTAGACGTAGTATAGTGGTAGCGAGCCTGACTTGCGCGCCAAATCATGCGGCTTCGAATCCTACTGATCGTAAATGACGTAATAACATTTAATGCGTGTTATAATGTAAAATACGGGAGATGTGGGCTTTGTGAAGCATAATTTGATTATTAGTACTACTTTAGACTATAATTTTTTAAAATCAGCTAAAATGACATTTTAAAATCAAAAAATTTTAGTGCTTGGATAAACCTGGGTCGACCGGTAGATGCCTCAACAAATGATGCGAAATTCGTTGGCAGTGTGACTCGAGTTCACATTTGGAGCCGCACCTTGAATTTCGAAAATGACATTCCGACCATCGTTCAAAGCTGTCAAGACTCACCGACCATCTTCTCTGGCCTAGCCTTGCACTTTGCCAACTACGACCTTCTAAACGGCAATGTTGAGAAAATTGGCAAAAGCTCTTGTGGTCGTACTGTTTATGGTACTACTGGTGCAGTTGGTACTACTGGTGCAATTGGTACTGATGGTGCACATGGTACCGAAGGTAGTCATGATAATGTCAACTTCCATCCTATTGATGGTACTACTGGTGCACATAGTACTGTACAAGTTGAGAAATGTCCGAAAGACATATTCGTGGTAACACCAATGAAGGAGGTCAACGTTTCATGGGAAGAGCCAGTGTTCTCGGCCGTGAACAATGTGGACAGAGTGGAGAAGAACTTCAAGAGTGGCCAAATGTTTACGTTCGGCGAGTTTCAAGTACTCTATGTGGCTTATGACAACGAAAGCAACAGTGCTGAGTGCAGTTTTAAGGTAAAGAGAGATGAAATTGACATTTTGGGAGGTTGAAACGGAATGCCAATTTTGGCGGGAAAATAACAATTCAAATATTTTTGTGTAATTTGTTATTTTAATTTATATCTAACACTTTTTTAGGGTTGTAAGTGTTTTAAATGTACTTTTTAAGTGGTTTTAACGCTGTACATCAATATGCCAAATTTGGCGGGAAAACAAAAATTTGAACTTTTTTACTAAACTTGGTATCTAAGGTTATTTCTAACACTTTTAAAGTGTTGTAAGGGTATTAACAATACTTTTACAGTTGTTTAAAAGTGTTAAAACACAATGCCAATTTTGGCGCGAAAATTAAAAATTTGAATTTTTTGAAAAAATTGATTATTTGGTTCACTATGTTTCACATATGTCTAAAATAAATAAAAAAAATAAAAATTTTTGATTTAAAAAGTGCCATTTTAGATACACATAACTCGCGAATTCTGTCCAGACGTCCAGAATCCAGTGCACGGTCAACAGTTTTGCGAGTACTGGGGCCCGGACCTCAAGTACCGTGCTTGCTCCATCCGATGTGATGCAGGCTTTGAGTTCAGCGAAGCACCAGCTCTCTTCTACACTTGTGCTGGCGACGGTGTGTGGCGTCCACGGTCTTCAGAAGCCTTCAGCTTCCGTTATCCACAGTGCGCGCCCAAGAAGCCGGCTTCACGCCTCGTGCACATGAAAATCGACTACCCTGCTGTGACGATATGCAACATAGCATCAACTGACACATTGAGTGAGCGATTGGTGCAGAGGATCAATCAGTTGCACAGTAAATGGAAGCTATGTCAAGATACGACCAAAGACGTGTGTGATGGTGTAGATGTGAAGGCGCAATGTGTAAACGATGAGTTACAGAGGGCTGAAAGAGAAGCTGGTGGGCAGGATAGAAGTAGGAGAGAGGCTACACAAAGATTTGAGGTCAAGATCAGCTTGCCAGTTCAGAAGATCGCTGTCAGTGAAGGTAAAGGTGAAGCCAAGGATGTGATCGACATCATTCAAAACGAAGTCTTCAACAAGGATCTTCTGAATCTTGAACATGTAGGTTTTTATCAAATTTTAAAGTTTTTTTATTTTAAAAGTAAAAAAGATTTTTTGCACGGTGCAGTGATCTTTCCAGACTGCACAATGCAAACTTTTTTTAAAAATTGGTTGTTGTGCTATTTTAAAATATAGCTAAGCGCAAAGTGTTTTAATACTTTTAAAATGGATAGTTATTAAATATTGATTAGTATTTGGTACCTAAAATAATATACAAAAAGTGTGGTGATAAAAAAAATTTTTTGCACAGTGCAAACTTTTTTCAAAAATTTTTTGTGATGCCGTTTTTAAATATAACAAAATGGAAAATGTTTTAAAACGTTTAGAATAGATAGTAATTGAAGATAGATTAGTATTTGTTATACCTAAAATAGAAAAAGAAAAAATTTGTTGCACAGTGCAATGAATCTATTATATTCAGTGTTTTGCCCGGACCGGTCCGGAGCGTTTTTCACCGGTCCGGTCCGGCGATTTTTTGGGTCCGGTCGGGTCCGCAAAAAATTTTTTTTTTAATTTTTAAAAAAAGCAAGGATCGCTAAAACTGCTTTCTTTTTGCTTAAAAACTCCTAAAAATATGTTTTATTTGCAATTTTTAAAACAGTTTTATTAAAATAAAAAAAAATTTCTTCCGGACCAGTCCGGAGCGTTTTTCACCGGTCCGGTCCGGCGATTTTTTGGGTCCGGTCCGGACCGGACCGGTCTGGCAAAACACTGATTATATTTGACTGCACGGTGCAGTGGTTTTAATAATTGCACGGTGCAGAATTATAAAAAATGGCAAAAACTTTCTTCAGAAAACAAAAAACGGCAAAAATTTTCTTTACAAAACCTAAAATTGCAAGAACTTTGTTTACAGAACAAAAAATGGCAATAACTTACTTTACAACCTCAATTTTTTTAGCTTTTACCAAACGGCCGACCAGATCTGAACTCTTTCAAACTTGACGAAGAATTCAAATGTAGAATGGGCGAGGTTAACATCAAGGATTCTTGCATACCATGTGCTTCTGGAAGTTATTTCAATCAGAAAACGCAATCTTGTACTCAATGTTCTGCTGGTGAGTATCAACCAAATGAAGGGCAACTGTCATGTCTGGCATGCCCAGGCAATGGCGTCACTACATCACCTGGCGCTATGTCGGCTGAGGAGTGTAAACGTAAGTTTTAGGGTTGAGGGGTGGGAGGGGGGGGATAAATATGATGGTAGACTAAGCCGAGAATGGGGGATGGTACGGTACTGAAGGGAGAAAGCAGGGGTATGGTAAAGTAAAGTAGGGTAGGTTAGGGTAAGGTAGGGTCGGGTAGAGTATGATAGGCAAGGCATTGTGGGATGGGATAGGATATTGTAGGGTACCCTAGGCTAGGGTGGCATATTGTAGGCTAAGGTTGGGGTACAGTTCATTAGACTAGGGTAGGGTAAATGTTTAATAAAGAAAAATAGATTACTGTAGGGTGTGTTAGAGCATGTTAAAATAGGGCAGAAAAAGGTAAAGTACTTTAGGTCAGGGTAGTGTAAAATACGTACAGGGTTAGATATGGTTATGTAGGTATACTTAATGTAAGATAGATTGAGGTAGAGTATGGTAGGTTACGGTAGTGTAGGGTAGGGTAGGGTAGAGTAGGGTAGGGTAGGGTAGGGTAGGGTAGGGTAGGGTAGGGTAGGGTACGGTAGTGTAGTGTAGGGTAGGGTAGGGTAGGGTAGGGTAAGGTAGGGTAGGGTAGGGTACGGTAGTGTAGTGTAGGGTAGGGTAGGGTAGGGCAGGGTAGGGTAGAGCAGTTAGGGTGGGTAGATAATGTAAAATACGTTCATTAAAACTTTTTAGTGTAAGATATAATTTTTCAGCACGATGTGATGCTGGATATTCACTAAACTTGAGAACAGGCGAGTGTGAACCATGTGGTTTTGGATTCTACCAACAATTCGAAGGCGCCTTCGAATGTGTGCCATGTGGAGTGGGTAAGACCACATTAAAAATGACCAGTCGAAACGAAGAGGAGTGTCGTGATGAGTGTCCTGGTAAGTATTGGTTAGTACAATGTAGTTACTATATGGTAGAGTTGGGTAAGGTTAATACGGTAGTTTAAAGTACTTGATGGGCAGGGTAGGATGGGGTAGAGTAGGATACGGTAGGGTAGTGTATATTTTTTTTATTTTTGTGAAAAGGTCCGGGTACTTAGTCTTACTGTAATTGATTTAAATTTGCTATTACTGCAATTTTAAGTTGTTTTTAGTAAAACTACAGTAACCTTGGATGAAAAAAAATTTTTTATTTAAAGGTTTCGTTTTCGGCCGCTTGTTTTTGGCTTAGTAATTAGACTTCAAAGCCTTTGAAATTGATTTAAAATTGGAAAAAAATAAAATTTTGGGAAAAAAGTTTTTTTTCGCAAAACAAATTGGAAACTTAATTTCTGCGGTGAAAATTTAATTTAATTCGAAATTTCAAATTTTGTGAAAAATTGCAAGAATTTTCGTTACAAAACATAAAATGGCAAAAACTTTGTTTATGCGTATTTTACTTTTAATCGTTTTCAGATGGTGAACATCTGACACCCTCAGGCGACTGTCAATCGTGCCCGATTGGCTCGTTCCGAACCAAAGGCCTCCACAAACAATGCGTGGAGTGTCCGGCCGGCACCACCACCGAGAAGATTAAATCAACGCGCAAATCGGATTGTAACACACCCAGATGCGACCCCGGACAGTTCCTGGTGACAGCAACGTAAGGATTTGCTTTATAAGACAAAAAATGGCAAGAACTTTCTTTACAAAGTAAAGAATGGCAAGAACTTTCTTTACAAAATGAAAAATGGCAAGAACTTTCTTTACAAAGTAAAAAATGGCAAGAACTTTCTTTTAAAGTCCAGAAAAATAAAAAATTTTTAAAATATTATTGCACTGTGCAAAATAATTTTTTATTGCACGGTGCAGACATTTTTTAAAAATTCATTGTGCCATTATTTTTGAATCTATCAGGATAAAAATAGCTTTACTAGCTTTTTATTAACTCATACTAAATGTTAGACTACTATGTGTTACCTAAAATAATTTTTGAAGAGCACAGTGCAGTACATAAAAATTATTGCACGGTGCAATAATTTTTCAAAATTTGATTGTGCCATTCTTTTTAAAGCAAGAACAGTAAAAATGGTTTCAATATATTGTTATTGTCCAGACTAAAAGTTAAAACACTATTTGTTACCTAAAATAATTTTAGCATGGCACTATGATTAAAATGAAAATTATTGCACGCTGCAAGAAATTTTTTTTTGACTGCACGGTGCAAAACCAAGAATTTTAATTACATTTCAAAAAATGGCAAGGACTTTGTTTACAAACCAAAAAATCGCAACAACTTTCTTTATAAACTAAAAAATAGGAAGAACTTTCTTTACAATCAAAAATTTTAGTAAGCAATGTCAATTCTGCCCCCGAGGCACATACCAAGACCAGCCATTACAATCGACTTGTAAAATATGCCCTACCGATTACACCACATCAGCCTCGGGTGCTACACACGAATCTCAGTGCTACAATACGAATCAATGTGCTACTGGAGACAACAATTGTTCATGGCATGCGGTTTGTCTCGACCTGCCTGATGATGATGATGTACCTTCATTTGAATGCAAATGCAAACCTGGCTTCAGAGGAAATGGCACTGTTTGTACTGGTAAGGATACTGTAGCTTTTTTGGGAGGGGAGGGGGTTTCATTTTGGATTTTTGGTAAGTACTGTACTTTGGGTGGGTTACTGTAGTGTTGGCTAGGGTAAGTTAGGATTGGGTATAACAAAGTAGGGGAGAGTACGGTAGGGTAGGGTTGGGTAGGGTAGGGTAGGGTAGGGTAGGGTAGGGTAGGGTAGGGTTGGGTAGGGTAGAGTAGGGTAGGGTAGGGTAAGGTAGGGTAGGGTAGGGTAGGGTAGGGTAGGGTAAGGTAGGGTAGGGTAGGGTAGGGTAGGGTAGGGTAGGGTAGGGTAGGGTAGGGTAGGGTAGGGTAGGGTAGGGTAGGGTAGGGTAGGGTAGGGTAGGGTAGGGTAGGGTAGGGTAGGGTAGGGTAGGGTAGGGTAGGGTAGGGTAAGGTAGGGTAGGGTAGGGTAAGGTAGGGCATAGCAGTGCATTTTAAGGCAGGGTAGGGACGCGCAGAGTACCATTGAACAAAACTCATTTCAGACGCCTGCCTAAACTTCTGCCTGAACGACGGTACCTGCAAGAAGAACAACGTTGGCTACGTGGAGTGTAGCTGCAAAGAGAACTTCAGCGGCGAGCGTTGCGAGATCCGCTTCCAGCCTCGTACTCAAAAGATCATGCACGCCACCATCACCATCGGCATGGTCGTCTTCCTCCTGATCATCATCATCGTCGCGATCTGGGCGATCCGTCATCAATTCAGTCATCATGACGAGGCCGGATCCATTCACAAACCCGTCATCCCATCGCTAGACCCCATGGATCCGCGCGTAAACTTTGTTTACAGCAACGCCAGACGAAGTGCGTCGAGTGGTGGCTCAATTCGACCGGTCGGTTACTACTATGAGGATGATAATCAACCAGACGCCAATGAAGTCAAGTCAATGTTCGTGGGTGAAACAACAACGGTAGTGGAACAGAACGTGCACGATGAGATGGAACAGCAAATGGAACGGTTTGCTTGGCCTGGTCATAATGACAATGGTACTACTGGTGCCTCTGGTATGAATGGTACTAACGGGCTTTGCAGTACCAATGATACCACAAGACTGTTTGGTACTAATGGTAATAATAGACTTTCTGGTACTAATGATCAATTAGCTACTAATGGTGCTACTGGTACTAATGGTGCCACTGGTATCACTGAACCATCAAGTGCTCTTGTATTAAGCAAAACCAACTCATATTACGGACAAAATGCAAACTACCAAAATGGTACCACTGGTACACTTAATGGTACTACTGGTACCACTAGTGTCCAAAACCCTCAAAATGGCTCAAATCGCTCAGAAAATGTTCGAAATGGCCAAAATTTGGAAAATAGTGTAAATAGTACTACTGGTACTAATGGTACATTTCATGGTAACAACAATAGTAATGGTGCTGCTTTTGGAAATGGTGCTTCTAATGGTGCTATTTCTGGAAATACTGGCTCTAATGCTGCGAATAATGGCCCTAGCTATCTTAATGGCACGAGTACGGGTTACGGTAACTCGGACAGTACCAGAAGAGACGACAACACATCTTATCAACCAAGATATACATACGACAATGACAGATTCGCAGCGATGCGAAGACATTTCTATGAAAATCGAATGTCGTAAATGACATTTTAAAAATTTTAAATTGTATTTCAAATAGTTATTACATTGTAATGCTTTGTCATACTGTACTTGCTCAACCTGTTTACTGTAAATTTTTTATCCTTACTGTATTCCTACTTATACTACGTATGTAGATTACTTGTAGTACGTATATAATTGTCATAATACGCACATCATTGTCGTATTTTATCTCTTTCGTCGTAAATTCTTACCCTTTTTTCTCATGCCGGTATCTAATGTCACATTCCAATCAACATAATCAGCCAAAGCCTTTTCTATGACATTTTTATAAGCTAATAATCGTTTTTAGTCATTTTATGACATTTTCATGGTGCATCGTACTTGTTTTTAATAAGTTTAATAAATTTTATTCGTTATAATGATTTTTCGAAAGAACTTTCTTTACAAAATAAAAAATGGCAAGACTTTCTTTACAAAATTAAAAATGGCAGGAACTTTCTTTACAAACCGAAAAATGGCAAAAACTTTTTTTTACAAAACAAAACATAGCCAGAACTTCCTTCACATACATTTTTCGCACTGTGCAAATTGCACAGTGCAATAATTTTTCAAAAATTGAAGAATTACATTATTTTTCAGTTTGCTAACGTAAAATTAGTTTTAATAGCTTTTTAATATCATAAACTAAACATTACAAAAGTTTTTAGAATTTATAGTTAGCTTAAATGGCAAATGGTCAAAAATAAAAATTGTTGCACGGTGCAAAGAAATTGGGTGATTGCACTGTGCAACGAAATTTGTGGAATGCACGGTGCAGATGAAATAAAAATTTAATTTTAGGCTGGTCCTGTGTAAAATAGCAAGAAATTTCTTTACAAAGCAAAAAATGGCAAAAACTTTCCTTACAAAACAAAAAATGGCAAGAACTTTCTTTACAAGTCAAAAAATGGCAAAAACTTTCTTTACAAAACAAAAAAATGGCAAAAACTTTCTTTCCATTTAATCTTTACTCATCGTAGTTGCTTTTCCTATTACATACGAATGGATGCGTGTACACATCCGCATGTATATGTTGTATGTGTGTGTGTAAACGTATCTCTGTATATGAGGAGTGTAAACAAAGTTAGTGTCCTTTATAACGTCGCTGTAACCCAATTCCTGCTTTCCGTTGCAATTCAAGAATCGACCGTTTTTTGGGCCGTTTTTTGCGAATCGTACTCATAACTTTTAAGCATGGGAAAGGCGGTATGACGAGTGAAAATGGCACTTCAGAGCGGGGTTGTGGGGTGGACAGAAAGTTTTTGCAGCGAAAAGAATAATAAAAAAAGCTTTTGAATGTTTGGAGCTTGTAAAGAAAGTTCTTGCCATTTTTTGATTTGTAAAGAAAGTTCTTGCCATTTTTTGATTTGTAAAGAAAGTTCTTGCCATTTTTTGATTTGTAAAGAAAGTTCTTGTCATTTTTTGATTTGTAAAGAAAGTTCTTGCCATTTTTGGTTTTGTAAACAAAGTTCTTGCCATTTTTGCTTTATAAAGGAAGTTTTTGCCATTTTTTGTTTTGTAAAGAAAGTTATTGCTACTTCAAACCCAAGAAACCAATTTTAATCTTTGCAGACTGCGGGTGACAAATTATACGATGAATGTCAATGAATATCGTAATCATATAAACTAGAATCAAAAATTTTTTTAATTTTAAAAATAATTTTAAAAACTTGAAAAAAAAATCTTTGCACTGCCGGAATTTTTTATTTTTTTCCAAAAAAACGAGGTTTGAATTTTGTGGGCGGAGCTTCAAGGAATTTAGAAAGAAAAACGCCCGCGGCGCTTTTCCAAAGAAATGGCCATTCTGTTCGAAAGTCGTGGCTGCACGGTGCATTCAGAAGGCTGGGCTTCAGAAGTTAATCTAATTTTTTAATTGATATCGATTTATACTGTAATTTTTTGGGGATCGGTAACGGTATACTGTATTTTTGGGATTTATATGGGTGGAGAAGGGTTATTGTAACATTTTTTTGAGGTTTTTGAGGATCTTTTTAATATGAAATGGCGGTTTTTGACAAAGACATGGTTGAGAAAGTTTAAAAGTATGATCGTCGTATAACTTGTCACCGCAAGCTGCGAAAAGTCAAAATTTTTCTTGAAATGGCAAAAACTTTCTTTACAAAACAAAAAATAGCAAGAAGTTTCTTTACAAACTAAAAAATGGCAATAACTTTGTTTCCACCCACATTTATGAACTTTAAAACTTTTTTTTTTAATTTTTGGTTTTTTTAAAATATTTTAAAACATTTAATCCGTGGTTCAGTCCGCTAAATCTTCTTATCCATGTGGGTTCGAACCGCTTATGATAATCAAATGTCTTCGTTTTAATATTACAGTATAAGAGGTTGGGAATGGCACGTAGTTTAGTGTTACTATATATACACCACGTATGATATGTATGTATGTGTTTTAAGATTTTGTAGGGTTTTAAAGTTCTTGCCATTTTTGTTTTGGTAAGAAAGTTTTTGCCACTTTTCGCTTTGTAAAGAAAGTTCTTGCTATTTCATGTTTTGTAAAGGAAATTCTTGCTATTTTTCAATTTGTAAAGAAAGTTTCTGCCATTTTTAAAACTACATCACATTTTGCACGTCTTATAATAGCTGTATTATATACACATCCTTCTCTTCGTGTCCTTTCTTCTCTCTTAAAATATTCTCCTTAATCGTTGCGTTTTGTTGTTATATTATACTTTGACCAACTGGACCATGATGACATTACTCTGTAGTGTAAAGCTCTTTTCTTCTACGTTTTTTGAAACGTTTTTGAATTTGGGGTTATGAATGTAGGATAAGAAGTTAGGTCTTGCATGAGTATGTTATGATAGGTACTGATTTAACTGTCGGGGATAAGGTATGGGTAAGGGTGGGGTGATTTTATGATTTTACTTTGTATTATATAATCTTTTTAACAAGTAAACGCTTTCGGCATGCATAGTATAGCAGTATTCTCTATTCACCTACTCAACAGGTCGTGAATAGAAACCTTTGAAAAAGCGTAGAAGACGCTCTCTTGACAGGTCGTCTCTTAAAACCTAGCATAGAACAGCCGTAGCTTCTTCCGTGCCCTGCTCTGTCCTAGATATAGTCGTAGTTCTGATTCAAACCCTAGCTCAAGCCCTAGCTCAATCCCTAACTCAAATCCTAGGTCATGCTGTAGCTCAAACCCTATCTCAAGCTCTGGCCCAAGCCCTAGGCCTAACTCAAGTCCCTAGTTTAAGCTCTAGCTCAAGCCCTAGCTCAAGCCCTACCATAGAATTGCGTAAAATTTCCAAAAAGTGCTACACCTTCATCCAAACTAGCGTGAATGTTTCAAAACTCCGCCGTGAATAGAATCCGGAAACCAAAAAAAAACGCCGAGGCCAATACTGATCGGTAGCACCTTTTCGCTTCGTTTCGTACTCCTCTTCTCTTCGAAACGCAAAACAAACAATTTCCTTCAACTTCTTTGCTTCGTCTCCCACCACCTCTTCCGCTTCGGCCAAGGTCGACGGCGCCGCTTCTCCAAATATCAAAAGAACGACGCAGGCACGAAAAAGCAAGAAAAAAGATAAAAGTGGCCGTAAGGGGCCATTTTTGTTTGCAACGGTCCGTCATCATTTGGTAGAAGGGCTTCGCGAAGCGTCATTTTTTTGGTAGACGGTGTTTCGAAGCGTCAACGTTTGGTTTGTTAGTGGTTTGGGAGTGTTGACTTTGGTCTTTTAGTTGTTTGGAAGCGTCACCGTTAGTTTTTTAGTGGTTCAGAAGGCTTAGCGGTAGATTTTTTGTATTTCAAGCTGCTCACTGATAGCTTCTTCGTAGTTCAGTAGACGTATTGGTAGCTTCTCAGTAGTTTAGAAGACATATCTGTAGCTTCTTGGTAGTTCAGAAGACTTACGGGTCGTATCTCAGTAGCTTAGAAGACTTACCGGCAGCTTCTTAATAGTTTAGGAGACTTACCGGCAACTTGTTGGTATTTTAGAAGCATCCCAAGCAACGTATCAGTACTTTAAAACCATTGCCTTGCGTTCTATGGTAGTCTATAAGCGTCACCGTAGGTTTCTTTGTAGTTATAAGCCGTTACTGTCGGTTTCTTAGTAGGTTAGAAGCGTCAATGTTAGTTTTTAAGAATTTTAGAAGGTTTTCCGTCAGCTGTTAAATACCATAGAAGCTTAACTTTGGAATGTGTAGTAGTTTAGAAGTTCTACCTGAGACTTTTTATTAGTGTAAAAGCCTCACCGTCGGTGTTTTAGCACCTTAGAACCTATACCGTAAGGTTTTGGAAGTTTCGAATAGTTCTAGCTCTATACCCAGAACATTTTTAATGCATTAGCTCCAGCATAGTACAGTAAGCTTACTAATTGTAAACCAAATCTTAGATCCCTAAAGCTAAGGAGATCTAAGATTTGGTTTACACCCAATCCACCACCGTACTCCCATTCTTTATAGCGTGAATCATGTTTCGACGGTAATTTAATCAGCCTACGGTACGGGTTTTCACAGACTCGAATAATGCAATTCCGGAAGCTTTCTTTTTATCGAATTAAAGAGTGTGATACTACCGTAGGGTTTTTATTCGGCCGAATTAGTGCGGGTCATGAGGGTTTGGTTGGATTGTCTTTGATGTTTGAGCTTGGGTTCTTCTTAATCTTGGGGCTGAGTATTTGTTTTTTAGGGGGTTGATAATTTTGTTGTTATTAAAATAGTTCTTGTTTATCACTACTAGAAGGTCAGAGAGTTGGGGTAATAGTAGAGGGGCTTTAAAGTAAGAGTTGCATGGTAAGATGTAAATGGTAACAATCACCAAACTAGGGTTGCCCAGTAAGAAGTTAATGGTGACCGTCCCAAAGCTAGAGTCGCCCGGTAAGAAGTTAATGTTGACTATTCGAAAGCCAGATTTTCACGGTAAAAAGTTAATGGTGACTGTTTGGTGGTGTAGCTCGGAACTGATTAACTATGAGTTCATGAATCCTGGTGAAACTTTGTATCACGTCCAGCACCTACTGTGCACAGATTGACAAACTGCGGCAAAATATTCTAATCATGCTCAGACGGAGAGGTCCGATTATTCTTCAAAACACGCGCAACGTTACATTGCAAAGAAGACCGTGGCAAAATTCAGGGTGTTAGGCTGCGAAGTCTTAAGTCATGCTCCCTATTCTTCAAACTTGGCCCTAGCTGACTTCCAGTTAGACATGAGGAACGGGCCGGGTCTGAGTGTTAGGCTCGGCCAGATTTAAATTTGGGCCAAGACCGGCCCGACCCGTTCCTCATGTATACTTCCACTTTGATCTTTCTTTGATTAATGGGGGTAGTGTGTGGGTATCTTAATCATATCGTGCTCTGTCGCGACTCTTTTTTATTTTGTCGACATTTTGAAACATTTTATGATGTTTTACTTTTAGCACCCTTACTTCAAACCACCTACCACGTCACTCCAGACAAAGTAAATTCTATTACCTACAGTTATTCAGCTGTTACTTCATGTTTTACTAACCTTGTACTCCTCTTTTGTTCTCTTCTTTTAATCGTAGTTGGCTAGAAACCATATTGAAAGTATGGAAACCCTTGAAAACGGCACAGATCCAATGCTCTCGGCCGCCTTCAGTGGTCATAATCACTGTCGTGATTATGATGATCACCTACTGGCTTCGTACGATAGCTACATTCCGTTAAATATCGTACGGACTCAAAATGGTTTGGAGACTGTAAGAAGTCTTAATGAGATTGAATCACATAATGCCCACGGTAGACTGATTAGTCATGAAGGTTGCTACATGAGGAATGCTGAAGATTCTGGAGCGCAAAGTCTGAATTCAGGGAGTTTGTACAGAGAATCAGCTAAACATCACGATGTGACTGAATGTTCTTCAAATGATTTGAATGAATCAAAGAATTGTGCGTCAGGGGATTTGCACCGTGTTCCAAATGATGCAAATGTTCATCGTGAATCTCGTAGCATCAACTTGAGTCATGAAGAGCCTATACATCGTGAGGATCATCTGCATCTGCGCCATGATGATCCCATACAAATTCATTGTGAAAATCCTCTGCGTCTACAACGCGAAGACCACCTCCACCGTGACGACCACCTCCACCGTGACGACCGCCTCCACCGTGACGACCCCCTTCACTTACACCGGGAACCCGACGCCCTACTCGGCCAGTACGATGTGCTGGAAACAAACAACGCCAAGTACGCGCCAGACGCTTCGAGGGCCCTCCAGACGCCCACTTCACTGCCCTACGAGCACTTCATGGACCGTGCGCATCAAGAACAACAAAGATACAATTTGGCTTATACTATCAAGTACGAGTACGATACAGGCAAGCCGATCGGCATGGACGATCTGACCAACCTACAACAGACTCATTGTGGTAGAGAAGTGACGGTGGGTTACCGTAAAATTTTGTTATTGAAAAATTGAAAAATTTTAGGTTTTAAAAAAATTTTTTCATTTTCAAAAAAAATTTTTCAGACCTATCAATACGACTTCACCCCCCAAACCGACCTCCAAATCCCATACCAGGACACTTTTTACGAACAGAGTATTCGAATACCAAAACGTGAGACATACGACCCGACTTATTCGAATTTCACACTCTCCGAATCGGTGGTCGAAAACCAAACAGTCGTAAGTCGTTTTTCGAGCACTTTGAGAAGGTTTTTGAAAATGTGAAATTTTGATGACATTCTTTATGAAACGACACCTTTAAGGGTTTTTTTTGAAAAAATGTGCCATAATATGATCAAAACACATAAAAAAGCTTCATGATAACATATTTTTTTAAAATTTAAGAAAATGTGTTATGATGACATATTATATGTCGTGATGACACATTTTCTGGAAATTTTAAAAAGTTGTCACTACGACTTCCTTTTTTTTAAATTACAATAAAATAAGTCATTAAAACATTTTTAAAAATACGTCACCATGACATATTTTGTGTCATGATGACACATTTTCTGGAAGTTCTAAAAAATTGTCATTACGACTTATTATAGTCAAAATTACAAAAAAAAATAAGTCATGATGAACTATATGTTAAGATCAGTAAATGTTGTTTAAAAATTAAAAAAAAAGTGTTTTTATCTTTAAATACAAAAAATTTTAAGCCAATTTATTTTTGAAAATCCGGGCTTTAAGGCATTCAAAAACAAAGCCTGCTTGAGAATTCGGGGTGTTAGCCAAATAGACAAATTTTGGTGGCAAATTAGGAGCGAAAAAAAAACTTTTGCCTTTTTTATTTTTGGTTGCGCCAAAAAAGCCCCTCTAAATCGGGGCATTTAAATTTAAGCGTCTCGGTTTTTGAATCCTTCCCCCCCCTTCTTAGGAATCGGGATTGCTATAAAAAGCGCTTAGGGAATGTATCCTTAAAACCTGGCTTTGTTTTTTACCCTGCCTTTGCCTTGCCTTGCCATTATGGTTTTTTTGGCTTGGAATAGCTCGGCTTGGCTTGGCTTGGCCTCCCTTGCCTTGCCTCGCCTTTGCCCTGCCTTTGCCCTGCCTTTGCCCTGCCTTTGCCCTGCCTTTGCCCTGCCTTTGCCCTGCCTTTGCCCTGCCTTTGCCCTGCCTTTGCCTTGCTATTACCCTACCCCATTCTTCTTGAATTACCTTTACCATGCCCCTGTCTTACTTTTTAAAAATTTGACGTACTACCTCCCCCCCCTCAAAAAAAAAACCCCGGCTCATACCCATTTGTCCAGTTAACATTAATAATTTTGCTTTTCTTTTTAATACCCCCCCCTTGCGCAAAATCCCCGACGCAATGAACCCGAAGGGAATCTGTGGATGACATTTTTAAGACATCATGGCAACAATCCCCCCTAACCCAAGCGGGAGTCTTAAATTAGCGGCGACGCGTTTTATTTCATTTCTCGGCCGCCAAAGTTGATGAAATTGGCCAAAGTTAAAGGCGACTGGGCTGATTTGATTGTCTAGGGCAATGACTTTTTTAATGTTTGTTAGGGACAGTAATTTTTTGATTAAGATATGGCTTAGAAAAGGCGTGGGTTAAAATTTGGTCCGAACTTTAGGTTGTGTAGGACAAGGCAAGGGCAAGGCTAGGGCAAGGCTAGGGCAAGGCTAGGGCAAGGCTAGGGCAAGGCTAGGGCAAGGCTAGGACAAGGCTAGGACGAGGCTAGGGCAAGGCTAGGGCAAGGCTAGGGCAAGGCTAGGGCAAGGCTAGGGCAAGGCTAGGGCAAGGCTAGGGCAAGGCCAGGGCAAGGCTAGGGCAAGGCTAGGGCAAGACTAGGGCAAAGCTAGTGCAAAGCTAAGGCAAGGTTAAGGCTAGGATAAGGCATGGGTAGAACAAGGCTATGGCCTTGCCTAGCTCAATTTTTTACGTGTAAACGGGCCGGGCCTTTCATTTTCAGGTCCGGTTTGTCTTAAATATGGGTCAACGCCGGGTCGGCCTGGTCTGTTTTCTATGTCTAGGTATGGCAAGGTTAGACAAGGGTAGAGCAAGGAAAGGTAAGGGTAGGACAACGGTAGGGTAGGGTAGGGTAAGGCGGTGCCAATTTTTTGTATTTTTTCGTATTTTACGCTTAAAAACATAATTTTGAAATTTTTCGAAATCCCGGCAAAAAACATCTCAGAGATTTTGTAGCAAGATAAATCGTAACCAACTCTCGCAAAACACATTTGCAACGGAAGAGCTTTAAACACCCCACCCGTCGTACATCATCCTGTCATGACGGGGGTTTATGAGCTGCGGTCATATTATTCGGCCGAGTTTTCTAATCTCGTGCTCTCGAATTGATACACAAATGTCAGGAAAACGGCAGATACACTTCATTATAGGATGCTGATATAGGGTTATAATTTGAACGTACTATTTAATCTTTGAGTACGATTTTAAGGTAGTACTACAGTAGTCAGCATAGTTCTATGATAGTTCTCAGTACGGTAATACTATAGTAGTACAGTCTTAGTAATATGGTAGTTTTAAGTACGACCGAATGATAGTACTGGCATATATCTGAGAAAGATAATATGGTAATACTATTATAAGTTTCAGTACGACAGTATGATAGTACTATTAAAATTTTAAGTACGATAGTATGATAGTAAAAGCATAATTCGGAGTACGACATTACGATAGAACTATTATAATTATGAGTTCAGTAATATGATAGTGCTATGATAGCTTCAATTACTATATTTTCATAGTACTATAATAGTACTATGTACCATATCATGACAGTACTTCAATAGTACTCAATAGGATTTAGCTATAGTACTATGACAATATTAAGTAAAACCAAAAGGCTTCAAAAAACTAACTTAAACATGACATTAACATTAGAACCTTATGTAAATAGGTACAAACTACTATGAATAACAACAATTTGTATTTTAAATACAAAAAATAAGATTTTCATTTGGTCAATAGACTAAAACAAAAGTCGCTATCTTGTAGTATGATGTGGGTATTAAAAATAATGTCACATTGAATTTTTGAAAAATCGTTGCACGGTGCAGCAATTTTTTATTTTGTCGATGTACCATTTGGGATGTAGTGCAAAAATTTTTGTTTTTCTTTTGCTGTGCCATTTGGGTTGTACATTAGGTAAAAAAACTGTAATTTGTTTTAATATGTACTCATGTAAAGCTACTAAAACTATTTTTACATATATTGTCTTAAAAAGAATGGCACAATGAATTTTCGAAAAATCATTGCACTGTGCGACAATTTTTACTTTTGGCCTAGTGTCCTTTTTAATGTACCTTATAAGGCTACTGAAAGCATTTATACTTTGATTGTTTAATAGATAATGACACAATGAATTTTCAAAAAATGATTGCACCGTGCAATCCAAAAAAAATTTTTGTATTATTTTTAAATTTTTGCATATTGTACACACTAACGGCAAACCTATACATCAGCCGGTTCCGGTTTCCGCTCAAAAGTTCATTCCGGAGATTGGAGGGCAACCTCATGAATATGCAAATGCGAACATAAGAAGAGGCTTTATTGTTTAAGAGGAACAACTCCAAGAGTTTCGCCCAACAAAGCCCTCCTTCTGCCACCAGAAATTATCTTTTTGTCCTTTTCGAGGACATTCTTCATGCAATGACAAAACATCTGCAGGTCTCGGCCGACTAACAATGAACAAACGTGCCTGCACAAAGACAGTACTATAGCACTTGAAATTACATTACAGAGTAACATATTATGAGGGAGTAGGGTAGGGTAGAGTAGGGTAAGGTAGAATAGAGTAGGTCAGGGTAGGATAGGGTGGGTAAAGCATAAAAAAGTAAAGCGGCATGGGCACGTTAGGCCAAGGCAAAGCAGTATATGTCACGGCAGAGTACGGTAGGATAAGGTATGGTAAAGTAAAACAGAGCGTAGGGACGGGTAGCTCAGAGCAAACCAAAGCATGGCAGGGTAAGGCAGGTCTGAGCGAGGCAAGGCAGAGTACAGTAGGATAGGATGAGGTAGGGTAGGCTAGGGTAGGTTAAAGCGTTGAAAGGCTGTGCATAGGCATGGGAAGGTCAGGGCAAAGAGGACCGAATCGGGCTTGGTAAAGTGAGGTCGGGTACTTCAAGGCAGGGTAGGACAAGGTAGGGTAAGGTAGGGTAGGGCAGGGTAGGGTAGGGTAGGGTAGGGTAGGGTAGGGTAGGGTAGGGTAGGGTAGGATAGGATAGGGTAGGGTAGGGTAGGGATTAATTCAATCGCCGCGGCCGTGTTTTACCGCCGATGCCCTGGGGGAATAGCTTGCTGATTCAGCTCCAACCGGTCGTAAAAAGAGCACATAAAGTCAAGAGACGTCGTTTTTGAGATGACACAAGCGTTTTGAACAAATGTATCAAAATGGCACTGGGTTAATGTCAAAAGCAACAAAAGTGGTACCAAAACAAGAAAAAATGGTACCGAAAGCATAAAAATAGTACCATAAGCTCAAAATAGTACTAAAATTATTTTCAAAGCCTAAAATGTCACAAATAGAGACAGATACATCCAAAAATGGCGCAGAAAGAGAGAAACGTCTGAAACATTTTTAAATTCGATACAACCCCCCTGAGGGTTGTTCAACTGAATGACTCACATTTAAAACTTATTTATGTTGTAACTGAGTTTAAGATACGATTACAAGCCTTCACATGAGCAAATTGAATTCTGGCATGTTGCCAAGAAACGTAAAAATGCCATACAAATTGTAAAAGGCGAGAAAACAATTGTAAAAACTTTGTTTAAAAAATACAAAAGCAGGCAAAATTATTTAAATTAAAATTTTTTTCAAATTTTTTTTAGAACATGCCTTTTTTAAAGTTTAATTGCTATTGCACCGTGCAAAGATTTTTATTTTTTGCACTGTGCAATTTCTAGGTTACTTTAGGTACCAAATATTATCATAACATTTAGTATGCACCTATAAAAACTTACTGAGGCTATTTTTACTTTAATTACTTAAATAATAATAACACAGTAAATTTTTGAAAAATCATTGCACCGTGCATTAAATTTTATTTTTTTGCACTGTGCAATTTTTAGCATACTTTAAGTAACAACTACTAATTTAGCAGTAAGTATAAGTTGCTTTAACAATATTAAAACTTATTTTATTTTGATTCTCTAAGAAATAATGGCACAATAAATTTTTGAAAATTGACCGCACTGTGCAACCAAAAAATTTTTTTTGCACCGTGCAAAAAAATCATAAAAGTAACTTTAAAATAAAAAAAAATTAAAGGAAGAATTTTCAGGACCCAGCTCCATCCTCCTCGTCCTTGGACAATGAACAACGAATCTCGACTTCAGAGCCAGAAAACAATGTTTTGGATGGTGAAGAACTGAATACTCGAGAGTTGGCTCAGCGCATATCTAGCGAATTGAAACGCTATTCTATTCCTCAGGCCGTTTTCGCACAACGTGTTTTATGCAGGTAGGATAAGATTAGGCTACGAGGGCTATCTTTAAAAACTTTTAATAAAAGGTGTGTCACGCTGCCTGCGGGTGACAAGTCATACGATGAATGCTATATCTTGTTTTGTAAAGAAAGTTCTTGCCATTTATCTTTTTGTAAAGAAAGTTCTTGCCGTTTTTTGTCTTGTAAAGAAAGTTCTTGCTATTTTTCGTTTTGTAAAAAAAATTCTTGCCATTTATCTTTTTGTAAAGAAAGTTCTTGCCATAAAATCCAAACATTACGTTTATTTTTCAGTTTATTACGGTAATTTCAAAAAACGTCAAAATTGGCCAAATTAAGAATGTCATTTCATTTCATAACTCTTTTTGAGGACATAAAATTCAAATAGACACTTCCACCTTTATGGACCACACATACCACTTATGGGCTTGTTTTACTCGCATAAAACTCGGTTTAACGATTTTCGAAAATAATTGTCATTTTTCAAAAAAAAAATTAAAAACTAAAAATTAATGCTATTTGGAAGGGCATGGCAAGAACTTTCTTTCCAAAAACAAAAAATAATAATTATCGTATAAAATGTCTTCCGCAGGCTGCAAAACACAAAATCTGTTATTTTAATTAGAAATGGCAAGAACTTTCTTTACAAAACAAAAAACGGCAAGAACTTTCTTTACAAATCAAAAAATTGCAAGAACTTTCTTTACAAAATGAAAAATAACCATAACTTGCTATCCAGCATTCACAATGTAAATCATCGTATAACTTGTCACCAGCATGCTGCAGACGCAAATTTTTGTTATTTGGCTTTAAAATGGCAATAACTTTCTTTACAAAACAAAAAAACGCAAAGACTTTCTTTACAGAGCAAAAAATGGCAAGAGCTTTCTTTACATGACAAAAAATGGCAAAAACTTTGTTTACAAAACAAAAAACGGCAAGAACTTTCTTTAAAAATCAAAAATTGGCAAGAACTTTCTTTACAATACAATGAATGTAGCTTTTATGTCATTTTTAATTTGGCTTTGTCTTTTTTGTGCTTTTTACAATTTTTTGTTACAGTATCCATTTCGTCATTATTTTTTAAAGATGATGAAATTTCTTAATATTCTATATAATATGATGACATTCCTTTATATTCAAAATACAATGATGACATTTCCAGATCACAAGGCACCTTATCAGATCTATTGCGCAATCCCAAGCCCTGGGGCAAGTTGAAGAGCGGTCGGGAGACGTTCCGCCGCATGGCCAAATGGCTTCAGGAACCGGAACTTCAACGAATGTCGGCGCTTCGTTTGGCAGGTGAGGAGAGGAGAAGCCACCATAAAGGACCGGAAATGCGAAGAGAAGCGGCCCAAACATAAAAAAAAATCTGGGTTTGGGCTGGAAAATGACGAAAAAAATAAAAAAAATTTAAAAAATTCAAAAAAAAAATAAAAATTGAGTGTTTTCGACAAAAATTTCAAGAAAAAAATTCATTTTAAATGTTGTAAAGAAAGTCCTTGCCATTTTTTGTTTTGTACAGAAAGTTCTTGCCATTTTTTGATTTGTAAAAAAGCTAGATTTTGTAATTTGCACCCTGCGGGAGACAAGTTATACGACGACGAGCATTTTAGAAACCGAAAAGCAAGTTCTTGCTATTTTGCCTTTTGTAAAGAAAGTTCGTACCATTTTTTTGTTCTGTAAAGAAAGTTCTTGCCATTTGAGAGCCAAACACAAAAAATTAGCGTAGTGCAGCCTGCGAGTGACAATATATACGATGATTAGCATTTTAGGCTCTGAAAGAAGTTTTTGCAATTTTTTGATTTGTAAAGAAAGTTCTTGCCATTTTTTGTTTTGTAAAGAAAGTTCTTGCCATTTTTTGTTTTGTAAAGAAAGTTCTTGCTCTTTCTTGTCTTGTAAAGAAAGTTCTTGCCATTTTTTGTTTTGTAAAGAAAGTTCTTGCCATTCTATCCAAATCACCCCTCCCCCCCCCTTCCTTAGCCTACTAACCCCTTAAAGATGATGTTTGTTTATGCAAATCGCCCAAGATTATATTGTAATAGATGAGGTTGGCGAAAAAACAAATGTTTGAGGCTTCAAACTTTTTGCCCTCCCCAATGACCATTCGTCACCGCTTAGGCTTAAGGGACCACCATATTGTAAAAGAGGAGGGGGGGAGGGTTGTATCAGGGCGCCGAATCTCCGCGCATCTATCAATCATGCCTTAGGGGTTTGTTTCTCATGGCATTAAAAAGTTTGAAATAAGGGATGATACATCAGGTAGACTTTGTCATTAAAATCACGGTATTGTAATTTGAAATTTAAGATTTTGTAAAGAAAATTTTTGCCACTTTTTGTTTCGTAAAGGAAGTTCTTGCCATTTTTCGTTTTGTAAAGAAAGTCCTTGTCATTTTTTGTGTCTCAGCACTGTGCAGTTACTAAAACCGTCTGCACCGTGCACCTAAATAAATTCATTCATTGCACGGTGCAACAAATTTTCTTTTATTCACTGCTCTTTTTCTATCGTATTTTAGGTAACAAATACTAGTCAATCTTTTAATACCGTCTATTCTAAAGATGTTTAAATAATTTTCATTTTATTATCTTTTAAAATGACACCACAATAAATTTTTTTAAAATTTTTGAACTGTGCAACAAAGTTTCTTTCCTTCACTGGTCGCTTCCTATAACACTTTAGGTAACAAGTCGTAATCTATCTATTAATAATATTTATTTTAAAGATATAAAAACAATTTTTATTTACCTATATTTTAAAAATGCGTCCCATAAAATTTTTAAAAAACGTTTGCACTGTGCAGTCCAAAAAGACCATTGCACCGTGCAAAATAATTTTAAAAAATAATTTAAAAACATTAAACATCAAAAAATAATTTCAAAATTTCAGTAGTCTCGTCATGCAAACGAAAAGAAGAGCACCAGAATCCGCAGATCGGGCAGAAGAAGCCTCGGCTGGTGTTCACCGACGTGCAACGACGCACTTTGCAGGTGCCTGACCTTTCCTGAGCTTAAACACCTTTTCGTAGGTTGTAATATGTCAAAGTTCAACTTATGGATAGCTTTCTTTTCGGTTTCTTGAGGAAAATATATTGGATAAATGGCAGGAAAATAGAAAATTCAAAAAATTTTTTTAAAAATTTTAAAAAATTAAAAAATATAAAGTTTTAAAGTTTGTAAAGAAAGTTCTTGCCATTTTTAATATCAAAAAACCTTTTTCAGCCTTTCTGTCTTTAAAAAGCAGGTCTTTTGCACTGTGCAAGCAAAAAAAATCTACTGCACCGTGCAACAAATTTTCTGTTTAGCGCTGTGTCATTTTCGGGTTATGTTAGGTGACAATTGTTATCTTAACTGTTAGTAGGCTCTTATAGAAAACCATTAACACTGTTTTTATTTTTGTCGCTTCAAAAATAATGGCACAATGAATTTTTGAAAAATCACTGCACTGTGCAATCCAAACTTTGATTGCACAGTGCAAAAAATTTAAAAAATTAAGAAAAAAGTCGTTTTTAAAGCTCAAAACTTTAAAATCCATGCCATTTATTTATATTTTTGCCACTTTGTTACCAACCTATATCAAAAAATAATCGCAAATTCCCCAATTTTTAAAATTTTAAAAATTTTGAAATTTTGAAACTGGATCTCTTCAGGCCATCTTCAAAGAAACAAAACGGCCGTCGCGTGAGATGCAAATGACAATATCGCAGCATTTGGGGTTGGACCTGACAACAGTGGGGAACTTTTTTATGAATGCGAGACGTCGCGGATACGACCGGTATGACGATGAGTATGAGTCGGATACGGACTATAAGGATCAGGTGGAGCAGCATTGTGATAATAATGGTACTAATATCACTGATAGAACTAATAACGGTACTAGTGGTTTCGAATACGTTGGTTTTGGTACTGGACTTGAGGCCAATAATACTGTTTTTGGCTGCAATGGTACCGTAGAGCATCAGAATAGTACTACACTAAACGTAAATAGTGCTATATGTGGTATAAGTGGTACTAGTAAAACAAGCACAACTGGTGCTATTTTAAAACTAGAACCACCAGCTTACAGTATGACACTTCATGAAGACGTAAATCTTACAGTACCCTACAGTATTCGCAGCATAACGCCTACCATGCCCTACAGTACCAGCAACTTTGAACCTACAGTAGGCAGTATTATTGTCAATACAGAGCCCACAGTAGAAAGTATTGAATTAGATACTAAGCCCACAGTTATCTACAGTACCAGCAGTATACCTCCTACAGTAGCCTACAATACAAACAAAAATTTTGGTTTTAGTACCACAGTACTACCAAGTACCAGCCAGAGTACAAGTCATACTGAGCACAACAGCAGTTTTAGTACCAAACAACAAAGTTCATCAGTACCACCTACTGCACCTACTACAATATCGCCTACTACTAGAAGATTGTCCGACCCTATAGTATGCTTTTCTCAAAGTTACTGTAAGAAAGACAGTACGATTGTAAAGGTTGAAGCCTTATCTACCAGTCCAAAAACGTCCGTACCGACATCAGAATCTCGATTTCAAACTCACAGTAACCATCTGCAAACCTACAGTAACCCACCTGAAACCTATTGTACCAAACTTCAACCGAGCAGTAACCTTAAAGAAGACCCCGTTTATCCACCCCCAAAAGCTGAATACGCACCTTCTGAAGCCTCTACCACGCCGTCCACTCTGTCTACCGTATCTCATTCCATATCACCGCCATGTGATAACGCACCCTACTGTTCTGCTTCGTATCTACATGATAATCGACTGGAAATGACCAGTTCGTAGCATTTTCACAAAATTCATTTGCTTCTAGTCTATCTTACTGTAGGCTTCTTACTTTTACCGTATATTTCATACTGTACATTTATGTCTTACTGTAGCATTTCATAGCTTTGGCTTAAAAACTTAACTTGATAAGAAGCCTAAACTTCTTAACAGAAGCCTAAGTCTCTTATCAGAAGCCTAATCTTCTTATCAGAAGCCTAACCTTCTTATCAAAAGCTTGACCTTTATCTTATCAGTAAGTCTTCCTTCTAGGCTAGATTTTTAGCCCCTCAAGCCTCTAGTCAATTAAAAAAAAGTTTTAGTTTATCAACGCCCAAAAGATACGGAATTTGTAAAGCTTCTTGAATCGCGATACATATCAATACCTACTACTATGTGTCCTACATTACATTTAAAGGCTCTACAATGTCTAAATTCAAAAATTTTTACCCAGAATTCTTAAAAAAGTACTTATTTATCAGTCCCAAATTCACTTATTATAGACTTCTATCACTTTAGCTAATAACTTTCCGAAATGTACCATCAGAAACAAATGCTAGGGGAATTAGGAGATGGAGAGGCGGGTAAAAAAAAAGGGGAGGGGGAGGTCTTCCCAAAAAATTTCGAAATGAAAACCGTGTAACAGAAGTTTTGGCGCACTCTGTAGAAAGTGATTTTCCTTGTTGATATTGAAAACATGTTTTTACCCTGCCTTACTTTACCTACCAACCTAAAAATTAAAACCTGAACTAATTTTATAAACCCTCCTTCATCCCTAAACCAAAGCCACCCGTCCTAGTTGTTATCATAACATGTTATAACATGCGCTACTTAACGCACTCGGTGATGTTAACCAAGGAAAAAAGGAAATTTTTTTGTCTGTAGTTATCTTTAGATATATATGGTTATCCTTAGACTCTTTATCAAAAAATAGTACCTGTTCTCCAACACCCAGGGACGTCGCTACGGTTTTTCTCTGGGGAGGGGGGAGGGTGAAGACCCAAAAAAATTTTTTTGGTCCACAGGTAGCTCCTGTGGATTTTTTCGAAATTTTTTTTTCGATTTTTCACTACAGGTACCTGTGGACTTTTTCGGATCGGCTCTGGGGGCCACCCCGAACCACCCCCAAACGACGTCCTTGCCAACACTGATTTTTCCGCCATCCCCTTCATTTCAACTACCCCCTTCTTCTCCGCCACCCTTTTTCTCATGCTAAAGTTATTCATGACTTCAATATCTTTATATTTCTCTACTAAATAGATAAAATTGTATTGTAATCATTTGAAAAAATTTTAAACTGTTTCTCTAATACTCATCCCCCTTCTGTACGCGATTCCAGGCCCTTACAAGTTCCGAGTCTTCAAGTTGAAAACGAAAACAAAATGCCACATAATCCGGTTAACGAAACAAACGTCTATAAACTGAAAAAGCAATCTATTCTAGTGCTCAAATGTCTATGCCAAAATATAAAAGTGCATTTTAGTTAAAGTGCAACTTCGTTTTTCGTTTTTAAATTTTAAAATTTTAAACCTTTTTTAATGTTATGCCATTTTTTATAATATTTTTCTTGCTTAAGCTGCCTGCTTGTTTAGTGCTCGTCTAGGCTTCTCTCGCTGTATATTTTTAGGCTTAAGTTTAAGCTTTTAGGCTTATTTTGAAATTCTAGTTTTAAGCTTATTTTAATACTTAATTTAAGCTTAATCTTTGCTGTATTTTTCACAAAAAAAATTTTAGGCTTAATTTATGTCATTTAAACTTATTTTGATGCTTAAGTTTAGGTTTAGCTCTTAAAACTAACTTTAGGTTTATTTAAAAAACAAAGTTATAGGCTTAACATCCTGTCCTGAATTTCTAAACCTAACTTAAGCCTAAAAATAATTTTTTAAACAAAATTTTACATAATATAAGCCTAAAACTTTAAAAAAACCTTAATTAAGCCTAAAACTCTTATTACCTAATCTTAAACGCCACTCTATTTTAAGCCTAACCTCTCACTTCTTATGTACATTATAATACATTATAAATAAGCCTAAACTAATATAGTCTTTGGTCATTACTTCATTACTCTCCCCCCCCCCCTTCATTCTCCATCTCCTCCCCCCCCCCTCAGCCTACTTAAAATTTCTGTTTTACTATGTCGAAGCAATTATCGCGGCGGTCGCCCGGCAACAAATCTCACAATGACAACCCCCAAAATGATCTCACAATAGAATATGTTATCGTAGTATGGCTATTGTACATTTTTTTGACACATTTTATTATGATAATAAACAATCATGTTGCGATGGTGAAGTTGAAATGGCACATAATTTGTCAGAATGTGTACGGAAAATACTTACCCTACCATACCATACCATACCCTGCCTTGCAGGGCTCTGCTTTAAACCGCTTTAACCTGCTCCGTGCGTATCCCTTGCCCTAACCTTATCTACTTTACCATATTCTACCTACAACCTATCCTGCCTCCTACTGTGCTCTACAGTACCCTATTCGACATTGCTTTGTACTTTCTGTACCCTACCACACCCTTCTATACCTTCATCTACCCTTACCTTCTACTAAACGATACCCTACTTTACCCTAACTTACCATACCCAACTTTATCTTATCCTACTCTACCCTTACATGCCCTGCTTTAAACCGACTTAACCTGTATGTGTCTATGCAAACAGGTATTCCATGCCTTACAATGTTACACCACGCATACATTATTCTTCTCCAAAAACCCCCTCGAATCTACCCCGGTTAAAAAACCATCCTACCTTCAAAAACGAAACAGATCTGAATATAAAACTTTACTGTTGATACGTGTGTTAACATTAAAAAAGGGTATGTACAATAAGTGTTAATGAAATTTAAATTTTAAATATAAGTATTAATCTGCAGTATCACATAAGTAATCTTCGAGGTTAAAGTAACTCAACATCTATAGCGTTTCCTTAATATTAATGACAAACTTAACCACCACCTCACACTTCTTTCCACTCATTTCCCCCTTTTCCAGCTCCAGATTTCTCAGAATCGGGCCACGATGATGAGCGGCAATCCTTACCAGCTGCATGATGTCTTGCTTGAACTCGCCTATCATAATATCTGGCCGATAAGTTTGGATCAACTTAAAACTGGCAGTTAAATCTTGTTTTAGACTCTTCAAATCGAGTTTGAATTGAAGTAATGGGGTTGTGGCTACTGTAACTTGTTGGGTTATGGGTTGAGTGAATTGAGGTAGATCGGTCGATATTATTATCGACTTGTTTTGCAGGTCTGGTCGGCTTAGGTTTACGAATTCAATTGACATTTCGGCTACAGTGCTGTCATCAAAGACTTCGTGATTTTTCTGAAAATTTTAAAATTAAAATTTATATTGATATAGAGTTGGACAAAATAAAGGTAGGATACAGTAGCATATGACAATGAATACTAAAAGGTTAAAATTAGTTTTTAAGTTTGAAAGCTTCGAAAATGTATTAAAAATCAGAACTGGTAGATACTGTATATGAAATACCTGGTGATAAGACATAGTAGAAAAAAAACAAAAGTATACAGAAATAAGAGTAAAGATAAAGGCAGAGTATTCTGTTCTAAGCCAGGCTAAAAGTAAGAGTAAAAGTAGAGGTAAAGATAAGAGTAGAGGTAGAGGTAGGAGTAAAAGTAAGCTCACGGGTAGATAGAGGTAAGGGTAGGGTTAAGCGTAGAGGAAGCGGTAGGGCTAGGGCAGGCCTAAAGCTAGACAGGGGCTAATGCTAGGGCTAGGTCTAAGGCTAAAGCTAAAGCAGGGCTAAGGCTAAGGCTCTAAGCTAGGGCTCTGGGCTAGGGCTCTGAGCTAGGGCTCTGGCCTAGGGCTCTGGGCTAGGGCTCTGGCCTAGGGCTCTGGGCTAGGGCTCTGGGCTAGGGCTCTGGGCTAGGGCTAGGACTCTGGGCTAGAGCTCTGGGCTAGGGCTCTGGGCTAGGGCTCTGGGCTAGAGCTATAAGCTAGGGATCTGGACTAAAACTCTGGGCTAGGGCTCTGAGTTAAGGCTCTGGGCTAGGGCTCTAAGCTAGGACTCTGGGCTAGAACTCTGGACTATGCCTCTATACTAGGCCTCTGGGCTAGGCCTCTGGACTAAGCCTCTGGGCTAGAGTTAAGGCTATAGAGCTGAGCTAGGATTATAAAACCTACCTTAATATCTTTAGCTCTGTTCAACTGAGCATTCATATCATAGTCATCCACAGCTTTTCGTATCTGATTCACCCAAAACATCTTCTCATTGTTAGTATTGGCCTTTAGTTGTACTGTAAGTTCCTGATTCTTTAGCTCAAATGTTGTCGAATCGGATGAGCTTGAATCTACTTTAAGATCCTTCAAGATCAGAGGTGATTTATATATTGTCAACTTCGTATCTTCTGATGGTTGAATTTTGAAGTCGTCGGGCTGAGATTTCAAAATTTTTAAAAATTTTAAAATTTGCAAGAACTTTCTTTACAAAACAAGCAATGGCAAGAACTTTCTTTACAAAACGAAAAATAGCAAAAACTTTCTTTACAAAATCAAAAATGGCAAAAACTTTCTTTACAAAACAAAAAATAGCAAGAACTTTCTTTACAAGACAAGAAATGGCAAGAACTATCTTTCCAACCCCAACAAACCTTCTCACCTTAACAATATGTTCATCTGGAGTAGTCAATATCAACATGTCATTATATAATAGTACTATCAACATCTTGTGACTCTTTTGTTTATATACAATTCCAGATTGCAGGAACTTTCTTGGCCCCAATTCCCTGGTTTCTGATGTGAATTCCAAATGTTTTATCGAGGTTTTAATGTTCCTTTGACTCCAGCACAAGAAGCTGGTGTTCTGCATCTCCGAAATGGCATTGTTTACTCTGGCACACAACGCTTGGAGTAATTGATGAGCGTTGTGAAGGGCCTGAAATAAAGGGTTTTATAAATTATATATTAAAAATGGCATTTTACACATTTTTATTTTTGAAGCAATTAAAATAAGGGTAGTTTTAATAGCTTTATATTAAACTATACTAAAAGTTAAAATAGCCTTTGTTACCTAAAATAACCTATAAATGACATGGTGTAAAAAAAGAAAAATTTTGCACAGTGCAACAATTTTTCAAAAATTCACTTTGCCATTATCTTTGAAGCGGTTAAAGTAAAAGTAGTTTTAGTTGCTTTTAGTGAACCTAGAACAATATTAAAAATAGTAGTTGTTTCCTAAAGTAATATAAAATAGCGCAGTGCAAAAAAGAAAAAAGTTAGCACCGTGCAGTAATTTTTCAAAAAATTGATTGTGCCATTATTTTTAAAGTAATCAATACAAAAATAGTTTTAATAGCTTCTTATAATCCTAGAATAAAAACAAAAATAGTATTTGTTACCTAAAGTAATCAAAAAAATGGCACAGTGCATGAAAGAAAAAAATATTGCACAGTGCAAAAAAAATATGAGACTGCACGGTGCAATAAAAATTTTTTAAAAATAAATTTCGAAAATCGTTAAAACTTCAAAAATAGCAAGGACTTTTTTTACAATGCAAAAAATTGCAAAAAACTTTCTTTACAAAACATAAAATGGCAAAAACTTTTTTTACAATTTAAAAACTAAATTTTTTTAAAATTTGTTATAAGGTTAAAATTGGACGCACTAAATCAAAACACCGTATTTTACCTCATAATCCTCGTCCTTTGCATCAGTTTCTTTCAAAAGTTTCTCGAAAATCAATGGATATCTTGTGATTCTGGCCATTGGTAGCAGTAGATAATAACTCAGCGTTACTCCTCTAACAGCATCATTCTCTTGACATTTCAAATGACATTTTCTAAAGGTTTCATTTGTCTTTTCCAAGTGATTTAGATGTTCGATGGCCGACTGTTGACCTTCGCAGAAGCGGACAAACTCTTCGAAAGCGTCGATTCGGCGACAAAACAATTCACCTGGAAGGAACTTTGTTTACAAAACAAAAGATAACAAAAAATTTTTTAAAAAAAATGAAAAATGGCAAGAACTTAGTTTACAAAACAAAAAATGGCAAGAACTTTCTTTACAAAACAAAAAATGGAAAGAAATTTCTTTACAAAATGAAAAATGGCAAAAACTTAGTTTACAGAACAAAAAATGGCAAGAACTTTGTTTACAAAACAGAAAGTGATATTTCTCGTATAACGTGTCTCCTGCAGGCTGCGCATTAGTAATGTTGCTTTTCCTGACGTTAAAATGGCGCGAACTTTGAGGTTTTAGCAAAAACTTTCTTTCCAAAACAAAAATGGCAATAACATCCTATCCAAAACAAAAATAGCAAGAACTTTCTTTACAGAACAAAAAATGGCATGAACTTTCTTAACAAAACAAAAATGGCAAGAACTTTCTTTACAAGACAAAAAATGGCAAGAACTTTCTTTCCAAATCGAAAAAATGTAAAATTTTAAAACCCAATCGTATAACTTGTCTTTCGCAGCCTGCAAAACCTTACCTGGTGGTTTCTTCAACAATCCTTGATGTATTCTCTTTGACAATTTAATAAGTTCATTCCAGTTCAAAAACAATTTGTTTAGATCACCTTCCGACAAAACTGTAGCTAATGGCTTCATGAACACGTTACGTACCATCAACAAATCGTCGGCAAATCGCGCTTCTGTTTCTATCAACTCCTTAAGATTGGAAGATCAATATCAAGTAAGGTAAGGCTATGCATGACAAGGTAAAGTCATTTAAAATAAAACAGGGAAAGGCATAGTTAAGTAACGTGAGGTGTGTCAAGATATAGTAAGGAAGGGTAGAGTAAATCAACATCTACTAAAATAGAGTAAAGAAACGCAGGGCATAGTAAAGTAGGTTAAGGTAGGCAAGGATAAAGTACGGTACGGCAAGGTACAGTTAGATCAAAACCGAACAAAGGGTTTTGGCCTGGGGTCGAAAAAATTGCCACAGGTAGATGCCGATTTTTTGCGAAAATTTTTTATTCAAAAAACCACAGGGGGAAACACGTTAAACTTTTTTAGAAAATTATTGTTTGGGGGGAGGCACCCCCCCCTCGCGTCCGGCCCTAAGCAAAATATAGCAAGTTAGCACAGAGTAGAGCAAGATAAGGCACGGTAGGATAAGGTAGGGTATGGTAGAGTAAAGCAGAGTAAGATAGAGTAGGGTAGGGTAAGGTAGGGTAGAGTAGGGTAGGATAGGGTAAGGTAGGGTAGAGTAAGGCATGTTGTCCAAATTGCTTTAACTTACCTTTCTTACTTGCTCCGACTGTTTTAAATTTGAATGGTTTGGGTTACGCGGCTTTAGTTCGTACGCTCCACCACTACTATAACAAACGACAACGTAAAACACCATCACCAAAAAACAGAAAATTGAAAGTAAAAACAAACTATTAAAAAATCACTCTACGCACACTTACAATATACAATTTGACGTTTTTTCTGATTTAAAACTATCACTTTATTCATTTTTTATACCTAAACTTAAATTTGTCATATTTTATTTTCATACCTAAAACTCTACTTTTTTCACTTCCACTGTCACAACACCAAAATTAATGTCAAAAACTTCTTCCCAGCCTTTCTAATTAAAGTTTATTTAGATTTTAATAAAATTTACAAAAAATTAGTTATCAACTGTTATAGAATTATGCTTCAAAAGTGTTAAAAATTTACCGAAGTTGAACGAAATTGGAAGGGAAGAGAAGTGATTCGCCTGATTGGCCGCTGATTCGGCCTTTCCACCATTCGTTATCAGTCTGCTCGACCACTTCGATCACGTCGCCGGCTTTGAAGCTGAGCTCGTCAGCGTGCTGAGCTTCGTAATCAAAGGCAGCGTCGGCCAGTTTCGAGTTGGGGCCGATTGGAGTTGAGGCCGCACTGATTAGCTGGAAACGTCATTTTTAATGTAAAATACGACATCTGTTGAACAGTTTCATAACGAAGTTTTTGCCATTTTTCGTTTTGTAAAGAAAGTTTTTGCCATTTTCGATTTCGTAAAGAAAGTTCCTGCCATTTTTTGTTCCGTAAAGAAAATCCTTGCAATTTTTTGTTTTGTAAAGAAAGTTCTTGCCATTTTTGGTTTTGTAAAGAAAGTTCTCTCCATTTCTTGTATTGTAAAGAAAGTTCTTGCAATTTTTCGTTTTGTAAAGAAAATTCTTGCCATTTTTTATTTTGTAAAGAAGGTTTTTGTCAGTTTTTGTTCTGTAAACAAAGTTTTTGCCATTTTATTCTCTGTAAAGAAAGTTCTTGCCATTTTAAAAAAGGTAAAATACGTTTTCCTTCCCATACTGTAAACCAAAACCTATCGAAAATCCTTACCTGAACATAATTCCCCGGAAACCATCCAGTCTTCTCCTCCTTGCCGATCACATTCCCCTCCCACCAGCCGCCGGGGGTGGTGTTTTTCACCTGTACCTGGTCTCCCACGTGCAAACTGATCTGATTGTCTGCCGTCGCTTCAAAGGCCGCGATCACTCTGCCTTTCCGATCACTTTCCACCGAATCGCCCGAGGCATTGACGGCCGTTAGTGGTAGAGCTGGTACTGATTGAGCCTTTTCCACGTAGTTGGCGGGGAAGATGCCGGAACGCCCGTCCACCGTGCCCTTCCACCATTCGCCTTCAAGTTCGGTGACGAAGATGCGCTCACCGATCTTTAGGCTTAAATCAGTTGGTTCTACGGCGTCAAACTGGTACAGGGCCACGAACCATTGACCTGAGGTTGAGGTGGGTTGGCTTGGGGGTGGGAAGACGTGTTGTGAGTTGGAGGGGGTGATGTGAGAGGATTGTTGTTGACTGTGCGACGATTCTACAGATGTTTGCTTTTGTGGGGCTGAAAATTTGCAAATCAATTTTTTAATTTTTGAAAATACAAAAAAAATTATACAAAACTCAATTTTCACCGTTGCTTCAAAGAATCAAAATCTAAACTGCCCTATTTAAAAATCTGAAATTTATCGCTGCCTAATCAAAAAAAATCTACCATGCCAAAATAAAAAGAATCAAAAACTACCCCTGCCCTGCTACGCAAGTTAAAATGTACCCTGCCTGCTCAAAATTTAAAAATGCCCCCATGCCATGGCAAAAACCTTAAAATCTGCTACTGCATTGACAAAAAAATCAAAATACACCCCTGTCAAACAAATTTTAAATATACCTCAGCAGTGTAAAAAGATAAAAATGTACCCACGCCCTAAAAAGTTAAAATACACCCCCGCCCTCTACAAAAAAAATTAAAAATATACCCCAGTCTAGCCAAAAAAAAGAAAATCTAGTAATTTAAGAAGATAAATTTGCCCTAGCCAACTTAAAAAAGTCTTCCCCTGCCCATTAACAAAAAAATATTAACATCCACCCCTTCCCCAAAAAATTTAAAATGTACTCCTGTCAAACCAAAAATACCCTCACAATCAATACGCCCTCCTCCCCCTCAAAATGAAACATCACAAATATCCACCCCTGCTTACCATTCTCATTCAACTTGACATAGCTCTTGGGGAACCATCCATTCGTGTCGTTTTTGCCTTGAATCCGCCCTCTCCATCGCATTTCCGTTTTCTCGAGAATTTCGATTAAATCGCCTTTGGCAAAACTGAGTTCTGAGTCATAGCGCGCTTTCCATGGGAACTGGGCTGTTCCCACCGCTATCACTGTGTCATTCGTGATCGCCTGAGGAGCAGTGGGCTTCTGAGGGGAGACGTCGCCTGGTGGGGCGTCGTACATTGAGGATGGGGGTTGGGCGGTGGGGGGTTTCGGATTTGAATGCTGAGGCTGAAATAAGGCGTGTTATAGTTGAAATGGTTCACGAGTTTAAAAAAGTAATATTTTAGGTAACGTTTTATAAAACAAAAAAGTATTTTAGATAAAGTTTAACAAAAGACTTTAGTATACAATGCCTAACAAAAAAATTAAAAAATTTACCCCTGCCTAATAAAAAAAACACTTTAAATCCTCCTCTGTCTCATAAAAAACCTTGAAAATCCACTCCTGACTCATAAAAAAAATTTTAAAATCTACCCCTGCAAAACTAAAAAAAATTTAAAACCACCCCTGCCTAATATAAAAATGCTTGAAAACCACCCCTGCCTAATAAAAAGCCTTACAATCCACCCCTGCCTGATATAAAAAAAATTGAAATCCACCCCTGCCTAATAAAAAAGCCTTTAAAATTCACCCCTGCCTAACAAAAAAAAACATTTTAAAATCCACCCCTGCCTCATAAAAGACTGAAATCCACACCTGCCTTCTCAATGAAAAAATAAACCCCCCCCTCATCATAATTTAAAAAAACATTATAAAGCCCTACCTAATTCCGAGCTGAATTCCTTCTCAGTCGGTTCCTCTTTAATACTAGCCAATGGTTCGGTCGAGGGTGAGGCTGATGTTGAATTCTGGATTGGGCTAGTCTTTTTGGCCATGGGTTCGGCAAAAGCGGCCGGGAACCAGCCCACTTTTTCTTTGATCTGCCCTGCCAACCAGCCTGGTTCCGAGGCGTGGCCTTCGAAAACGAGAATCGTATCGCCCGGTTGTAGCGACAATTCATCGTCGGATCTGGAGACGAATTCGTAGAGAGCACGGTACTTGACTGGAGGTTTGTCCGAAGCGTTTTGAGCTATGGCATGAGAGGATTGGGTGGATTGTACTGAGGGGGCGACTGAAATGTTGTTTTTAATGAGATGTGTTGTAGAATGACACTTTATTTTAAAATGTGTTATGAAATGACATTTTTATTATAAAATGTCATAACATGACATTTTTAAAATAAAATGTCATGAACTGACATATTTTACCAAATGATGGTTCAAAATAAGATTTTTTGATGCCAAATGTCATAATATGATATTTTATTAGAAAATATGTCATAAAATGACATTTTATCCTACAATACGTCACAAAATGACATTTTATGATATAATATGTCATAAAATTCCTGTTTATTCAAAAATATGTCATAAAATGACATTTTATTCTAAAATATGTCATAAAATAACATTTTATCATATAATGTGTCATAAGTTACATTTTACCCCGTAATATGTCACAAAATGACATTTTATTCTAAAATGTGTCATAAAATGACATTTTGCTGCCTAAAAATCAAAAATCTTTCGCTGCAATACCTAAGCTGAGCCTCTGGAACCTCCATTTAAGCCCGGCCCTCCAGCTCACAAGCGCCGGCCTGATTCGTTTCAAACTTGCTTCAACCCGGCCCCGGGCCAGATTTAATCAGCCCCCCCCCCCTCCTTTTTTTTCTCCTCTACTTACATGGATCATTAGCCTTGGCCGCGAATGGATCATCAAAGTTGGTTTGGAAAGCGTTGGCATCAGGCGGAGCTTCGTAAAGGTCATTTTGCTTTGGAAACGCGTTGAAGGCCGCTTCTTTTTGGCCGAAAGCGTCGCCAAAGTTGTTGGAATTGAAGTTGGGAGCAAAGTTGTTGTCGCTTTTGTTGTTGAAGTTCATCGGTGGAACTTGGGCACGTCGCTTTTCGCTGACCTTCTTGTAAAGTTCGTTCTGTTTGGCCACGAACTTGGCCAACATTTCATTGTAGACGTCGCCCAGCTTCTTTAGGCGGTCTTCGCCTGCGTCAAAGTCTGGTTTTTTCTGGAATTTGAATTGATTTCAATTAAAAATGACAGATATTGTAGAAAAATTGAAAATGTTATAAATGGGTAAAGTAACTGAAAAGGAAGAAGGTTGTGTAAGGTAGGGGTAGACATCGAGAAAAGACTAGGAATAGGGGTTGTAGATAAGCAGACTAGTTATACCTAAACTCAAAAAAATTTAATTACCTCGCTAACCAGCTTCTTCTGATGCTCCAGTCTTTGTGTAGCGTCACTCATCTCGTCCTTTAGCTTCTGAATCTGTTCTCTGCGATCGCTGATCAACATTCGAATTTGTGCAATTTCTTTCACCCTTGACAAGCTTTTTTGACATTCAGTTTGAAGTTGCAGATTGCTGTGAGATACTCGTTCACATTGGACTGCTAGCTAAAATAATATTGTTTTAGGTAACAAAATTTCAAAAAACTCTCATTTCCAATGCAAAATCGACAAAACTCTTAAAAACCTCATAAAAAATAGTATTTTAGGTAACAATCACTCAAGATATGACATTTTAGGTAACATTTTTGCCTACTTGCTGATTTTTGGCCTGAAGTTCCTGAATTTTGGCCACTTTTTCATCTCGTTGGCCACGCATCGCTTCAATTTCACTGGTAATGGCAATGATCTCGTCTCTAGCCGCATTTGAATCTTGAGTTAGTTGTGTCGCCTTCTCCTCGAGACCTTGAAGTTGGAATGTCATCGTTTTGTGACGTTGCTGAATTTGAGTTGTCTTTTCTTTTTCGCCTTGTAGTTGAGTCTGAAAGTAGGAATTTTTAGTGCTTCTGGTGCATTAAAAACTTCACCCAAAAGGGATCATTACTTTCCGAACTACCTAATATTACTTTCATTTCCACCATAATTTCCATCCTTTGTTACCAAAACCTATCTTTTTTTACTCAAAAAAATCCCCTTCCCATACCTCCAAATCCTTGACATGTCTCTGCTCCAACAACTTCATCCTCTCCTCATCCGCCTTCTTCCTCTGTTCCTCCCTCTCAGCCTTCAACTTGGCTTCTTCGGCCGCTCTCTGTTCCTCAAGTTCTTTCTCCTTCTGTCGTTGAACTTCGAGTTCAGCCTGCCTGATCCTCTCCTGCTCCATCCGCTCCTGTTCACGTTTCTCGGCTTCAGCACGTTCACGCCGTTCGATTTCCATCTTTCGTCGTTCCTCTTCTTCACGAAGAATCTGACGTCGTCTCTCCAGCTCTGCCTCACCTTTGTCCAGGTTATCTCTTCGTTTGTCCTCAAAAGTCTTCAAAGTTGGTGTCTTCTGAGGTGGATCTTCTCCTGGAGTAACCGCTGGTGATTCAGTTTTACATCGACTAGCAAAAGTGTCAAGCTCTGGTGGTAGTTTAGTCGGTAGAGCATATCCAGCCTTCACTTGATCAATCAGAAACATTGCTACACAAAACTTCTCAATCGTTAAGTAGCCTTCCTTCTGACTATCGGCCAAATTCCAAATTTGACCCAAAATCTGGGTTGGCAGCTGGCTTTCTCCCATTATTCCACGAACTTGTTGACCAGTCAAATAATCCTTCCTCTCTTTATCGAGCTGATTGAATCGCTGGGAATACTTCAGCTTCACATTATGAGGCATCGACCAGTCGCCCAGCTCTTTCGTCCCCATCGTGAACTCGGGTTGAGATGGAGGTTGTGGTGGAGGTCCTCCCATGTACGGTTGTGGCATCTGAGGCATACCATAAGCTGGAGGCCGAACATAAGGCTGTGGAGGGGCTTGCTGAATGGTTTTCATAGACTCTGGTAGAATATTTGGCACAGGGATGCCGGACAAAGCATTTCGAATCAATTTGACAGCTATGGCAAATTCGATTTTGTCCAAACGGGCGTCTTTGTTCATATCCGCCAGGTTCCATACCTAAAAATTGAATGTTATAACAGGTGTCAACCCATAATGAGAGAAGTTAAGCTATTTTTAACTTTTTTAAAGCCTAAAAACCAAAAAAAGATATTAATTCTACCTTATTCTAGAGCCGCAGTAAAAGTACTGTAACTTAAAATTTAAAAAAAAATTGAAAATATTTTTCTAGTAGCTAGTCAATTATAGTGTTCACACTCAGTAAAAACTTCAAATGCTTTAATAAACTTTGCAAAAAGTTATGACCAAATCATGTTGTAGTACCTATCTCAAGTGTACCTCCAGTTTTAAATCCCCTTTTAAAACCTAAAATCAAAAGAACAAAAAAAGTTTACCTGTGCCAACACATTAGGCGGTAGTCCACTTTTCAGCATGAATCCTCGAGCTTGTTCTCCATTTAGATATCCATCAATCGGCTTTAAGGTAATGAACTGGATTTCATTTTGTTGGAACTCCAAGGACGTCACAACCCAAGGATTATTCATTACTAGCCACTTATAATCTTGCTTTCATTCACAGACTAAAAAAGAAAAAGTTTAAGTAACAATGAAAATTTTAAAACGCGAGTATAGACATTGCTCATCACTAAAATTTGCTCGAAATCGCGTTTAAACCCAGAAAATAAAACAAAACTGATGAATCAGAAGCAAGATCTGCTCGATTCAACATCGAAATGGCTATCTAATTTCATTTATAAACTAAACCTATCAGAAACATTGCATTTGGAGCGGAAAAACGGAAAATCGATGTCCATTTCAATGGAAAAACGGACAGAAAAAAGAGCTGCGAAAATGCATAAAATTTAACGTTTTCTCCCGTTTTTTCACGTCTTGTTGTAGGTTTGTTGGCATTCTTGATTGTTTTTGTGTTAAAAAAGGTAAGCTTAACGTAAAATTGTAGTTAAAAACGAACAAGAAGACTTTTCTGTAATTTTTAGTCACTTTTTTTACAGTTTGGTAAGCTTTAAATGTATTTTATTACGAAATGTTAGCTCAGGAAGTAGGTATTGCCCAATATTCAAATTTCTCACTTTTGAAATAAAGGTTTATAAAAATTGTTTTAGTTTAGTGAAAAAAGCGTCATTGTCTTGTTGGTTCGAAAATTTAAGTCAATTTGGACTATTGGTTCAATAAATATGGCATTATTGCCGTTAAATTGCATGCTTTATCTTCACATTGTGGTATCTTGGCGGTGAATAGCAAAACCGGTCTCAAAATTTGTAAACATGCTTTCTTTAATATCATAAACAATTGTCTGTTTTTATTTTTATGTTTATTTTTATTTTTATTTGAAAGTAAAATGACCTTTCTTTTTATCTCGTTGCACCGTGCAGTCTATTTTTAATTATTTTGCACCGTGCAGTTTAAAAAAAACTTTTAAATGCCACTACATCATGGATCTGCACCCTAAATGTATTTTTCATCGATTTCTAATGCTCGAAGGTCAATTTTGAATTTATCAAAGTTATTATCAAGCCATATAAATGAAGGAGAAGTTTAATGACTTTGATGTTATTGTAACTTGTGATAAGGTTGTATATAAAGCCGAGAATAGGCCTAAATCGAGCGTGTCAATGGTGTCATGATAAGGACGTTTGTTTTTCTGTTGTTTACCGTAGTTGTTTCTTTTGCGAATGTTAAGTTTAAAGAGTTGGGTCCAGCGTTGCCGGAGGAAGGGCTGAGAACGGTAGGTTTGGGGTACGGTAGGGTGCTGTGGGTTAGGGTAGGGCAGGGTCTGAAACGCTAGTCTAAGGTAAGTTAGGGTAGTATAGGGCATGGTACGGCATGGTAGGATATGGTTGGGTAGGGTAGCGTAGGGCATGGTAGGGCAGGGCTGGGCAGGGTAAAATAAGGTAGGGTAGAGTAAGATAGGGTAGGGTGGAGTAAGCCTTATACTTTAGTGTCATTTTCAGGACACATTGATCAAATACTGGGGATATTCAGCTGAAAAACATTACGTTACCACTGAAGATGGCTACATTATTGAGATCCACCGGATTCCAAGAGGAAAAGGTAAAACTTTTTTTAGATAAAATGATAAAACCTTTTATTTAGAGCTATAAAAGTAACTAATTCTTCTTTAAAATTTCAACAACAATAATATTTTAGATAAAAAAACATCAAATCACGGTCAAAAGCCAGTGGTTTTATGTATGCACGGTCTTCTAGAATCCAGTGCATCGTATGTTTTCAATCTTCCTAGTCAATCGCCAGGTAAGATTCTTTACCGTACTCTAACCTGCCCTGCCCTACCCTACCCTACCCTACCCTACCCTACCCTGCCCTACCCTACCCTACCCTACCCTACCCTACCCTACCCTACCCTACCCTACCCTACCCTACCCTACCCTACCCTACCCTACCCTACCCTACCCTACCCTACCCTACCCTACCCTACCCTACCCCTACCCTACCCTACCCTACCCTACCCTACCCTACCCTACCCTACCCTACCCTACCCTACCCTACCCTACCCTACCCTACCCTACCCTACCCTACCCTACCCTACCCTACCCTACCCTACCCTACCCTACTCTACTCTACCCTACCCTACTCTACTCTACCCTAGCCTACTCTACCCTACCCTACCCTACCTTTCCCTACTTTATCCTGCCCTACTTTACCCAACTTTACCTTTTTCTGCCTTGCCTTCCCTTACTCTTATTGTCACACCTATGCCTACATGATCAACCCTTTTTTAGCCTATGTCTTTGCCGATCACGGCTTCGACGTCTGGCTTGGCAATGTTCGTGGCAACACTTATGGTCGGAATCACACCATTTTGAGTACAAAAGACGAGAAATTCTGGAAGTTCAGGTGGGTCACGTTGTTTCTTATCACTTCATCAACACGCTGCAAGGTTTAATGGTCGTAAAATTTTATTTATTTGGTCAGAAGTTTAAAAAATTTGTTGTAAAGAAAGTCCTTGCAAGTTCTTGTCGTTTTATGTTTTGTAAAGAAAGTTCTTGCCATTTTTTTGTTTTTTAAAGAAAGTTCTTGCCATTTTTGGCTTTGTAAAAAACGTTTTTGCCATTAAAGCTATTTTTAAATTCAGTTGGCCAGACCATGCCCACAAGGATTTACCAGCCATTTTGGACAAGATATACGACGTGACAGGCCAAAAACGAGTATATTATGTTGGTCATAGTCAAGGCAATCTGATTTTGTTTGCTCAATTGGCTGAGAATCCGGAATTTTCAAATCGAATTATACGACACTTTGCATTGGCACCAGTTTACACTGTAAAACATATTAAAGGATTACTGTGGTTTTTGGCTAAGGTCGTGTATCCTAATCAGCAGGTAAGTGAATATGAAAATATCAAACTTGGTTCTTAAGGAAGGCTATAATAAGAGTTTATGTTATTAAAGCCTGTGTTACGGTAGGTTGGCTTACGATAGGTTTGAGTTACAGTAGCTTTGGGATACAGTAGGTTTGGGTTAAGGAAGGTTTGGGTTACGGTAGGTTTGGGTTACGGTAATTTTGAGTTATGGTATGTTTAGTTTACTGTAGATCTGGTTTAAGATAAATTTGGATTACGGTAGGGGTGGATTACGGCAGGTTTAGGATACTGTAGTTCACGGTACGTTTGAGTCACGGGTGGCGGTAGCTTTGGGTTTCGGTAGGTTGAGGTTACGATAGGAATCTTAAGCCTACTATGCCTAACTTTACTAAGCCTAAGCCTACTTATCTTAAACCTACGGAGCCTAGAACTGCTAAGCCTAAGCCTACTAAACCACAGCGTGCTAAGCCTAAGCCTACTAAGCCTAAGCCTACTAAGGCTAAGCTAACTAAATAAGTCTACTAAGACTAAGCTTATTACTTTTAAGCGTGACTATTCTTCCCTCTAATCTAAAGATTAAATTTAACTTTTGGTTAATTCTAAAATAAGCCTAAGAAGCCAAATTACATTTCAGAAAGCGGAAGAAGTGTTAGGAAACCACGAATTCATGGGTAATCACCTTATCATCAAGGCCTTTGCTCGGATGATTTGTGACTCATACAAAGGTCAGCACGAGATCTGCAACAACATCATAGCCCTCATCGATGGTCCAAACTCAAACCAACTCAATGTCTCTCGTCTCTCCGTTTACACTAGTCACTCACCAGCTGGCACTTCAACCCAGAATCTGCTACACTGGCTACAGAACGTGTACACCGGCATCATGGAGAAGTACGACTATAGGAATGACAAACTTAATGTGAAGGCCTATGGCCACATTACCCCGCCCAAATATGACATTTCTAAAATTAGGGGGCTGAAGTTGCATATCTATTCGAGTGAAGAGGATTGGCTAGCTGATCCGGATGATATGCTCAACTTGATGTACTCTATGCCGGAGGGGGTGGTTCAGGTGAGGTTTTGAGGATTGGAAAGAAAGTTTTTGCTATTTTTGCTTTGTAAAGAAAGTTATTGCCATTTTTGCTTTGTAAAGAAAGTTCTTGCCATTTTTAGTTTTGTAAAGAAAGGTTCTGCCATTATATGTTCTGTAAAGAAAGTCCTGGCCATTTTTGATTAATTCGCACTGTGCAATGAATAAATAACCCTGCACCGTGCAACCGACCATATGCACCGTGCAATAAATTTTTGCTGTTGACTTTTTGTATTTTTACTTAAATTAGGTAACAAATTCTATTACAACTTGTAGTAAAGACTGTAAAAAAATTATTGTAACTTGTTTTACTGTGATAGCTTTAAAAATAATGACACAATAAATTTTTTTAAAATAACTGCACCGTGCAGTTTAAGAAACTAAGCTATTGGCTTTGTAAAGAAAGTTCTTGCCATTTCTTGTTTTGTAAAGAAAGTTCTTGCCATTTCTTGTTTTGTAAAGAAAGTTCTTGCCATTTCTTGTTTTGTAAAGAAAGTTCTTGCCGATTATTACCTTTTTTTCAAATTTATTACTTAAAATCATAAAAAAATTTTAAATTTTAAAATTTTCAGACCGAAAAAATCTTCCCTGACTGGTCGCACTTGGACTTCCTATGGGGTACTAATGTCACCGAGTACATTACTTTACCTATAATTCAAACGATTCAAAAATACGATGGTATCCGACTACGGTAACATTAAAAACGACATTTTTAATTATAGCATGACAAGTTCAAAATTTTTAAAATTTGTAGTGTTAATATAAGGTCATTTTGAATAACAACAGTACAAATAAATATATTAAAGTAATGGAAAGTAAGGTAGATTTTAGTACAATAAGGCTGTTGGGTCCATGCTTTTTTCTTTTTCACTGATTTTTTGATGTTTTTCCGTTAACAATATCATTACTGATGGGAAGACATGCAGTACTACGGCCATACTGAACACGTAGAATGATACTCCAAAACTGAAAAAATATCAAAAGTTACCTTTTCTTACCTTACCCTATTCTACCTTATCCTACTGTACCCTACCCGACGCTACCCTACCTTACTCTACTTCCTCAAATCCTACGGTAGTCCGCCATACCGTACTCTATCTTACGTTATCTTGCCCTATTATACATTATCCTACAGTACAATACTCCAATATACTCTAGCCTGCTCTGCCCTGCTCTGACTTGCTTTGTTATAAACCGCCTTAAACTGTACCGTGCTTTTGCTCTATCATCATTTTACCTTAACCTACCTTACCATCTTCTACTCTAAAAGCCTAGAAAATTGAATTTAATTAAACAAACTTACTGTACCAAGCCTTCTGATGAAAAATCGTCCATTCTGTGCTCTTTCAATAGTACATTGTATTGAATTGTGTTATAGAATTGTCTTATATACAGGAAGGCAGCAGTTACGTAGGACATTACTAAAATTTTTAATTTGAAAAGACGTACATAAAAGTCTTGTCATCGTTTATCATTGTTAATAACGAGGAAAAACGACAAGACTTTTTCAATCTACTATAATTAGAGATAGAGAAGCAAAAAAAGTTTTGTCGTCAATTAGCATTAGACTTAACGTTAGAAAACGACAAGACTTTTTTCAACAATAAAATTAGTAAAAAATGTCAAAGGGTAGTATGCCAAAGAAAAAATACGTACCACTAAGCCAGCTCCATAAATGTAATCCACCAGCGCCAGCTACAGTCTTTGGGTCATTTAAAAATAGGTTGAGAAATGACACAAACATGCCAACAAAACTCCAAACTAATCCCAAAGCAATGAAGAACATAGTGAAGATCCACGAACACTTGCCAAAGAAACTGATTCCTTCATCCAGCTCGTTGAAAACTAAAATTAGTTTTCAAAGAAGGGTAGGGCATGGTAAGATAGCGTCCAGTAGGATATGGTAGGGGACGGTAAGATGGGGCCAAGTGGGTTAGGATAGGGTACGGTAAGATAGGGTAGAGCAAAGTACGGCGCGTTAGAGTATGGTAAAGTACGGCACGCTAGCACCATCCAAGGTAGGGTACAGTGCGGTAAAGTAATTACGATAGCGCAGGGTTGGGTAGGTCACATTAAGTTAGCGTAGGATAAAGCCAAATGACATAGGATACGATAGGGTAGAGTAAGCCAAGGCAAAGGTAGGGTAGAGCATGGTTGGGTACGAGACGGCACAGTACGGTAAGATACAATATGCGAGTGAATATGGTAGATTACGGTAGGGTACGCTTGAGTCATCTAGGGTAGGGTAGGGTACGGTAGGGTAGGGTAAGGTAGGGTAGGGTAGGGTAGGGTAGGGTAGGGTAGGGTAAGGTAGGGTAGGGTAGGGTAGGGTAGGGTAGGGCAGGGTAGGGTAAAGTAGGGTAGGGTAGGGTTGGGTAGGGTAGGGTAGGGTAGCGTAGGGTAGGGTAGGGTAGGGTTGCGTAGGGTAGGGTAGGGTAGGGTTGGGTAGGGGTAAGGTAGGGTAGGGTAGGGTAGGGTAGGGTAGGGTAGGGTAGGGTAGGGTACGGTAGGGTAGGGTAGGGTAAGGTAGGGTAGGGTAGGGTAGGGTAGGGTAGGGTAGGGTAGGGTAGGGTAGGGTAGGGTAGGGTAGGGTAGGGTAGGGTAGGGTAGGGTAGGGTAGGGCAGGGTAGGGTAAGGTAGGGTAGGGTAGGGTAGGGTAGGGTAGGGTAGGGTAGGGTAGGGTAGGGTAGGGTAGGGTAGGGTAGCGTAGGGTAGGGTAGGGTAGGGTAGGGTAGGGTAGGGTAGGGTAGGGTAGGGTAAGGTAAAATGCAAAAATGCTTACTAGAAAATTGTTCCTGTCTAGGCCCAAAGCCGTAGTCCAATTGTCTTACACCAACAAACATTCCAGTATGAAACACACTATATCTCGATACCTTGCCATAGCGATGTAAAGGCTGACTTTCAGCCCAAAAATCAGTTGATAATGATGTTAAAACTAAGCTGACACCAATAATGTAGACTATTAGGCTTATGAATAGTGCTAGTCGTCTTGAGCTCTTCATGGTACTGAAAGTTCAGCACTATATTATTTTAAGTAGTTAGCCAAAAAATTAAAAAACAAACAAATTTTTAGAGTTTAGAAATATGCAAATTTACGGCAAAACGCAAAAAAGCTTCAAGGAAAGCGAATATTTGTCGTATCTTGAGTTTGAACGTCGTATGACCTTCATTAACCCGGTCGCTAATACGATCACATCCTTTTATTTACGGCGATGAGGGCATTCGAGAGGAACGCAAATTAAGTCTTATACCTGTCTAAACACTCCCTACCCTACCCTACCCTACCCTACCCTACCCTACCCTACCCTACCCTACCCTACCCTACCCTACCCTACCCTACCCTACTCTACCCTACCCTACCCCTACCCTACGCTACCCGACCCTACCCTACCCTACCCTACCCTACCCTACCCTACCCTACCCTACCCTACCCTACCCTACCCTACCCTACCCTATCCTACCCTACCCTACCCTACCCTACCCTACTCTACCCTACCCTGCTTTGCCTCACACTGCCCTTTCCAGTTCTTCTTGGCTTTGCTCTAATCTGTCATGCCCTGACCTGCCTTGCTATGCCTCGTCTCGCTTTGTCCTGCCTTGCTTTGCCCTACCCTGCTATGCCCTTCTTTTCCCCGCGCTGTGATGTATTGCCCTGCTCTGTCTTACTCTCCTTTGCCTTACCTTACTCAACCCTTTAATCTGCTGTGCTTTTTCTTACTTTATCTTTTCTTTCCTTGGGTTATCCTTACTATCATTGTCACAATTATACCTATACATAAATGATAAAAACGTCGTTTATTAAACAAATATAATATAGTGCTCCAACTCAGATAGTATTATAGTTTTGAATAATCAAAAAATATGTAATTGATTAAGGAATTTGTGAATTGGTCCGGGTTGGTCGACTATTACTGATCCAACTCATGCCGCTAATTTTGACACTCTTGGTCTTCCACATTTGAACTATAAACTGTCTGTACTGTTTTATAAAGATGATCGATGTCAAAGCATTTAAAACTGGAATCCAAGCCATACAACCATATAATGTCACTTCAAAGCCACGCAGCTCGATTTTAAACAATATACATGTTATACTGACCAAGATTGGACCAATCGATGTTACTATCGGGATTATACTCTGAAAACATTTTTTGAATTTTTTTGCGCTAGCCAAAGACATAGCTCGGCCCACAACCTTAGCCCATAAACCTAGCTCAGAGTCCTAGCCCAGAGCCTAGCCCAGAGTCCTAGCCCAGAGCCCTAACCCAGAGCCCTAGCCCTGAGCCCTAGCCCAGAGCCCTAGCCCAGAGCCCTAGCCCAAAGCCCTAGCCCAGAGCTCTAGCCTAGAAATTTAGTTCCGAGTTCTAGCCTTAGTCCTAGCCCTAGCTCTACCTTTGCACTACCCTACAGTATCCCATTCTACGCTATAACTAATTTTACTTTAAACCGAACATAGTAATACTGCTACTATGTTTTACCCCCTTCTATTTTACCCTACACTCCCTTACCTGGATAGTTAAAACTGTAGTGAGTTGTTTTTGCATTGTAATGGCCGATGGTGTTTGGTTTGTAACGTTTTCGGCAAATATCTTTACAGTTCGAACACCGTAGTATAAAGAAGTTGCGTAGATTCCAGCAAACATAACCAGCCATATGGCGAATAGTACCGATACATTAAAACTAGCCTAAAATGAAGTTTAAGTACATTATAAAAAAGGCAGGTTTAGGCGGGTAATTTGAATCTATATGGGAGAGGGGGGGGGGAGAGAAAGGAGAAAAGAAGTGAAAACTTAAAAAAAATATCGACCGGTCAAATTTTTTATTTAAAATATTTTTAAATAGTAACTTCTGTTTTTTATCAGCTCTCGCTGCTCCCCCCCCCCTTCTCCTCCATCTTTCCTTTCTAATCCCCAAAGGTCCGCCGCGACCCTAAGTTCGGACCGGGCTGGTTTTGAGCTAAATTTAGGTGAAGTCGGTCCGGTACAAAAAAGCCAGACCCGTTTGCACGTATGTTATTAAGCTGAACCAAAAGTAGCTGGGCATTTTTCATTAATTTTTCAATTATATAGTGTCCCGTAACTTTTGATTCAACCTAATATGGCTGTGTTTGCGCTCTGTGGAAGATAAAAATTCGTCAAACCCCGGTACGTTATAAAAGGGCAAACGCGCAGCCTAATATCAATCCAGTTCGTTATTTATGGGAAGAGGGTCAGTCGCTGTCCCCTTAGTCTTCTTAAAGACTCAAATAAACATGAGAAAGAAAGATGTTGGTTGCTACAATACGCTTGACTATGTTATAACTAGTACTATATGTTACTATTGTTAGTTGTTGTTTTAAGTATATTCATTGTTTTAATATATATATGACTAAAATAATGAGTCCGGGGACTTTTTACGCACCCTGTATAGAGCTCCTGTCAAAGGACTCTGGTCGTTAGGACCGCTACACCAAACCAGTAGGATTTCCGATTTCAAATCCTTCTTTAACAAAGTGGAGGTCTCACCGAGATCCCATCGACAAAAGCGCTATTCCCTTTAGACCACCCGACTATTCCATTTTAATAAAGGAATTTTAAAATTTTCTTTTGTATACTATATTTGCTAGTGACCAAGCAGGTAGACTTATTTACGTTATTAACTATTATTCATGTTACTAATGTTATGGTCAGACTTTGCGTCTTGCGACAGCAGACGGCGATTATTCTAAAATCGTATCGGACCTGTCACGAGAAACGAAGAAAGGCAAATAATGGTCAGTTTGATTCTTTGTAGGCCTTCTAGACAGACGTGTCTAGTAGGAGTCTCCTCGAAGAAATAACAAAATGATGATACGAAGTCGGAGTTGCTTTGAATTAGGTCTGCTTTGGTAAGACTCGGAGTGGAGGATAGAAAGACTAAGTGCTACCATTACACTAACTATTATTCATGTTACTAACTACTTGTTATATTGTACGCCGTGGATGAACCGGAACAAGATCAGTGAGCCGTGGCAACGATGAGAAGACGTTCTTAATTGTAAGCCTACCAGGTATGGTTTCCACATTTTGGTGTTATAATTTTATTTTAAGCCTAAATTATAGTGAATAATAGGTTAATTAGTCCCGAGAATAAGAGAAAGCAACTTATTCCTGCCTAACACATAAAATCGGTTACTCTAAGAGTAGAGTTGTTTCACAACCGAGTAGAATTGTTTTACAACGCAATAAGTTCTGCACTACTCTTAGCACAGGTCGCGTGTATCAAAAGTGTAACGAGGCAATCTCAAGGTTATAAATATAAGGTTTCCTAGACTGATTAATGAGTCCGAAAGCCGCTTTAAAACCCAGAGATATCCCCGTTATCGCCAATCGGGTTAACTGTTGTAGGCTCGACTTGCCGACGGGCAGATGGAGAGTCTCCTCAACTAGTGAATAAAGGATAAAGGAAGAAATTGGTATTGAATGTTAAAGATTGCTCTGTAAAAGAACTCGGTGAGCAGGCTAGAAGGCCTGGAATGCTCCCGGCTATAACAAACGGACCGAAGTATAAAAGTTGCGAGCAGACGTCGTCCCACTACGTAGGGTTTTTATAGTCGAATGTGGTAAGATTGCCAAATCTACCAATCAATGCTGTCAAAATGAAGCCACTGAGAGGTACTACTATTGAAGCTTTGTATTGTAATCGTTAAGTTCCGCGATTTACGCATTAACATCGAAAGTCTTGCCGGGAAAACAACCAGTAATTACGTAAATAGTCAATAATCATAAGATTGAAACTCTAATTGATACTGGTATTATGGTCAAACTTTGCGTCTTGCGACAGCAGACGGCGATTAATCTAAGATTGTATCGGGCCTGTCACGAGAAAGGAAGAAAGGCAAATAATGGTCAGTTTGATTCTTTGTAGGCCTTCTAGACAGACGTGTCTAGTAGGAGTCTCCTCGAAGAAATAATAAAATGAAGATACGATGTCGGAGTTGATTTGAATTGGGTCTGCTTTGACAAGACTCAGGTTGGAGGATAGAAAGACTAAGTGCTACCATTACACTGGTACGTCCGTGTCATACATGAGAGGATCAGTTTCTAGGAAGCCAGAATTAGAAATTCAAAGTTCGCGTTTACCGAGTGCAGTCTCAGCAAATGGCGGAAAAATACCGTTCGTAGGCCATGTTTCTCTTGAAATTGCAATAGATGACAAAAATTATAAAATACCAGTCTTGGTATTATCAAACGTAAATTGTCCTTCTGAATTACTGTTAGGTAGTGACACATTTCTATTACTTGAAAGACAAGGGCATCATTTGTCATTGAATTTTATTGAGGATTTTCTTGGTTAGACAGCATGGGAGATTAGAGATGTTAATGACACCTTTCGAAGTAGGATCGGTAGTAATAAAGAAAATTGAGGAAAAACTTAAACAGAATTGGAATACTAATGACTCTCAAGGACAAGGAAAGTTCGGAGGTCCGAACTTGATACCCGTCGGGAGGCAATAAAGCTATTTTCAGGCGAACCAGAAAGTGTATCAGTGATATTACCAGAAGTACTAGAACGAAGTACGGAATTAGCCGATGGCACCAGAAATGCGAACAACAGAGTCAACAAGTTCATAAACGATCAAAATATCAAACCTAAAAGCCCAATGACAGATCCGGATGAAGCAGTCCAACCAACACTAATAATATCATATATAGCCGCAAGTTGTACTATTAATTTCTTAAGAAGAACTTTATTAATGTTTTAAGAAGTACTTATTGAGTATTAGGTCTTGAACTTTTTTAAAAGCTTTAGTCGAATACTAAGACCAGAGCTAAGAGGATACGCTAATCAGATCACTTCTACAAGAAAACGTACAGCATCGTACGAATTACATTCACCGATCTCTTTGGTTAAACGGCAAAGAAAATAACCTTATCCCTCATCGTCCAACTACTATATCGACCATGTTAATGGGACCTCGCCAACTTTCATTGAATCCGGCAAATATCGTAAGCCGTCTACGAAAGAAAATTGCTTGGAAAGTCAGCATCAAATTTTTCTATTCTACAGTTGGACCTAGCAATAGCTTTATACCTGTAGGATCAACTGAATTGATCCGAATCTACCAATCTATTCACACCTCCGACTAGCTCAGGTCAAAGTAAAGGGCTAAGGATTTTTAGAATGAAAATGCCTAATTTTAATAAAACTTCGAATCGTCTCAACACTTCTTGATTGGACTTCTGATCGAGGGCGGTCAGTTCTGTTCGTCGGGAGGATGTCACGGTCAAATTATTTATGATTAATATTGTAAATCAAAGAGACGACAAGCGAAAAGCAGTCTCTAACGCAACGCCCATGCCTAAAGGCCGCGATATGGCCCTTTCAAAAAGAGAGAGAGAAAGGACCGTAGGGAGCAGTCGGGTGCGTCTTGCGTTTATATATTTTATGTGATACAGCAACCTTTTAAATACTTTTCTTATAAATAAACTTGAATATATAATTATCACTCGGATTGTATAATACAGGGTGCGCCACAAGTTCTGTTACACGGTTTTTTAATCAAATATTTATTTTTAACAACAAATATAATTAAAACAACAGAGAAAACGACCGGTATAGTTTTGTAACAGAACTTGTGGCGCACCCTGTAAAGAATAGGTCTAGCGGGTCCGATCCGAACAGAGCGAGGTAGCATGTGATTCTTATGGTAAAATAGGAAACGAGGGAAATAACCAATTATAGACAACCTACTTTATCACGTAAAAAAAATTGGGCCGGGCCGACCTATACTACGGTAAACATTGAAACACGCCAATCTTAAACCTTGGGTCCCAAACTTGAGCCGAGAATCAAATCACGGCCCGTTTCTCAACCCTATCCTTCACTCTTTCCTTCCTTAACCTTCTTCTCCCCTTTTTTTCCTTCTCCCTTGCTCTCCCCCCCCCCTTACTCCCACCCCCTTGCTTCCCCCCCCCCTCTCCTCGTTCTTTCACCCTTTCTCTCATTTGTACTACTATTCTCACTTTCTTTACCCACCTTCACACACCTTACCTCACCCATCACCCCTTCCTTACAACATCTCCTCTTCGTCTTACCAACCCTCTGTCGTGACTATATGTACAAGTTATTTTTTGTACATATAGTCAATTACTAAATTAATTACTACACGTACCGTATCAATTTGAATAAAACTACTAATCCGGTCATCGAAACACAACTCTTGTCGTTCATTCAGCGGCAATAACATTTTCTCCTTGTTTAATAGGTACGATGTTCCGGCTGCCAAACCAACGGACATGCAAGTTGCCAAAACATACGAGAATACCCATTGTCTTCCACCATTGTTTGGACTAAAAAGCATCTTGTATAGTATTTAACATCAAAATACCAGCCTTTATATTAAGTTGAACCATCAACAACAATGTTAAGCCATCAAAAAAGTTTTGTCGTTTTTGACTATTAACTGCTGTGCAAAATAACGACAAGACTTTTTTTTGTTTTTTAAAAACTTAAAAAAGCTAAATTTAAGTTACAACTAAAACAAACTTACTCAGAAACCAACTTGTATCGACAATGACAGCTAACCACTAGCATAAACATGAGCATATACATAGTGTACGAATACATGCCGATGAAGAACACTACGTAGTAAGGTTCATCTTTGCCTAGTGCTACTCCCATAATCAACAGACCGCTCTTGATGTTTGTGGTCTAAAATGTGTTATAAACTAATGTAACACATAGCCTTAGCCCAGAGCCCTAGCCCAGAGCCCTAGTCTTAGCTCTAGCCCTAGCCCTGCTTTAAACTTGCCCTCGGTCTGCTGTAGCTCTGCTTCAGCCTTGCGTTAGCTCTGCTTTAGCTCTGCTTTAGCCTTGCAGTAGCCTTAATCTAGTTCTGTTTTAGTCTTGTTCTAGCCTTAGGTCAAGCCCTGGCTTAGCTCTGTCCTAACTTCACTATAGTCTTACTCTAGCCTTTTTCTATTCCTATCCTAACCTTAACTTACAATAACTAGCCTTATCTTAGCCTTACCTTACTATCATATATCTTATTCAAACTTCAAAAAGCCACTACACAACATACCCAATGAGAAGCAATGCAAAACACCTCGTAGAAGATGTCGTGAATACAATACAGCACTATGATTGCTTGGTAGTTCTTAAGAACGTTCTTGCGTGTACAGTAAATAACGTACAGTAACAAGGCGCTTAAGAAAGGGCCAATGACAGATGTAATGGCATAACACACGTTTTCAAACAGTAGCCAGTATTCGCAGTACATGGTTTGCTATACCTAGCTCTGGTATGGTAATATGATATTAGGTAGCCTAACTTATTTAGTACTTACAGTACTACAGTTTTAAAAAAATAGAGTACTGTAAACTGTGAACGATGCCAGTTCGAGACCGCTCACTTTACTTCCCTTTGGATTACTGAAATGCCACTGTGTATATATACACAACTTTTAATTACCTTCCACTTTCCAACAGTCATTTTGTACATCTGGACACAATTATAGTTAAAATGCGTGCTTAAAACTACTCTTCGGTATGAAATATCCTACCATGCATTACCTACCCTGACCCACCTTACCCTACCTTATTCTACCTTACCCTACCGTACTCTACCCTCCCATACCCCTTAATTTAGAAACCCGTTCTTATTAGTAATACCTAAACATATGGTGTAGTAGGTGTAGTGGTCACATATAGTAAAGAGCTTTTATTAAGCATAACTTAGTTCAAATAAATTAATCAAGGCATGACAAATAGATCACCGGGAAGCCATGAACAATATGTCAATTCAAACACAACACCAACTGGATCGAGGCGCATCTTCTTCGATTTCTAGCCTCAGGGACTCTTCAAGGTTTTCCTCGTCTCTTTGAAGCAGTTTTCTAAAAATCAATAGCATAGTCTTCAATAGTATAGAACAAGGACTAAGTGAGTTTTTAAACAATACAGTAAGTATTATAGGCATAAATATTGTATATATAGATCAGTTATGTAAATTAATATAATAGTAGTATAAAAATTAGATGCTTACAATGCTACAGCCCTCATGCATTCGTTGATACCTAGACCCGTGTACGCGCTTGTTTCGAAGTATACCATGTTGAATTCCTGAAAAGTTATATGCAAGTGTAAAACATGGTCAGAAGATAGGGGCTTTAATATCTAAAAAAGAAAGAACCGAACGTAGAAGAAGAATATAATAGTTTAGTAGAGTAAGTAAGGCAGGATAAGGGTGAAGAAGATGCTGGTTAGGACAAAACAAGAAAAAGTAAGGTAGAGTAGATATAAGTGCAGCATGTTAAGTTGACAATAGCCAGACAGGTAAAACAGAGTTGGTAAAGACTGACCAAGACGTGCCAAGGCAATACCAAGCTAGGCTGCAGCCAGGGCTCAAACTACAGCTAGAGCTAAGGCTAGGACTAAAGCTAACGCTAAGACTAAGGCTATGGACTAAGGCTCTGGACTAGGGCTCTGGGATAAAAAAAAACTTACATTAGCAATAGCTTTGGCATCCTTATACCCGACAGCTCGGCTTTCTTCAGTCGGACACAAATCTATCTTGTTGCCCACTAATATCATTGCGCACTCCTCATCTACCCCATTCTGGACAGAACTAATCCAATTACGAATGTTCAGAAACGACTGTTCCGATGTGATGTCATACAGTAATACTACGGCGTCGGCTTTCCGAAAATACTGTTTGGTTATGCTGCGGAATCTGTAACTAAAATTACTGTAGTTTATGTAGTGAATGGTATACGGTACTGTAGTTTAGAACATAATAGAACAGTACATACCCTACCCTACCCTACCCTACCCTACCCTACCCTACCCTACCCTACCCTACCCTACCCTACCCTACCCTGCTACCCTACCCTACCCTACCCTACCCTACCCTACCCTACCCTACCCTACCCTACCTACCCTACCCTACCCTACCCTACCTAACCTACTCTACTTTACCTTTTTTTGCTCAAAGCTGCTTTACCTTTACCCCAGCGTCCCTTAACCTACCCTTGCCTAAAATACCCTGCTTTAGACTAATCTCTGGTCCTACCGTACCCTACTCTGCCTTAAGAATAGTGTATTGTAAAGCAAGGCAAAGGATAGGAAGAGGTAGGCAAGGTAGCGGTTGATAAACGCAATTTCTTACCGTTCCTGACCAGCTGTGTCCCATAGCTGTATGGCAACTACCCGTTCATTTACTTTAACGTTCTTCACCGTGAAATCAACTCCAATCGTAGCGTTAAATAAGGCTTTGAAGCGGTTGTGACAAAATCTAAAATTTCAAAATATACAAGATTTGTTTTAGGTATCCCTGACTAATACATGCAAAGTAAAACTCCACTACCTGTGTAGAAAGCACGTTTTTCCGACAGCCGAGTCTCCAACGAAAACAACTTTGTATATTCGATCTGGCGACCGCAGTTCCTGAAACAGTACGCAAAATAAGTTGGCTAAGACCGGGTAGGATACGGTAGGGTATGATACGGTATGGTAGGGTAGGTTAGGTACGGTAGAGTACGGTAGGACAAGTTACAGTAAGGTAAGGTAAAGTAGATTACGATAAGTGAAAAAAAGAGTTGTGCTCTGCTAGTTTAGGGTAGGATAGAGTAGAATAAAGTAAATATAAAAAACCCCACTTCTAATAACTACGCTTCTTGTACCTACCATAGCCATCGCTCCTGTACATACCGCAACCCGACCTCTACTAACTACAGTAACCCATCCTCTTAGAACTACTGTAACCAAGCATCTTATAACTACAGCATCTCAACTTCCATACCGTGACCCTACTAGGGCATGTAATGTAAAGAAAAGCTTACATCAGCCAGCGTCGTCCGCCCAACAAGGTCCGGATTGCTGTTAGAGGAGTGGCGTAGCATCTCGGAGAACTAAAAATCAAACTTCAATCATTACTCACGAATAGAAAAAAGCAAAATTTTTGAAATTTTGATCTTTGTAAAGAAAGGTCTTGCCATTTCTTACTTTGTAAAGAACGTTTTTGCCATTTTTTGATTTGTAAAGAAAGTTCTCGCCATTATTGGCTTTGTAAAAAAAGTTCTTGCCGTTTTACGTTTGGTAAAGAAAGTTCTTGCCATTTTTTGTTTTGTAAAGAAAGTTCTTGCTATTTTGTGTTTTGCGAAGAAAGTTCTTGCCATTTTTAGTTTTGTAAAGAAAGTTTTTGCCATTTTATGTTTTGTAAAGAAAGTTCTTGCTATCCCTCAACACCCCAACTCACCTCCATGTGATTCCTGCCCTCAGGCGTCTCATCATTATAATCGACCGCACTTTGTGGTCGTTTACTCTCCTGTATATGTACATATGGTGCGAAGTTGGACGAAGACACGCTCGGTGTAATCGAGCTCTTGGCCAGACCTCGCGACGTACTCTGATGATCCGTCGGCGTACTGATCGCAATACTGAGTTTACTTCGCGTCGGCACCGAACTGAACTTCTTCTGAAATGGCTCGGATTCGAGTGAAATGGTCCTGAAGTTCTCCATGGGCAGCTCTTGAAGACATTTGCGAGGGCGGATCAGGTCTTCATGGGTTATGTCACGGCGACTGTTGATTAGGAGGGGTTCTGGAATTGAAAAAAATGGTAGTTTAGGTAAGAATCTTTATAGAACTTATTGAAAATAGTATTTTAGGTAACAATTTTTAAAGAAGTTTAGGCATCATTTTTGAAGAAAAATATTATTTTAGGTAACAAATTTTAAAAATTTGCTATTTTTAACAATAATTTTGGCAGAATATAGTAGTTTAGGTCACACTTATAAGAACATAGTGTTTTAAATAAATAGTTTTTAACGAAAAAAATAGTATCTTAGGTAACATTTTTTGAAAAAATGGTAGTTTAGGTAACAATTTTAATAAAAAACATAGTTTAAGTGCTATTTTAAAAAATATGTATAATTCTCAAAGTGCCCAAAGTAAAACTCTCTAAAGTATTGCCTAAACATCAAAAACAAAATAAAATCTTCAAAAACTTACTAATTCCTCGAATAAAATCCTGTTTCCCAACGATACTCGTTCTCGTGGTGTCATTGGCATTGAAAAACTCTTCAAGATGACTGAATGTGACATTTGCTATTAGACCATCTAGTTTGGGTAAGTCTGCTCTCACGATAAAGCCTTTATCGTCTGTGTCACAAATTTGAAACAATCGTTCTGCCTAAAATTAGAATAAATTAAGCTGGAAAGAAAGTTCTTGCCATTTTTATTCTGTAAAGAAAGTTCTTGCCATTTTTTGTTTTGTAAAGAAAGTTCTTGCGATTTTAAGTCTTGTAAAGAAAGTTCTTGCCATTTTTTGGTTTGTAAAGAAAGTTCTTGCCACTTTAAAAACGCTTTTTATTATTTTTTTGCACTGTGCAATCAATTAATTTTATTGCACGGTGCAAAATCTTTTAATTTTTGCCAAGCTCATTACTTACCTTATTTTAGGTAACAAATTTGATTCAAATGTTTAGTATAGACTAACGTAAATGTATAAAAAATAAGTTTTTTCATATAGCATCAAAAATAATGGCACTACAATTTTTTGAAAAATGATTGCACGGTGCAATCCGTAAAAGTTGATGCACCGTGCAAAGAAATAAAAATTTTAGATTTTTTTAAATTTTAGTTTTTTTAAAGAAAGTTATTGCCATTTTTGATTTGTAAAGAAAGTTCTTGCCATTTTTTGTTTTGTAAAGAAAGTTATTGCCATTTTATGTTTTGTAAAGAAAGTTCTTGCCATTTTTTTTGTTTGGAAAGAAATTTCTTGCTATTTTTTGGAACTTACTTGAAGACAAAGGTCATTCATAATATCGCCCAATTAACTTATACACTTTTCAAATACCACGCAATTGCAAAATCACATAGCACGCATAGTAGACATAAACTTAGCTTTTGAAAAGATTTGTCAAAATTAAAAATGTTTCGGGATTTTTCGAAAAAACGCTCTTAATTTTGAAAAGTATGCATTTTTAAAAAGTAATGACATGTCGGCCCTTAAGCAAACAAATTGATCTATTCAAAGTAATTGAATATGAAATTGTATAGGAAGAGTGGGGAGGGGGAATTTAATTCGAATTTTGATAAAATGTGTTTAGAAAACGAAAAATGGCAAGAACTTTCTTTCCACAGTAAAAAATGGCAAGAACTTTCTTTACAAAACAGAAATGGCAAGAACTTTCTTTACAAAACAAAAAATGGCAAGAACTTTCTTTCCAAAACAAAACATGGCAAGAACTTTGTTTACAAACTAAAAAATTTGCACAGTACAACAAGCGCTTTTAATTGCACTGTGCAGTGATTTTCCTAAAACTTAGTGCGCCGTTATTTGTTGATTAAACAATGTAAAATCAGTTTCAATGACCTTTTACTACTAAATACTTTGCATTTCAAATAGTATTTGTTACCTAAAATAAGGCACAAAATGTACCATGAAAAAAAATAAATATTTGTTGCACTGTGCAGTCACTTTTCAAAAAATCACTATGCCATTGTTTTTAAAGTAATAAGAATGAAAATAGTTTTAATAGCTTTATGTAGGCCCAGAGCACCGTGCAAAGAAATCTTTGACTGCACAGTGCAATGCTTTTATCAATCCAAATACTGGCATTTTTGCGTAAAGAAAGTTCTTGCTATCTTTTGTTTTGTAAAGAAAGTTCTTGTCATTTCTTGTCTTGTAAAGAAAGTTCTTGTCATTTTTAATTTTTTAAAGAAAGTTCTTGCCATTTTTTTCTTTTAAATAAATTTACTGCCATTTTATACATTTCTAGCACCACGTGCTACTCAAAAACAGCACGACAAACTGACCTGTTCATCGAATAATGCCAAGTCATCCGAGTTGAGGAGGGTGTTCGGGCGGTGGTGGGGATTTGTTGTGTTTGCTGCGTCCATGAATAATATAGAGAAGGACTAAATTGACTTGGAATATGTTTTGTGGAGGAGAGGGGATGGACAGAGGGGTCTGATAGGAAGAGGAGGGGTGGGGGGGGAGGGCTGATGGAAAGAAGAAGGGGGGGGAGGTCTGTTACAAAGAAGAAGGGGGGGGAACAAGGGGGTGGGTAAGCCTGATGAAAGGAAGGGTATGATGGCGGTTGACCGAAATTCGCTTGGACAGCTGAATTCCTCTTGAATTCCCTTCAACCCCCCTGCGGTTGGGTTTTTAGTTCGGTTTCACTTTAAGGGATTGCGAACCCCCCTTTCCGGCCAAATTTACCACAAATTATTCGAACGGGCATGGGAGAGACAAGAGGAATGGGTTCCGAAGCTGACCCATGACCCCCAAAAAGGCCTTTCACTCAAAACTGTTTTGACGTCAGTTCAAAAAAAAGTCTGAAAAAGATACGAAACGATAGGGTATTAACATAGAACAAGGTTAAAAACAGACGAAACGATATTTTGTTAACGTGTTTTTTATGTCTGATCTACTTTAAAAGGTCAGATAAAGTGTAAAAAACGTCAAAAAAGTATTTTTTATATAAAACTTTAATAAAAATGCATAATGCTATTTTAGATTGTTTTTAGATAACAAATGCTATTATGACATATAATATAAGCTACTATAATAATGTTAAAATCTATTTCACTTTGATTCCTTAAAAAACAATGTTATTATGAATTTTTGAAAATTTACTGCACCGTGCAATAATTTTCTTTTTTTGTTTTACTATTTATAATGTACTTTAGGTAACAAATATAATTAAAGACTTTAGTATGCACTAATTAAACGCTATTAAAATGAATTTTTATATATTAGCTTTATAAATAATGGCACAAGAATTTTTTGAAAATTTGAAAACTGACTGCCCCGTGCAAAGAAAATCATCTGTGCCTACTGCTATTTCAGATTGAACTTAGGTAACAAATACTACTACTACTTTTATTTTGTTTTGGCTAAAAGCTACTAAAACCAGTAATATTTCTAAAAACATGGATATTTGATTTTTGTGAAAAATGACTGCACAGTGCAACAATTTTTCCTTTTTGCATACTGCCAATTTATGTTAATTTAGGTAAAAAATACTATTATAACGTTTAGTATAGACTAATTAAAAGCTATTAAAACTAATTTTGCTTTCATTACTTTAAAAATAATGGCACAATGAATTTTTGAAAATTCACCGCATCGTGCAGTTTAAACAACTTGCACCGTGCGAAGATTTTTCTGTTTTTTTTTGCTTTGTAAAGTAAGTTTTTGTTATTTTTTGTATTGATATCGCAATTTAATATTATATAATAATTTATTTTTAAAAAACAAGTAAGATATGGTTCATATTACACATGTTTTAATAGTTTGATATTAAAGGTAAAGTAGGGTGTTTTGATTGATAATATAGTTAATGTAAGTGGTATCTACACAATATAAATATTATAGAAGATCTATTAGAATACAAGTACTGACAAAACCATAGTTCTAAGTCAATCAAAAAGTGAACAGTCTCGTGTTATAGTAGGTAGTACCTACTATAATATAAGGGTACTAATGCCATCCATTTTTTGAGATCAAAAAGTGATTTAAGTTGATCTTGTGGCTATATATTATACGTACAGTTTGAGCACATAGCACGAATTATGATAATCAGCATCTTATTATCCAGTACCATCTACAGTACGTCCAGTACCAAATCCCTGTACCAATAGTCTGCCAAACCTTATCCGAGGTGCATAGCGTCCTCCCACGAGTTGGTCAACAAGTCAATGTACTGATTGTTGCTACTGCTCACAAGTCCACACTTCTTTCCATGTCCTGACCTTAACATACGATGATCATGTCGATGGTAAACTTACGTAACAGTCGTGGGTAGTTCTGCAGTAGCTCCTTGATGAATAACCTCGTTTTGGCGAAGAAAACGTGGGATCGGATGAGGAAGGTAAGGGACATACCAATGGTAAACAATGGCATAATCAGCAGACTTAGTTCCTGGAAGTAGGTTTGGTATTACTGTGATACGTGTATATAGAAGAAGGTCTACCGTAATCCTACCCTACTCTATTTCAATCAACGAAGTCAAAACTGACCTGCCAAAAAAGGAATCTTCCGTTGGACCAGTAAATTCATTATACTGTAAAAACTGATGACCCATTATGACTAACATGGCTATGAATACGACTACAGTAAAGTGAACCAACAATCTAGTCGCTTTTATATTTTCGCCAATTTGAAATCGAGGTGATAAGGAATTGTAATGGTTTTTGATGTACACTGTCTGTTTTTCTTTGTTCAACTAAAAATTTTTTTTATTTAAAAGTTTTAAATTTTAAATTTAAAAAAATAAGTTTAAAATTTTTTTTAAAAAAATTCTTAAAAATTTTTTTTAAAAAATTTCAACAAAAGCTCGAATTTTGCACTGTGCAGTCCAAAAAGCCAATTGCACCGTGCAACAAATTTTCGTTTTTGTCCCCTGCCATTTTAGATTGATGTTAGGTCAAGTACTGTTGTAGGTTTTAGCCTATGCTAATATCAATAAATAAAAACTATTTTTAGATTGACCGCTTCAAAAATAATGGCGCAATGAATTTTTAGAAAATGGCTGCACCGTGCATTATGAAAAATGTGTTGCACCGTGCAAAAGTTATTGTTTATTTTTTGATTTGTAAAGAAAGTTCTTGTCATTTTGGGTTTTGTAAAGAAAATTTTTGCCATTTTTTGTTTTGTAAAGAAAGTTCTTGTCATTTCTTGTCTTGTAAAGAAAGTTCTTGTCATTTCTGGTCTTGTCTTGTAAAGAAAGTTCTTACCATTTCTGACTTTAGAAAGAAAGTTATTGCCATTTTTCGTCAAAAACTAACATTTAAAACTGTCATACTTACACTAACGACCGATGAAAAGATGACGATGTAAACAGCTTGAAACACTGCCATTATTAATATATGCCAATGAGTTTTTAGTGGATTCTTTGTCATTTGAATGAATGAACATTCAAAATAATTGAAATCCGCTGATGTGTAATCAAATACATTGCCAAGTGAACATATAACGAAGATTACCCACTGAAATGTTAAATTTAAAAATGTTTTTTTAAAACTTTTTGCACTGTGCAATCACAAACCTTCATTGCACCGTGCAAAAAATTTTAACCTTTAAATTCTGCCACTTTTGACTAACTTTAGGCAACAAATCATGTTTCATATTTTAATATAGACTAGCCCAAAACTACTATAAAGATTTTAACTTCAATTGCTGAAAAAAGAATGGCACAATGATTTTTTAAAAAATGGCTGCACAGTGCAGTTTAGAAAATCGTTGCACCGTGCAAAAAAAAGGTTTTGAGCCTGTGATTTGATTTGCAAAGAAAGTTTTCGTAATTTTAAGTTTTGTAAAGAAAGTTCTTGCCATTTTTCGTAGTGTAAAGAAAGTTTTCGCATTTGAAAAAACCTACCATAACTAAAAATACCCTGTCGTATAACCACGTATAGTTTTCGTACTCATAAATCGCATAAGCGAACGTTGCATATAACCGTTCCACGCACATTACGATCCCGCTGAGAGTAATAAAGACACAAAATGGCACTGGAAGAACGTTCAGCTCTGAGCACGTTGAGTCTTCGTACTGTGACTAAAATTGCATTATTAGTAATGTTGCTTTAGCCTAGCCTGCTTTAACCTATCCTATCCTATCCTACCCTACCCTACCGTACCGTACCCTACCCTACCCTACCCTACCCTACCCTACCCTACCCTACCCTACCCTACCCTACCCTACCCTACCCTACCCTACTCTACCCTACCCTACCCTACCCTACCCTAGCTTTCCCTACCCTGCCCTACCTTATCCTACTTCACTTTGCCTATCACGTGCCCCAGCCTGCCTACCCTATCCTATCATGTCCATACCCGGCCCTGCTTTGCTTTTCTTCGTCCCGCCCTGCCCTTTCTCGGCCTGCCCTGCTCGGCCCTGCCCTCACTTTCCTGCCCTCCCCTTTCATATCTTGTCTTGTCCTGCCCTACCATGCCCTGTTTTGTTCTGTCCTGCTTTATCCTGTCCTGTCCTACCCTATCCTACCCTCCCTTGAAATACAGTACTCTGCACACCCCTATCATATAGGAGTGTGCAGAGTACCCCCAACCTACCCGGCTGTCCATGTCATAAGTCTGGTAAACCGCGATGAACGGTCGTATGCATTGTATGATGTTGTTGCACATGACACAGATGAGTATATTCCATAAAATTGTACGGAAATTGATGTGAAACACATCGTACTTCCGTAGTAAATGTACCAACAATGCGCATGACAGTGTGGCCATTACTGAGACGACGATTAAGAAAAAGTAGAGTATATACAAGCGGAATGTCATCTTCATTTCTTCCATGTTTTACTGTAAATGAGCTAATTAGCATTGTGTTATAGCAATATATAGGCATCGTATACTAATATTGTATCAAAAATCACGTGGTGAAGGCAAAAAACAGTGATTCTACCTACTTTTTGGCCCAAAAAAGCCTTGTTCTATTTACATTTTGCCCCAGAAAACCTAGTTCTACTTACTTTTTGACCTAAAAAAAGCCCAGTTCCATCTTCTTTTTGACCCAAAAAAATAAGTTTTCTATTAACTTTTAGACCTAAAACGACCCAAAAAGCCACGTTCGGTCTACTGCTAGGCCTTGCAAGTCTAAACCTATCTAGTTTTTGACTCAAAACGCCTAGCCCTCCCTATGTTTTACAAAAAAAGCCTAATTCTACCCACTTTTTGACCCAAAGAACCTACTTTTCTCTTTCTTTCTAAAAAACCCACTTCTATTTACAGTTAGACCTCAAAAAGCCTAGTTCTAACTACTTTTTGACCTTCAAAACACTTTTTCCGTCTTCTTTTTGACCCACAAACGCCTTTGCCTACTAACTTTTGCCCCAAATGGCCCAGTTCTACTGACTTTTTGGCCCAAAAATCCTGGTTTTTACGGTTTGACCCAAAGGACCCTAGTTCTACCTATTTTTTGACCAAAAAAAGGCCTAGTTGTACTTTTTTTACTTTCAAAACACTTTTTCTATCTACTTTTTGACCACGAAGAAACTGTTTTCAATTTAAAAACATTTGACCTTAAAATCTGTAATTCTACATACTTTTAGACCCCAACAAATCTTGCCACCTGTAACACAACTAACACAACAGAATCAAAAAAGTTAACGTCATGAATTTCATGTTTGGTCAAGTGGAATATTAAATTAATATTGGACAAGAAACGAAAAATATTTTTCCCACGAAAGCTATGTTTTAGTGCATTAAGCGAGATTTCAAGAATGAAAATAGCGAATAAGCAACTTTAAACTGGCTATTATAATATAAGAATTTAAATAATTATTAAAACCTTTAAGAACGGTTATAGGTAGGTACTGAGGGTTAGCATTATAACTTTATTACTTTAGTTTTGGGAGTAGGAAATAGGGGTCAGAAATTGGGGAAGGGGGGGGTGGTGAGAAGGCAGGGAAGGGGAGAGGAGGGAAGAAAAAAGCAAAAAAATAAAACAAATATATTTTTTAACTATTTTTAAACCAAAAAATAAACGCAAAAAATTGTAACCCCCTCTCCTAAAAATGATGCCGCACCTTCCTTCCTCCGTTAGTAAAGTGCTTATGGATAACCTTCCCAATCGCCTACACCACCCATTTCCCTACCCCCCCCCCTTTCCTCCTCTCATAAATTCCTTGTACAACATACACATATACAATTGTATACCTAGTACAACCCTCTAACTAATAGTCAGCACCCTAAAAAACCATTCCAAAGGTCAACAAATTTCTACCTTAAAACCTTGTTAGGTCTATATAGTTCTATCTTAGAACCCAAAGAACTCATGTCAAGAGAAGCATAGGGCTCAATTAAACCTCAAAAATAAGTCAGGAAAGGTAACCCATCTTTTGCTATAAAACCCCATGCCAAATTAAAACCTAGTTTCACCTAAAAATCCAAAAAAAACCATGCCAAAGTTTGGCTTGGTTCTACCATTAACCCCATGCCAAAGGTACACCAAACAGAGCCAGGCATGGACGTTTGGTCTAGGGACGGGGGTCGGAAAAATTTGCTAAAAATCCACAGGGGGGGGAGCACGTTCAACTTTTTGGAAAAATTTTTTTTCTGAGAGGGGGTGGGTCCACCCCCCCTCCCCTCCCCCCGGCCCGACCCTGACACCAATTATAACCTTAAGATCCAAAAAACCCATGCCAAATTTAAGCTTATTCCTACCTTTAAAACTCATACCAAAGTTAAGCCTAGTATTGCCTTGAAACCCAAAAAACCCATGTCAAACGTAAGCCAAGTTGTACCTTAAAACCACTGCCAAAAATAAGCCTAGTTTAACCTTGAAACAACTGTCAAAGGTAAGCCTATGTTAATCTTAAAACCACTGTCAAATACAAGCCTATGTTAATCTTAAAACCACGGTCAAAGGTAAGCCTATGTTAATCTTAAAACCACGGTCAAAGGTAAGCCTATGTTAATCTTAAAACCACTGTCAAATGTAGGCCAAGTTGTACCTTAAAACCACCCCCAAAGATAAGCCTAGTTTAACCTTAAAACCACTGCCAAAGTTAACCATACTTCAACCTTGAAAACCCAAAAAACCCATACCAAAGTTAAGCCACCCCCTTGCCTTCAGCGAACAATTAGATTTCGAATTGGCTTTAACTGCTGCCAAAGTAAGGGCAGGAATCATTTACGGTTAAGACCCAAAAAGGAGTCGAAACGCGGCCCCAACGTTGTCATGCCAATCTCCTCTCGAGTATCGTGCTCAGAGGTAATCTCTTGACTTATCGTGCTATCGAGCACTCTCTTCATTTCGTTAGGTGTATATAATGCGCTCTGGCTTGCTTTAATTGTATGTTATACTAGTTGTCTTTATGCGCTTGCTTTTTATAGTATCTTTAAGTTTTATAGTGCTATGTAGCATGGGTCTTTTTTTACAATAACATTATAAATAGCACGAAATTTTTCCTTTAGTACTAATTTAGTACTATATGTATGTTTACAGTGCTACGTAGCACGGTGTTTTATGAAAATGATACTACAATTTTCTTGGGACACCCTGTATAGTATTTTGTTACGTTTATAATACTGTACAGCACGGTGTTTGTGTTTATAGTACTATATATGTTTATACGACACATGTATACCACAATGATTTTATAGTATGTTATGTTAAAGTAGGGTAAGGCAGGGCAAGGCAAGGCAAGGCAAGGCAAGGCAAGGCAAGGCAAGGCAAGGCAAGGCAAGGCAAGGCAAGGCAAGGCAAGGCAAGGCAAGGCAAGGCAAGGCAAGGCAAGGCAAGGCAAGGCAAGGCAAGGCAAGGCAAGGCAAGGCAAGGCAAGGCAAGGCAGGGCAAGGCACAAGCAAGGCAAGGCCAGACAACGCAAGGCAAGGCACAGGCACAGGCACAGGCAAAGCACAGGCAAGGCACAGGCAAGGCACAGGCAAGGCAAGGCAGGGCACAGGCAAAGCACAGGCAAGGCACAGGCAAGGCACAGTCAAGGCAAGGCAGGGCACAGGCAAAGCACAGGCAAGGCACAGGCAAGGCACAGGCAAGGCACAGGCAAGGCAAGGTGTTTCAAACAAGCAAAAAATCAAAACTTTTTAATTAAAATAGTTTTCCCTTGTTATGAATCAAGAGAACAGTTGACTCATGTGAATCTTCTTCAATGAATAATGTTTTAGATAGTTAACTAATATAAATACAAACACATCACATTTTTTGCTCTACTTATTGTTATTCTTATTAATATTGTTGAACAATATTCATTGTTTTTCACTTTTCTCAAGTGGTTTTTAGTTTTTATTGCTCTGTTGTTTTATATTAGCTTACTGTGTTGTAGTACAATATAACCTAACAGTAGTACTATACATAGTGTTTCTATTATTAAAAATAGGTTTGTCTGGTACTAGTAGCCTAGATACACCTTTTCTAACACGTTTTAACTAGTACTATCTAAAGTTAGTGCAACTAGTACTATCAAACCGACTGTACTAACATATAGTACCAGTTTGTACCAAAATTCAAAAAATGTCATACAAAGAAGACATAAAAGGAATTTTGGGCGTAATAATGTTTTTCCTATTCGTAGTATTTCTATTTTACTACTTTAGTACCGATGAGACTGTCACTGGCAAGCACCAAACACCTCCATCTTCAGATGTCATCCTCAATGTCCAGTCTTTGAATTTTTACTTTTTCAGTACCAATGGAAGTGTGGCCCGCCGAGTATTGGTAGACCATGATAAGGTCGATGAAAATGGCAGTAAATTGGGCCAAGGTGACTTAAAGTTCGCTGATATTGAGAATGGTAGGATATCTTTGACTTCTATTGATAATAGTACTAAGAAAAGCTTTTTTTGAGTACCAATGATAAAAAAGTACAAATTTAGGCACCACCAGCTATATTGATGACACTGACACTAATAATGACAACAATAATATGACTTCCACCATCAATGATGTCAGTAAACAAAATCATACTGTAGGTAACCATACCGATGTAAATGCAAGTGGAATAATGAAGATTCTTAACTTCTACAAAAGTCTACGTGGTTCTTCCGAAGAAAATGATCTTATCGACCAGGATTATACAGAAAATTCAATTATTAGTTCAACAGCACAACCTACTACAATATCAACATAAATAGCTATGACAGAATCAAGAAATGAAGCTCGTACTGAAAAACATTCTATAAAAGCTACGCTACAAGAACATCCTTAAAATCAAAAGTTTTTTTAATTTTTTTTTCAATTTTATGAATTATGTGCTATTCAATTTGATTGCACAGTGCAGTAACTTTTTAAAAGCTTGTAATTTGATTCTTTTGAAATTAATAAAAGAAAAACTAACTTCGAAAGCTTTTTGTAAGTCCATACTGAAAGGTATAACAACATGTGTTACCTAAAATTACTCAAAAATTGTACAGTAAGAAAAAATAAAAATTGTTGCACGGTGCAATCAAATTATGAGACTGCACAGTGTATTTTTTATGATTGCCCAGGATTGTAAAATTAACTTTTAAGCGTTTGAAAGTAACATATTGGCGTACAATAGTAATTTACTTCACCTTAAATGTTAATAAAGTTTATAATCAGTAAAAATCATGAATAATATAACAATAATAAACAAAATAGCTAAAAAATAAGTTCAAAATGTAAAAATTCTAAAGTAACTACAATAAGTTTTTGTGTAGTTTCCCTCTTGTTCAATGACCTTTATGTTGTACACATCTTGTTCAGCAAGCTTTCTCTTCGCTTCTTTCAAAATAACCAATGTTAATATCATCAATCCATTATTAAAGCCAAATCCTTATCCACCTAGACCCTATGAACATTATCAGCACTTTCTCTGTCCCCAAAACCATCAATGTTTCCAGAGTTGTCATTAGTATGATCATCAACATCTTCCATATTACCCATGTTAACAATACGCATAAGACCATTCAAAAAACCTGGGACATCACACCTTTCGAATAGAAATAGTACCAAAACATCCCTATTCAAAGCTTGAATCGAACTTATAAATTTTTGCTCCACATCTTTGCTAATGGCACCTTGATATGCATCTTGAGCTGTAGCTTCAGTTCCTAAATTTAGTTTTTTGAAATTTTAAAAATATTTTGGAAAAATTTTAATTAATAGCTTTTGTAAAGCATAAAACGTTTTCCATTTCCTCAAAGTTTTGTAAAGATAGCTGGCTTAGTAAAAAAATTACAGTCAGTAGAAAAGTCAAAAGGTTGAGATTTTCGCGCGGATTCGAACTTTTTGTAATTTTTGACATTTTCAAATGATCATAACCCGTTGATGAATCAAGAAATCAACATGAAACTTACACAGTATATACAAAATTTTATGCTCTATAAAGCGCATACTATTAGATTTGGCATTTAACAAACACTCGACCAAAAAAAATTTTAATGTCTGAGCGGATACGCACTTTTCCAAATTGTGACATTTTCAATTGATCATACCTTTCTTGTAAATCAAGATTATAACATGAAAATTGCAGAGAAAACTCTAATTACCGTTCTTTTTAAGATAAAATATTCAGATTTTTTAAATTTCAAAAAAAAATTAATGATTACGTACAGACCTACTATAACATATTTGTAGTGAAAAAATTGTTTTTCTCTGCAATCAGCTAAAACTATTTATACTGTTCAAACCAGCATCCAAAACCTTTTAAAAAACACCAAAAACTCACCAGATTCATGAAGAACCAGCACTCCATGATAGGGAATACTTCTAACGTACTCCAATATCGTAACATAACTTTTGAACCGCTGATCAATCGACAAATCCGTGTTTGCTGGAAAATGAACAACATTCGTCTTTTTGTCACAAGCGTGATACAGGTAGTTAAGGAAGGTGTCCAGAGTTACTACTGATGTATTGAATACATAATGGGCTGATTGGTGTTGATCTTGATATGTGCTCAAGATTTTTGCAAGTTCCACGTAAGTTGGATCATCTAAATGATAAAATATAGTTAGAGAATAAAGAAAAGATGTTGAAACTTAATTTAAAATCAAGAAAAGATGTAAAACCTCAATAGTTGGTCAAGAAACATGATTAACATCAAGATTAAAGCCATAAAGCCAACAAAACATAAAGTTTAGAGCCACAAAACCAACAAAACGTCAAGTTCTAATATAAAAATGACATTAAGCATCAAGTCTTCACCTTAAAAACAAGCTAAACTTCAAGTTTATACCTAAAAATAGGCCTAAAACTCTCAGAAACAGCTCAAACTCCAAGTTTATAGCCGAAAGACGCCCAATACCAAAACAGAAGGAAGAAGACCAAACTAAAACACAAACAACACAAACAAAAGCTATAATATTACCTGATGATGGTCTATCAAGAGCTGGCTCTGGTTGTAAATCGCCTTTAAACTTGAGTTCCAGCTGTAAACGTTGTTCCTTCTCCTTCGCTTTGATCTAAAATAAGTTTGAATTAGTAAAATTGATTGCGAATTGCTGTTAATTGTAAGAAAGTATAACAGTCTTGATAACTGTGAGCTAAAACATCTCAAAAGCATTCTATGCTTTAGCTAGAATTTGGATCAAAACATAAAGGTATTGACAAAGGCAACATTGGTTATCTAAAACAATATAAAACAAGGTGAATTAACTAAATTAAAATATAAAACAGTATAATATAACTATCTTAAAGTTTAATCTAACATAATTTGTATAAAATTATCCGCTTCAAGATCTACTTTTCATAAATTACCTACAACAATACAAATCAAAGCCAACAAACCTTTCTTGTTCGAACACAAGCATATAAAATGCTGCAAACAGCTATGATCTCTCCGATAATACACATTGTTTTAACTGTCCAGTGGAGTAAAGATTCTAGATTCTGGATTGTGTGGTTAAAATACCAAAAATCGACAAGAATCAAAGAGATTCGCCGAAATGAGGGCGCAAACCGCGTTCTAACTGCGCGGAAGATGTGTGGCTGTATTATCAGTAGGCTGTTCGTTCATAATGATCTACTTTTGAATATATTTGCTTGTATGTCTAATTTTGATCATTTTTTAATATGTTTTTGTTGTCATTTCACCTAGGATAATATAACATAATATAGATATAGCACATCACGTTCAAGAACAAGTTTATGAGGTCATGAAAACGAGCAAAATTTGAACTATAACTGAGAAAGTATAGCTGAGAACAGTTAGTATGGCCACGATGAAGAACAATGTTGATAATGATGGTTTACTTTGGCTCCTTGTCTTTGACCCGTTTAATGAGCTCGGACTTGAAAGGCTCTTCCAGGAAGCAGGATTCAGCCGCGTTCAGTTGCTGAAATTTGAAAATGTCATTAATACCCCTATTATTTTTAACGGCCCTGCCTTACCTTATCCTACCCTATTTTAGATTGCCCAGCCTTACCACGTCATGCCCTGTACGGCCTGCTCTGCCTTGTTTTGCTTTACTCTACCCCACTTTCTGTCTTGTCCCCTCCCCCCTGCCACACACGGCTACACCCGTTCCACCCTGCCTTGCCATCCCTTATCTTGGTTTGCCATGCCCGGCCCTGATCTCCCCCACCATTCCCCATAGCCAAACCAACCCAAAACATATCGAACTCTTACACATTTCCAAATCTGATGACACATCAACCCCACTCTGCCATGAACCAGCTGTAATTCGCTTTGTACACTGTTGTCGAAGACGGTCGGATCGTCGGTGCTCAACGAGAAGTTGACATCGTCGTTGGCCCACTTGATGATGGGATGTTTTGGCCACTCTAACGGTACTGACGAGGTCATTACCGAGCTCAATGGGCATGCCTCCAAATGTAGCCGGCCTTCTACCGCCAGCCTCGTGTATTCGGCCGGGTCGTCCAGTAGGTGATAGCCATGCCCGATTCGTTCAGCGTGCATATCATCCACCGCTCGCACCACCGTCTTGGCTCCACTGGCTTCGCCGGCGTGCACGGTACGATGAATGCCGACTTTGTAGGCTTGTTTGAAGGCGTCGATTACGGACTGCTCGTACTTTTCGTCAGCACCACCCGCACATCCGGCCACGTCTATGGCTACTACACCATATTCTTTCATGGTTTCACCTGAAATAATAGTGAAGAGTAGGCGAGGGTAGGGTAAGGTAAGATAGAGTAGAGTAGGGTAGAGTAAAATAGGGTTGGTCAAGGTAAAATAGAGCTGGGTAAGGTAAAGCAGTGTCAGATTAGGTATGAAATGATAAAGTAGGGTATAGCAAAACAGTACCAACGACTACGGTATACCAACTCACACAAAGTAATGACCTCCTTGTTCCACCCATCGTGACTTCTGATACAACACAGAATCGACCGTGCCTTAATGCCAAACTCTTTCTCCCCTCTCACGAATCCTCGATGAACCGCCTTGACCACCTCGGCCGGCGCGACATTGACCGGATGTTGCGTATTCAATGACATGCCAGCAAAAAAGTGTGGACTGTACCGCCCTTCAAAGTAAATCACACCATCCTTGGCTTGATCTTCACATGCTTCATAAGCTACACGTTCGATTGCTTCTAAATCTCCACTAAAATGACGTTTTTTAAGATTGAAATGGCAACTTTTTGATGAAAATCGCCCGTTTTTGGCCTAAAAATGCATGTTTTATGCCATTTTTAACTACAATGTGCCGTTTAAAATGCATTATTTTAAGCTAGACGTTAGGCTGATGCTGGATCTTCACTATAAAATCAATTTAACGCTTTAAAACTATCTTTTTCTTATAGAAATTAATTATTTTCGCCCAAAAAACGTCTTTTTTACCCTAAAAATGCCTCTTTTATGCCATTTTTAACCCTACCTCACAATTTTTCAAAACAAAGTTTCGATCTTCACAACCCTCACAACATAAAACATCTAAAAACTTACGCGACAGTCGGCAGAAACACGGCAAAAGCCTTTAAAACATCGGCCAAAGTGGCGGGCTTCCTCGTGACCAGCACCTTCTTCAGCTCTGCCACTGTTTTTGCGCCCTGTAAGTCGATTTTCTTGTTCTGTGCCAACTCCAGTATTGTCGTGTATCTGAGCCCGCCATCCAAGTGATAATGCAGTTGAAGTTTGGGGAAGTCAAAGTCGTGGCGCGCGGCCGACAACGAGCCGTCGATGGGGCTGCTGTTCATTTCCGACCCGTTTTCCGCTGAAAAAAAGTAAAAATGAAAAAGTTTTGAATGTTTGGGAGGGTGTTTTGAAAAATTTTTAAATTTTGGAGAAATTTGCATAAATTTTTTTTAGCCTATTGATATTTGAAAAATCAAAAAATTTTTTTAAAATGGCTCGCAGAGTAGGGGTGGAGAAGGATACATAACCTTCATTAGATAAGGTAGGGCAAGAGCTAGTTACGATTAAGCTATGGCAAGTTACGATGAAGCTAATGATGAGTCGAATAGGGTTGAGCAGAGTAAAGTAAAAGAGTAGAAGGAGAGGTAGGGGTAGTGGTATGGGTACAGGTAGCGCTAGGGCTAAAGGTAAGGGTTATGATATCAGAGGCAGGGGTAGGAATAGAGGTCTAATTAACTTACCTGACCAATATTGTCCCATGATGGCAGTAGTTGACCCTAAAAAATCAAAAACTTTCAAAAAACAAAATTTTTTTAAATTTGAAAAAAGGTGCAGAAAAAAAAGCTGTGCAAATAAACTGACAGTTGTGAGTGCAGACAGAGTTAAAATTCCATTTTATGTTTTATACATTTTGCAAAATCTCCAAATTCCACTTTTTATACCTTTTATTCACATTTTTTTGAGAAAATTCAATTTTCTACCAAGTTTTTCGATCAAATAATTACAATTTCGGATCATTTCGGATATCAGATACTAGTGTTATATTTTACAAGACAGTTCTGGAGACTAGAGAAGCATTTATTACATAATTATACAATAATGTAAGCCGGACGTAGTTAATAAACTCAATTTTTCAAAGAGTAAATATGTTGTAAATCATACTACTAAAAGATTATGTAGACAAGAATACATTATACAGCACTCATTATAGATCGCCAGAAAAGTCTTGTCGCAATTTCACACTGTTTTGCTTATCAAAAAGCGACAAGACTTTTTTGCCCCTAATATTAATATATTAGAGTATATAATATACTGTTTTAGTTGTTCAAATAATTCCGTGCCCCTAACCTTAAAAATTTGTTTCATGAAGGAGCACAGAATTATTTGAACAACCTAATATAATACAGTAGGAGTTTCATTCCATTTCAATAAATGACATTTTAAAGAGTAAAATGACACTTCAAAGCGCTCTGTACATGAAAACCAGCAAGAAGAACATCATTACAACGGCAACGACCAGTAAGATCAGGCGGTTTTGGATCACTCTGCAAAATATTATAACTTTAAACTTTTAAAGGAATTAGTCAGTAAATATTAATTAGTATAAAACAAAAGATAAAATGACCGGTTTTTGACCTTTTTTCATCTTATCTATACGTTGACATTACAAAAAGTATATATTTTAATTTTCTTTGCACGGTGCAAACTTTAAACTTGTTGCACAGTGCAACAATTTTTTAAAAATTTACTGCTTATTTGTTTAACCGTCAAAAATATTAAAACTAGCTTTAATAGCTTTTAATAACTCTATACTAAAAATTACAGTAGTAGCTTTACCTAAAATTAATCAAAAACCGCACTGTGTAAAGAAGAAAATTGTTTGCACAGTGCAAAACGTAATTATAACACTAAAAATTTTAAAATTTTATAATTTGTAAAGAAAGTCCTTGCCATGTTTTGCTTTATGAAGAAAGTGCTTGCCATTTCTGGTTTCGTTAAAAAAAGTTCATGCCATTTAGTTTTTTAAGAAATTTTTTGTCCTTTTTTGATTTGTAAAGAAATTTATCGCCATTTTGATAAACAAAACCAACCTTTGAATCATAACGCCCAATAGTCTGTTTGACGATGACAATTCCGCATCTCCAACCCGAAGACGATCTCTGGCTCTGTGTAAGGTTTCACGTTGTGATGAAAGATTCTCCAGCACTGTATTGCCAATCTTAAAACGCAAATTTTAAAACCAAAGTCCTCTTCTCCAACGTAAAATAAACAAAAATGAATTTCAAACAGAAAATAATTCAAAATCGTCATTCTTTAACAAAATCCACTAATTTTCTCGCATTTTTCACAAAAACGTACATCTTCTGTCTCCACCGTGACCCTATAGGCATCCTGAATCTTTCTGGAAGTCCTTTCTAATCGTTCTGTGTTGGCGATCAACTGATCTTCTTGATCAACACTTAAACCATCTTCAAATAGTTCATCTCGATCTGAAGCTCTCTGTAGACGCTGTACTGCCTTTTTGAATTCGTTCTCCAGATTCTTACGATCCGTTCTGAAGCTGCGCACACTGTTTTCGTAGCGATTCCTCTCTGTGCTGAAAAGAATGTCATTATCAAGTGGAAAATAGCTGTAAAGTTCATTCTTAGGCAAAAAAGATCTAAAAATAAAAAAATTAGTGCCATTTCCAACCAATATTGTACCTGAAAACCAAAGAAACAGAAAGTATCATACCTTCCCACTTCTAATTCTCTCACACTCAATTCCATTTGTTCTAGAAGGTCTTCCACTTCTGACAATAGCCTTCTTATCTCATTAATAGCTGTAGTCCGTTCCGAAGGTAACAACGACTGTAACTGGCCAATCTTGGCCGTTATGTCGGCCGTACTGACAGAGTAATTCTGCTCAAATTCTTGTAACAGATCAACTGTCGTCATCTAAAGATAAAAATTGCATTTTTAAGACTTCAAATTGAAATTATAAAGAAAAGACGTGGCTTTTCATTCATTTGACATAAAGAACTCAAGAAACAAGTATAACAACGTTTAAAACGTCCATAACTTCAAAATAAAGCTCCAAACAACCAAAATATTGTAAAAATTTAATAACAAAAACAATAAAACACCTAAAAACAATCATTTCGACCTATAATGAGCAAATGCTCTGTTGGCTTCGCATTGTTTATGAAGATCCTGCTTCGCCTGAACTGTTAACCCTTCATTTTCAAAAGCGGCGCACAATTCTGTCGACATTATCTGTGGAAAGCTCGTAGCGCCGTGGAATGCGCGTTCTCGGCAAATCTCCCTCAACATCTTCATCGCTTTGAATTCGGCTTCCGACGCCCTGATTGGAAACGGAACTTGATAGGTTACACCACCTAGAATAGTTAAATTAGTAAAAAATTTCTTATTTTACAGAATAGCTTAACAAAGCGTTCTTAATCAGAACACCTTTCAACTGACTATAAATATTTTCGAAAAAAATAGGATAAAGAAATGTATATCATAGTTAAAGTCTTATAACTTCAAAATTGCAACAAGATTTAGAAATATCTTGTTTTGATAGTTGTTTAACTAAATAACCTACAATGACACCAAATTTTACGTCACTAACCCTCCTTTAACAAAAGTTATGGCAAGAAAGAAAATTTGATACTTATAACTTAATATCCAGTGTAATCCCGATCAATTTCTTATCAAAATAAACCTAAAAACCAAAAATAAACAAAAAAAACATACCTCTAGTATATGGCAACAATTTCATTAACGGTGTGCAGTTTTTGATCGCTTTATTAGCAATAACAAATGGGTCTAGTTCAACATATTCATCCTCCTTCTTATTCAACCATTTCCTATATTGATTTCGTTTCACTTGTTCCAGCGCAGCGTACACGTTCTTCTTACATAATTCTCGATTACCTCCTTTCATACAAACTCGAATAAGTTTGTCAATTACACGATCTCGATAGAAAACTGGCACTTCATCCGAATCCATCGGTTTTATGTAGCGATAATTGCGAAGATCGTCTTCGGGCAATGGTTTTTTAAGCTGAAACATAAACTTTATTATTATAATATAAAGAACAATATTATTTTTTGTCCATACCACAAGAACAATCTAAAATTTTCGTAAAAACCTTTCAAAAAACCTAAAACAATACCATACCTCTTTAAGATCAATAATGGGGTCGGCAAATGTGTGTTCGCCAAAAACAGATCTTCTGGCTATCGAAAAATGGCCAAAACATCTTCGTGCTACTTGGCATGCACTTGATGTGGCCATAATTGCAGTCCAAAACGAATAAAAAAGAAAGGAAATCGTCAATTAATTTTTTGTGGCACTTCGTTCCTTTTTGCGGCGGAGTGTCACTATCGAACGGTAATTGTAAATGTTTATGAATTTTGGATCGAAAAGGGAATTCTGCTTCTTGTAAGAACAATATTGGAGATAGTTGACGTGTTTTTAGCTTAAAAATATAAGAAAAGCTCAGGTATATCTAGGTATATTCAATTTACGAAGTTTTCCGTATAATTTTATTCATTTTTAGAGGAAAAACCTTGATTTAGGTACCAAACTCTAAAGAAACTGTGCAATGTTGGCCGTGAAATCATCTAACACGATACAAATTACAAGAATAAAGTTATAGAGAGTCTTTACAATAACAAAAGTCTAGGATGTAGTCGTTTTCCACGTCAGTAAGGTTTTGTAAACATTGTATTTGAGATCTATCGCGGTTTTTTCGGTTAAACCATGGCGATGCGACTTCGATTGTTCCACTGGGATAGACCTAAAGAGTAAGATATGTGACTTTCCTATTTTACTAAAGCTTTATATTTAAAATGCAGTCTCAAAGACATCTGTTTAGTTAGGATATTAAGATTAAATTTGATATTATAGCTGTTTTTGTTTGTTATGGTCAGAAAACAAAGAAAAACCTTATCTTACATGTAGATATGGATCATATAGACCTTCTCCTGGTGTTGTTTTAAAGGTTAATCTGTATACGACACTAACGTCGATATTGTCTTCATCATAAGGACCTTTATATAGCTCAGCGAAAGGTTTGAAGTTGTCTGGCACCTTTAATTTGGCACAATATCTATCAAAACTGTCATTTTTAACTTGATCTCTTTCTGAATTTGAAGATCGACTTTGATTGTAGTTTAATCTGGTTTCCTGAATGGCATTGTTAATATAATTAACGGCAGTTTTTGCTAGTTCGTCGATGAGGTCATTGGGAAGATTTGTTGTTGTTGGTCCATGGTTTTGGCATAAGCAGGCTTCATAGTGTAAGCCTAAGGTTTGGCAGGTTCTTGGTTGATATAGGGGTCGCAGAAGGCTTGAAGCAGTTGGTTGCTGGGATGAAGGCGGGGGCTTGGATTTAAAATTGTAGTCTTTGGTAAAGTTTGGACCGTTCTGAAGAAAAATTTGGAATTTTAAGGCTAGGGCGGGAGTAAAATAATTTTTTGGGGGTATAATGGTTTTTCAAGGGTGGAATAAGAAAAATTAGCCTAGTACGAGTACTGTATGGTAAGGTAGGTATCTTAAGGTATTTTAGGATAAGTTAAAGTAAATTAAGAAGGACCGGGTAAGGAACGGTAGGGTAGGGTGGTGTAAGGTAAGGCAGGATAAGGTAAGGGGAGAGTAATATAAGGAAGAGTAAAGTAGAGAAAAGTAAAATTTTGATACTTTATGGCAGCCTAAAGCAACATACCTCTAAAATGTCAACCAATGTGGCATAAACATCGAAATGTGTGACTAATTGCCTTGAATTTTCATTCAGTTGTTCGACTAGTTTCTCATTTTTTAGTAAAGAAGCTGGTGGTTTATAAATCAAAGCTGGATTATAATCTTCCAATCTGTCAATCTTTATGGTCTCATCTTGGTATACAGGGAAGCCACGGTCTCCTAGTAGGAAAATGTGTGATTCTTGGAACTGAAAATGGCAAGAAGTTTCTTTACAAAACAAAAAATGGCAAGAACTTTCTTCACAAACTCAAAAATGGCAAGAACTTTTTTTACAGACTACAAAATGGCAAAAACTTTCTTTACAAAACAAATAATTGGCAAGAACTTTCTTTACAATAATAAAAATAGCAAGAACTTTCTTTCCGCTTACCTTATAATTCATATTTTTAAAAAACTCTAAAAAGTCATCATCGTACATGTACAAGTTGTTCTTAACAGCATGCATCAAACTACTGAACCTTGTTATTGCTAATTTTGGCTCGTCACTATATTCATTTTCAAATTTTTCGAAATATTTAAACATTTCACTGTGATTTTCATAACAATATTTGTCCCAAATATTGGAATGAAAATCATTGTTATTCCTGGATGTTTTTTGGGATTCTGGAAACATTTGTTGCAGCCGGGTGAAGAAGGTACTAAAAAAGGGCATATTAGGCAGGGTAAGGTAATGTGGGGTTGGCTAGGGTAGGAAGTGGCAGAATAATGGAGGGTAAGGAAATGTATGGCAGGGTAGGTAGAATTAAATTAGGGTATGGTAGGGTAGAGTAGAGGTGACTATTGCTCCAGTCTGATCCTAAAACCATGACCAGGACCGTGATCCTAAATTTTGTGCGGTCGCGTAACAACCTTTGGACCAGTAATGCAGTGTGGGTAGAGTACAGTAGGGTAGGGTAGGGTAGGGTAGGGTAGGGTAGGGTAGGGTAGGGTTGGGTAAGGTAGGGTAGGGTAGGGTAGGGTAGGGCAGGGTAGGGTAATGTAGAGTAGGTAGTGAAAGCTTAAATTTTTACCAAAACCTACCTCAAATCATGGTCAATGACATTTTCATCGTTATATTTACAACTTCTGACATTATTTCGTCCACTATCATCGTTTACCAGCACTTTATAGCCTTCTTTCTTATACAAAAAGAGCAAAAAACTGCTTTCTTTCTCACAAACATCTGTATATTCAGGTTGTCTATTTAAATCTAACTTGTTTTTACCTGATATGTTAGTATCCTGGATCTTTTTACCATGTAGAATAGCGTCGCGATTAAATTTAGAGTCATAGTAAGGTTTGTTATTAAAAGGAAAGACTGTTGCACCCATGACTTGTGTCAAGTATTGTAGTGTTTTAGGTAGTGCTCGCATTAGGTGTGACATTGATGCATAATCAATTATAAAAATGTAAACGTCTGGCTTCTTGGCATCAAAAGTAAACTTTGACAACCTAAAATTATGTTGTGGCTCTTATATTATAGTAGGTGTGAGCAGGGATTTCGCCACAAAATTTTTCGAAGGGTGGAGGGACGTCCCTGGGTAGAAGTTGTAGTACTGTTAGTGGCCACCCGTGGCCTATACTGTAGCCTTACTTAGACTATTCTACGGTACCCCACCATATTCTGATTTAATGTACTTTACTTGCCATAAATTACGTTTTCCTATCCTTCCCTACCCTAGTTTGCCCTACCCTACTTTTACTAACCTTACACTTCCCTAACATACGTTACCCTATCTTGCCTTACCTTACCCTACCATATCCCACCCTAACTTAACCTGCTCTACAATTGTTCTACAATACCGCGCCCTTACTCCACCATACCATACATTAACGTAACCTACCTTGCTTTTTTTCTCTACAATACCCTACCCGATAATATTCTTTTTTGTTTTACCCTGCCCTATATTTCTACCACACTTTCCCAACCTTACACTATACTTTACCCTACCGTACCTTTTAACAAGCTGATGATGTAAAAACTCGTATGTTTTGTCATTGCCATTTTCTTTTGTACATTGTACTTCAACAACGTCGCACTTAACATCAACCCCATTAGATTGCAGTTCTTCCCATTTAGTAAATTTTAACTTATCAGCAATGGTATCAGAAAGTGATAAGCATCTGAAAAAGTATTTTTTTAAATTAAAAAAATTTAAATTAAAACAAAAAAAATTTTTTTTACAATTTGAAAAATATTTTTCTTACCTATGATAACACGTCTCACCGTAATCCAAGCTTTTCATTTTTAAAAACCCACTATCAAGTTTAGAACGCGGAGTATCTTTAGGCCTACATTTAGGCTTGATCTTGTCTTCTTCTTTGAGTTGATTCAAGATTTTCTTATCAAATGGGTCCATATACTCTACAGTACAGCTATTCTTGTGTAGTAGTAGGTTTGGCCAGGGGACTAAAAGGTAAAGTGAAGTTTTGATTTGGTCAAAACGTCTTTAAAATCACTTTCTGGTACTCTGTACTAATCTACTTTCCAATATAAAATGCTTTACTTTCCTTGATCTGCCCGGCCTTACCCAGCCTTACTCTACCCCACTTTAACCTACCGTACTCTATACCCACCGTACCCTTCCCAACCGTTTCCTACCTTTCCCTACTTTATAATACCTTACCTTACTCTGTCCGGCTTTGCCTTCCTCTACCCTACCTTAGCCCACCCAAGCCTATTCTTTTATTATTCTTGCCTTACTCTACTCTGCCCTACCTCAACATACCATTGTATATTTCCTTCTTTTCTTCATCTTTTCTATTGGCCAATTTATATAAAATGAAGAGAAGAACCAAAATAATCAAATAATACTTTCTCATATCAAGATATCTACTCATATTTGAAATACATGAGTCGATTTCTTGATATGAAAAAGCCCTCGCCTCGAATTTGTTGTTTTTGTTCAAATTAGATTGAAAAACAGATAATTTTCTTTTTAAAAAACTTTTTAATTCGTATATCACAACAACTTACTTATAGTACTTTATGTTATAGTATTATGATGTGGTACCTTATGGTACACTATTAAGTTATGGTACCTTTTTGAACTTTAAATGTCATTATCTCAAAGCAACTATTATTTTTTTTGTATGATATCATTGTGCCTTATCGACTATCTATTATTCACTTGTTGAAGCTTCAGTGCGAAATCTCTTATCACTATAGATAAATGTCAGTAATGTATTATTTCTGTTTGCTAAAGCTATATCTCAGTACGACATTTCTTTATCAGTAATTATCAGTACGAAGCCATCTCTAAACCTAATGTCAGTACTAAATCTCTTATCACTAAAGCTATACTAAGTGTCAGTTCCAGCTCTATGTGGCCTTACATTCGGAATCTCTCTCTCTCCCTCTGAAGTAATCTCTGAATTCGAAACTAAAGAACAATGTGTGTACAGTGTCGGGTGTCTCTTATTGTTCATTAACTGTTTCCTGCTTATTTACCTTGTTAAAAAGAATAAAGATTAATAATAACAATATTTTCTGGTCGTTTTGGAAAAGAGCGGACTATATAGGAACTAGGGCCTATATATAGGAAGGGTATACTGAGAAAAGTTGTCTATGTGAAGATAAAGTTTAAAATTTTTAAAGTTAGTATTAGTGCTAGAGCTAGATCTGCGGCTAGAACAAGGGCTGGAGCTGCATAAAATTGAGAATCAGTGATTTTTTCTGCGACCGGTCGTGTCTCGGGTGACAATAACTAAAATTAGAAGTATGGCTAGAAATAAGGCTTCGACTAGCGTTCAAAAAGGTAAAATTAAGGGTAAAGCTAGAGCTGAGACTAGGCCTGGAGCTAGAGCAAAAGCTAGGGGCTAAAGGTGGGTCAAGGCTAGGGTTATAGGCCTAAGACTAAACTGAAAAAAGGCTAAAACTAAAGCAACGGCTACTATGTTTATTTCAAGAGTTTTACGACAAAATAATAATTTAACAAATTACAGTAACTAATTACAACTTCTGCGTTTTTCGATCTGACACCAATTGTGGATGAGTGGTTTGAAGTATTCAGCAGCACCCTCTCCATAGTACTTTCTGTCTTGGAAAATTAAGAGATGGCTAAGCTGCAGTAAGGGGTGTTTCTCTCGACATATCGTTGTATAATTGCGTACTGTAATTTTGTCTAAAAAAGAAAAATAACGGCGAGTTTTACGTACCCTACCTTACCCTACCCTATATTACTTGGCCCTACCCTACCTTATTCTACCCTACCCTACCTTACCTTTGCTTTACCCATGTCCTTCTGTGCCTTACCCTACACTACCCTACCTTACCATTGCTTTACTCATGTCGTTCTGTACCTCGGCCCTGCTCTATATTTCACCCTAACTTCACTCTTCTTACCCTGCACTGCCCTACCTTACCCTACCCGGCCCGACGATTGAGTCTAACCGACCCTGAACTAAAGTCAAAACGGGCTGGACTTGGATGTTAGGCTACCCGGTTTAAAAAGTGAGCCCGGCCTGTTACTCATCCCTATCTTACCATATCTTACTCTACCCTACCCCAACCTGCCACTTCCACTTACTTCTTGATTTTTCTTCCAAAAATGAGCATTTATATGTCATCCAGCGATTTTGTTTTTCATCTGGATACGAATCACGATTGTCTCTTTCTGTTAACACTAAACTTTGTTGTTCACCGTCGTTAATTGCCAATCCTTCTTGTTTATCAACGTAGATTTTCGTGTTTTTATTATACAAAGGTCGTTTTTCCTTCCCTTGATTAATACCAACGTTCTGCGACGTGCTAACAACCTTTCTAGCCCGTTTTAAATCAGCTTTAGCGACAACATATGCTTCGTAGACTATGAAGTTTGGAGCAATGTCTTTTGGTAAAGTACAACGAGGCCTTTGGACAGAAGAAGCGGCGCGATTCCATATTCCACTAAAAGGATCCAATTTGTAAACCTAAAAATTCACATTACTTTTATACTCTATTTTAACGTACTCTAACTTAACACTTTAAGTTAACTTAACCTGAGTTACTCTGTTCTACCCTACCTTAACGTACCTTACCCTACCCTTCTCTACGCTTAAAAGGAAAGATTTTGCTCTTAGTTTAGGCAACAAAAACTTTTAAAACTATTGTCTATTGTTGAGTGGGAGAAGATAGAGAAAATACAGTAAATTGAGGTAGGGTAGGATGGGGCAGAATAGGGTAGGGTAGAGTAAAGTAGGATAGGTTATGTTTCACCTTTTTACAACAGGTTTTAGAACAGTTAAATTGTAATTTTAACTCACGTTTCCACGACAACATCTTAGGAGGAATGGTGACAAAATATCATAACCACTTTCAGGATCTTGCAACATCAGTCTACCAGTTAAAATATGATAAACTTGACACGGCCACCGCCTATTTTCGCCAACATAACTAATCAAAACACAGTTGGAGCAAACCAAAAAAAGCACAGTACAAACTTTGCCAAAACTTGTATTCAACGGCAGTTCGTATTGTACTCCCTTGGACACGTCGTAAACAATCAGCTTGTCCTGTACCACACGAGCACAATAATGCTCAGTTGTACGTTCCAGTTCTTGCGTATTATCCATAAAAGTGGTTTTTGTGCTTAACACTTCTTCCACTATGTTCTCAAAAGTGTGATATTTGAAAACACTTGAATTAAATGTCATTCTTTTTCGTGCTTGAGTAAAGAGAGGCCTTCCTGTTGCCAACTCATATACATATGTATCATTAAACCAAACCTAAAAGAGAGCATTGTTTTGTGTCCGTTCTTGGTATAATGCGACACGATTGTCGGAGAAGGCGACAGCCAATACTGTACCGTTCGAATTCCAACTGACATTATAAACTGGCGCTTCTACGTTGCATAGGACCGTTCGTTTCCATGTTTTGGCTCCTATGTTGTCAGTTCGCCAGATAATGACCATTCCGTCCTGAAAATGAAAAATTAGAGTTTTTTTGTTAATTTTTGTAAAAACCAGTACTTAAAATATATCGAATCTTATGAAGTACAAGACAATACAAAACTAGAATAAATAGCTTACAGATCCACATGATGCAATAGTAAAATGATTATGTGATTCCACTGGAGCCCACGCCACGTCTCGTACCCAATCAGTGTGACCGGCCAGTTCCGTATCAAGCTCCCACTTGTCCTCTGACACTTCTCTGAAAATATTTTTTCATATTTTATTATGTAACACCAAAAATTAATGAAATTTTTCTAAAAAACAGAAAACTCTAACTAAAATGCCACTTGACACACATGAAAATAATTTACAAACTAGTCATTCTATTCAAAATATTACTACCTTCAATAAAACAATGCTTTTACTTCAGATCTAATGCTTTTAGTTGACTTACCTCTACTACAACATAAAATCCCAAATTTTTGAACTAAAAACCCCAAAACTCACCTCCAAACCTTGACCATTTTGTCGTTCCCTCCAGACACAACTCTTTTCGGCATGATAATCTCATTAACATTGATAACAGTTCGACTTCCTTTGGCTGGAGCCCATGAAACCGCATTTACACCTTGTTCATGAGCATTGAAGATTTTAGCAGGCTTCCAAATGTCGTCGTAATTCGTGACAATCGAAATCGTACAATCTGTAGAACCACAAGCAAAGATTAGACCGTAATTATGTGGAGCCCATGCTACGGAATTGATACTGGCTTCGTGTTGAGTATATTCGTAGATTCGAGTCCATTTATTAGCTACTTCTTTCCAGATGAACACTTTCCTAAAATAAAATGTTGTTGGAACTTCAAATTAAGTAAAGAATAAGGTATAACAAGCCTATAAGTCCTACCTGTCATGCGAGCAAGAAGCCAGATATTCTCCTTTGTCCGAAAATGGGTACGACCAACTTCAAAAATAAAATCCACATTATTTTTGCGAAAAAACAATAAATAATACGTATTGCCAAACATTTTGGCTACTAAAATTTGTCGTGCCAGTACTAAATTCATTTCCAAGGTTTAAAAAACCGTGAGTTCTACAACGAGAAAACGTTGCCGCGAATGGTTTTTATGACTTGGACGGAAACTCGGGAGGCTTCGGAGAAAAAACTGAAGGCGGGCTTAGCCCAACGTCTGAAGGAGGATTTGGCGGACCCGGTGGAGGTTTACATGACAGAGAAGCTGGAGATCATGGAAGCGGTTACGTTGGTAACTCTGGAGGTGGGTTTTGTTTATTATACTTATTATATGTTATTGTGTAAAGTTTACTTTTAATTTATTGATAAAGTTTAGTGTTGTTTTAACCATGTTAAGTTTTAGGCGGCTTTGAAGGAAATGATGATGGAAGATTCGGCAGACGCGGTGGAAGTTTCGGTGGTAACTCCGGAGGCGAAGAAGGATTCGGCGGACGCAGTGATCAAGGAAACAGGAAGCAGCCGCCATTATGGAGCTTTTGAATAACAAAAGACGACGATTGGAGCGTCAGAAGGATTACGTGTGTTTAGATTTTGAATTTTTGGCGTAAAGGGCAGTTTTTTTTGTTTTGGAAAGAAAGTTCTTGCGGTTTTTTGGTTTGTAAAGGAAGTTGTTACCTAAAATGTATTTTTATTCATGTTTGGGGTCTAAAATACTTATTTGTTACCTAAAATGAATTTTTAGATATGTTTTTTACCTAAATTACAATTTTTTATTTTTTTAAATATTTTTGTTACCTAAAATTTTTAAATTGTTTCATTTCAGACCGAAAGCGATGGTATAATGGAAGATAGGTCACACTTGCCATCAACGTCTTCACAACAAGACGTCAGAGCAAGCCTAGAGAACGGAAGCTTGTTCAGATCACTGTTCTTCAATCAGAACAGTTCGGACGAAACGGAAGTGAACCCAGAAGCATCTCAAGAGTTTTCAACCGGTTTCAACAATGCTTCAAGGTTTGAACCGACCGAATCTCGAGAGGTCCCTCATGATGATATCTTTTCGGAAGTTCCTGGAAGATTATCGCTGCTTAGCAATGTGACAAAACACAAGGTTGGTTTTTTGTTTTTTTATTGATTTTTTAATATTAAAATAGTTTTTTAATAAGTTGACGAAGTGTCACAAAAATTATTAGTTTTTTGACGGAGTGTCACAAAGTTATTGGCTTTTATATTTTTGTAATTTGATTGTAAAAATCGATTCTTACTTCACTTTTTGACTTTAATTTTTGCTTTTTTTTTGTTTATTTATTACTAATTTTTAATATTATTATAGATGACAGTTGCGGAAGTACGTCGACGAGTCCTCGGCCCGGAGTGCTTCAACTTTTCGCTGCTGGGGGCCTTGCTACGACGTGCGAAGATGCCAGGGAAGTCACAGGCGCTATTCGAAGATCTTCAGAAGGTCGGTCTCTCAATACCACGTGGCCGACGACGGAACGTCACGGTAACCCTTCTGTCAGCCCTTACTGAAGCAGAGGCAGAGCAATTGGTCCACGATTTTGCCAAGGTTAGTGACGATAAGTTCCCTATCCAGGAATTTGTCGATCACCAGTTTGCACAGTATTACAACAACATGGACGCCTTGAAGATGAGGGCGTTGGAGCTCAACCTAACCAAGAAGGTGGTTGGCGAGTTCATTGGATTGTTACGATCGGAAATTAAGGATTTGGTGAGTTTTATTTTTTGAATTTTTTAGAAAAGAATTTTTTAAAATTGCACAGTGCACACATTTTTTGGGTTGCACGGTGCAATCATTTTTCATAATTTTTTTGTGGTTCTAATGTTAAAGCAAATAGGTTAAAATTAGTTTTAGCAATAATTTATCAAATCTTACTAAATTTTTTAAAAAGTATTTGTTACCTAAAATTAATAGAAATTGCACAGTGCATTAAATAAAAAGTTTTTGTGCAAAAAAATAATTGACTGCACGGTGCAGCTAAATATAAATTTACTTATTTTTTTGCATTTTAGAAGCCAGGACCAGTGTTACCGTCGAATATTCAAGATCCTCTATCAATATACTCGATGCTCACGCATGGCTTTGGAACGTTGGCTCTCCAAGTGGGCGTGAACATGTTGGGAAAATTTGTCCGCCAAATGGCCCTGCTCACGGAGGAAGCAAACGGAACATGTAAGCCTAAGACGCGGGCCCATAGTTTGTAATGTTTATGGTTTGATTTTGTATTTTTAGTATTATTACTACTGTATAGTCACTGCTTACTATCTACTACAATCTCATCTTCTTTCTCAAATTTTAACTTTGTTTTATATTAATTATATAAGGGACGAGCTAAATACATCGGATGGAAAGTATCAGACAAAAAATGCGATTTCTTGTCTGATATTTTCGTCTCTCATTTTCCCGCTATCTTTTTTTTCCTCTCGTTGCCGACGGCAGTTAGAGATCGTTGAAAAAAATATCAGACAAGGAATTGCATTTTTTGTCTGATACTTTCCATCCGATGTATTTAGCTCGTCCCTTATATTTATGTCGTAACGTTTCTTGTAACTATAAAAAAAAATAGTATCACCTTATACCATAGTACTTTATTTCATAATATGTATTTGTTACGGGCAGATGTCGAGTCTTTACTATGTTCGGCCAAGCAATTAATCATGCTAGCCGAAACATACGATTGGCCTGATATCGCCGTATGAAGTCAGTTTCGCTTTGTTGTATGCGTAAAAGACAGACGTGTCTTTTAAGAGTCTCTTCAATAAAGTTAAAGAACTAATGATTGGCATGATAATTCGATAGTTAATATGCTCTGTACGACACAGGGTAGGACACTAAAAGTCCCTCGCTACTTATTGAAATCAATACGAAGTTATTTGTACTGTACCGTTAGCATATTAAACAATTTATTAGAAGACCTACGAAATTTATTAGCGGACTCATACGTGAAGTAAGGTAGATCAAGCTAAGGTTAAGAATAGAGGTAAAATAGAGCTATGGGTAAGCCCGGACTAGGGTTACAACTAAAAGAAGCAAGCAAGGTAAAAGCTCACGCTACTATAAAAGACAGGGTATATTACGAATAGATCACAGTTATGATAGTTTACTCAAGCTTCAATTTACAGCGCGTTCAAATACAAAAAATACAATTAACATACAAAAATGAGAGGTTTATTCAAACAAAGAAAATGCAGTAATATAACGACGCTATGCGTACGTAAAAATGAATATAAACAGACCGGCGGTCAAACGAAAAGGAAAAACTGATAAAAGGCGAATTGTTGCCTAAAAAAGTAAATTCGGATCGAAACCGGTTCAATTTGGAAGGACCTGGACTAAGCTTGGCGTTTCTGAACTGACTAATTACAACTTCTGCGTTTTTCGATTTGACACCAATCGTTGATGAGTGGTTTGAAGTATTTAGCAGCACCGTCTCCATAGTACTTTCTGTCTTGGAAAATTAAGAGATGGCTAAGCTCCACTAAGGGGTGTTTTTCTCGACATATCGTGGTGTAGTTCCGTACTGTAGTTTTTACTAAAACAAGAAACATAATAGCGATTTTCACCTACCTACTCTACCCTATCTTTGTAATATTTTTAATAATATTAGTAATAATAATAATAGTCGAAGTTCGAGCTCACGCCCGTAGTCATGTACCTAGCTTAACATTTATATTCATTTATTAACAGTAGTTAACATATCTAAAAATATCAAGAGAGCGAGCGGTGGCCAACGGCCGCCGCTCCGGCTGTTTCCGACCTCTCTCTTGTCTTTTCTAGACCTTTCATCCTTTATAAAACAATCATGACATTAAAATACTAAAACAGGTCTACTGGCCCTTACATGCCCCCTCCCTTGACAAACGACGTCCCTGTCGTGACAATGGTAATTCATTACCAGACAAAACAATTTTGTATATTTTTATGTTATTAGATTGTTGAATAGTGGATGGTTTATGGAAGGTATGTTAACGTAACATCTTATTCTCTTTTGTTATTTATATGTTTTATAGTTTTGAACTTAAGCGCGTTTGCGTACGAAAGGTAAGGAAGAGAAGGACAGATGACGGCCTGACTCCATTTGCTGTCCGCGTCGAGTCAGCAAAGTTCTGATCTCCTCGGCAGTTTTGCAGCGATCTGGTAAGTTTTTGGCGCGTTGTTTTGCGTTCCCTTTCTTTTTTTTCGTATTGAAGATGGCTTTAGTTTAGTATTCCAAAAGTATATATATATTTTTTTTTGAGAATAAGTAGTTACTTACAAAGGGGTAGTAATAGACTTTTACAATAGAGTTTTGATTTAAAATTATTTTGTTAAGATATACAGTAGTTTCACTTTTTCTTCTTATTCGAACTTGTTGTTTTGGTAGAATTTGGCATAGGCTCTGGTACCTGGTCGTTTTGGTACATGCTGCCTCTCCGTTCCTTTTAACGTCGTCCTCGGCGTTCTTGCGTTATACGTTGAGTGAACTGAAGCGTTGTCTTCGTCAGAAGATGGTAGATCTCTGTCGTTAGCGTCTTGTAGTTTAGCTTCTGGTTCCGGAAAGAACTTTTTACATTTGTTGACATGCATACTGAATTGTCTTTTGGTTTGAGGATCTTCTAGCGTTATGTTTGGATTTGTAACTCTGACCACTTTGTATGGTCCAATGTACTTCGTGTCAAATTTGTGATCTCTGACTTCTTTTACTCTCAAAACTAGATCACCTTCAGCAAAGTTGTGTGGTTTCGCTGAATTTGACTTGTCAGCATGTTTCTTGATTTCAACTTTGTCCAATTCGCTTACTTCTTGAACAAGTGTCCAAGCTTGTTTGACGTGTTCGGCTAATTTTTGGGTATATGTTGGCATATCAACATATATGGATGGTAAGTTCCTGTAGACTTCTTGTTGTACTGGGGTTAAAGCTTCTCTTCCAAATAGTATAAAGTACGGTGAAAACTTCAGTACTGGATTTGGCGTAGTGTTGTAGGCAAAGCTTATGAGTTTTATAAACTCATCCCAGTTTGTTCCTCCTCGTGACAGATATGAGCTTAACATCGCGCATAGTGTTTTGTTCTGTCGTTCGACCGTTCCGTCGGCTTGTGGGTTGTATGGAGTTGTAGTCTTATGTTCAATTCCCATTTGCGCACATAGTTGTTGAAATGGGTTGCCGGTAAATTCGGTTCCTTGGTCTGACACTATAGTTTCTGGTATTCCGTACACTGTAATGTATGAATTCAGGAACGCGTTCGCCACAGTTGAACTGGTCTTGTTTGGTATGGGTTGCGTTGTTACGAATCTTGTAAAACTGTCTACCATAACCACCAAATAGACATTACCATTTACCGTTAAAGGCAGAGGTCCAATCAGGTCAATGTGTACCCTTGCGTTTGGCTGGCATTCTGGTTTGATTGGGTGAAGTGGTTCTTTACGCACGTCTTGTGGATTCTGCTTGAACAGTTGACAGTCTGGGCATTGCTTGACATAGTTTTGGACTACAGTTCGTAGTTTTGGGCACTAGTAGACTCTTGAGAACTTTTCTGTCGTTCTTTTTCGGCCAAAGTGTCCTCCGAATAAGGGGCTGTTGTGAAGTTCTCGTAGTGCCTTTCTGCTTAATGTTGAAGGCAGTACTATTCTAGCCGGTTCATGTCCTTTTGGCTTCAAACACACCAATCCTGCTTGTGTTATGAATTTTGAAGATTCTGTATTGGCTTCTTGTTTGAGTTTTTGTACGAATGTATCTTTTTGTTGTTCTGTCTTTAGTTCGTCAAGTGTTATTCGATTTTCAAAGAATTCTGGCTTATTCACTTGGATAACAATTCCGCTTCGGTGTACGATAGTTACGGCATACTGTTGTATTAGGATTTTAAATCGTGCTAGTCTGCCGGTAGTGTTTTGATTTCTCAAAAGCGATGTGACTCCACTGTTGTCGGTTTTGACTACGGTGTCTGATAGGCCTAAGATGTATTGGCGGAATTGTTCTAGCGCGAATATAACGGCTACTGCTTCATGTTCCAAAGAGTGGTACGACTTTCTGTTGGTGTTAGCCTTCTGCTTGCGAAGCAGATCGGATGATAAAGTCCTGTTTCTTCGTCTTGTTGTAGTAGTACAGCTGCCATAGCGGCTGCTGATGCATCAGTTTCGATTTGAAACGGCTTATTGAGTTTTGAGTGACCTCAGAACAGGTGATGTCGTCAAGATTTTCTTCATTGTTTCGAGAGCTTCATCGTGTTCGGTATTCCAGTTCTTTTTACATCTCCAGATTTCAATAGATTGTAAAATGGGGTCATTTTTGGTGCGAATTTTTGTACAAACCTTCTGAAGTAGGTTAAGGCACCTATCATGCTTCTTAGTTCTGTCATTGTTTGTGGTTTTGAAAACTTCATGATCGCTTCAATGTTCTTTGGGTCTGGTTTTATGCCATGTTCACCAATTATCATGCCGAGAAATTTTAACGAATTTTTGCCGAATTCACATTTTCTCAACTTGAGTTTCAATCCAAATTTTTGTATGACTTTCAAAAATTTGTTAATGTTCTGTAGATGATGTGTTTTGTTTGGCGACGAGAGTATTATGTCATCAACGTGTATTGCAAAGTCTTTTGGTAGATACTGTTGAACTTCATTCATTACTCTGACAAAAGTTTGTGGGCTTCCGACCATACCAAATGGCATAGTTACATACTCGAATAACCCACTAAATGTGGTAAATGCGGTTCTGTGAATATGTGCCGGGTGTACTGGTACTTGATGAAATCCTTGGCTAAGATCGAATGTTGAGTAGATCTTCTTTCCTCCAACAGAATCTAGGATTTCGTCGATTTTAGGCAAATAGTAGTACTCTTTTTTCGTAATAGCGTTGATGGCGCGGTAGTCGATAGCTAATCTTAAGCTTCCATCTTTCTTTTTAACAAGGACCATTGGTGAAGCATACTGTGACTGAGATGGTCGTATTATCCCTTGCTTTAACATATCTCGTAGTTGCCGTTCGACTTCTTCTCGTTGGGCGTACGGTACTCTGTACGGTCGACATTTTGGTACTTTCTTTTCGTCGGTTAAATGCACGAAATGTTTAGTTTGTCCTCTAAATCGTCCGGTTTTGCCGTCTGGGCCAACAAATGCGTTTGAATTTTGGAGTACGATTTGTTCTAAATCTCTGCATGCTGTATTTTGATTTTTGACTGTCCGGTGGATACAGTATTGGTCATAAAATCTAGGCTGAGCTGGTGTCCTGCTTTGGCCAAAGTGGTAAATGTGTCTGTTCCAATCAACAAATCACATGGACAGTGCCCGTTTGGCGATATTAACAACGTGGCTTCGAGGTCGATATTTCCAAACGTCAGTTGAACTTGAGATCGGCCAATGAACTGTACTGGTGTACCGTTAGCTGTTGTACCTTGTGGTAAGTCGTTTTTAACCACTTTGAGTTTGTATTGGGTCGCTATTGCTTCTGGACAGTAACTAACACTAGCACCTGTGTCTAAGAGCCCTCGTATCGGTTGCTTGTTGAGTAGCAGTGATACTGTCGGTTGTCTTCCGTATTTGGATATTGAATAGACGCTCGGTATGTCTTTGTCGGTAAAAGTGAATGGTCTTTGACTGTCAGGCAATACTGCGTTGATAGCTAACGGCGTGGGGTTTGATATCAGGTTTAGTGGGCAACTCATACGAATGTAGATTGTAAGTGTTGTTACAATTATTGCTATTGAAAGTAAGGTTACCATTATCTGATGTCTGTTTACAAATTGGCTAGCTTCATTCCAATTTTTGCTAATCCATTCTCCTATTGGTTCTGATGCTTCATTTACTATGTCAGCTGTAGCCACCAATAATTCGTTTAAGTCGCTTTCGGTTGGCTTTTGATCTAGTAATTGATCCAAGCTTTCCTCTATGTCGAATACCTTGTTAGAGTAATCGTTTATTCGTAGGATACGCTCAGCATCGTTAATTTCTTTCTCGTATATGGACTGTGTTGTAAATTTTATTTTCTAACCAGCGAAGTCTGTTAACTTAAATTCTGCATTTTCTGTTATTGTAGTATAGTCGCACTCTATGACTTCTCCTCTTCTACTGACTTCGTTATTTTTGACGACAAAGAATAATGTATCATTCAGCTTTATAGGCAATTGTGCATAACAGATTTCTCCGACTTGTCTGTTCCAGTATATCTTGTCAGGTATTATTGTGATACATCGAGTAATATGCCATTCGTTGTTTTCGCTTATCGTCTGGATGTCATTTCTTCTAAAGAACGTTTGTGCGGCTAGATTAGCGTCAATCTGTGTCAGTACGTTGGCTGTAGCGACTTGTTCGTTGTGGATTCGACAAATCTTTTCCCAAACGTCTTTCAATGATTTCTGAAGTTGTTTTTCCATCACTTCTGTAAGATAATTTAGCTTAGCATTAATTGCAAAATCATCTTGTTGCGAAGCCTCTGTTTCTGTTGTACTTGTTGTAGTTGGTACATTTGGTTGAAGTTCCCATACTTTTGTAGTACTTTTAGTTACTATTGGTCTTGTAGTACTAGGTGCTTCTGTTGTAGCTCTGACTGTAGTAACTTGTGTAGTTTTAACTAAGGCACTTTTTGTGTTGTAGAGGTTGTAACCCTTAGTGACGGCCTTGCAGTAGTTGTTCGTATTGGCACGATTTTGCTTGGCTGCCATCTTGTTTTTAGTCTCATTGTCGTCGATGGTCTTTCTGTTGTTCTTGGTCTCTCTGTTGTTGTGGCCATTATAGTTGTCGTTTTTCTAGTTGTTGTCACAGGAGTTCGAGTTGTAGTACTGCCATGCAGAGTTTCTCCTATTTTTCTAGCAAGTTCGCGTTGTTCTGGACTCAAGCGGTCTTCAGGTGGTCCATAAGCTTTGCTTAATGCTTCAAATGCTTTTCTATCTGCCTCTGACATCTTTGAGGGGTCTCGCCATCGTTCTCGCTTGAATCTTTGATTTATTGGTTCTTCTATGGATAAAATCTGTAGCCGAACTTTGTTTTCCATGTCGTACGTCTCGTTTGGTATACAGTCTTCTGTTTCATGCTTTGGATGTGCCGAGAATACAAAAGCTGATTGTAGTTCCGGGATAACCACGGATGATGGCGTGAGAAAGGCGTTGTACGGTCCTTTCTTGTTGTAGTTGCACCATGGTGTTGAATCATCCAATTTCCACACGTATGTGTAATTTTGTTTTACGCAGTTTCCATCTTGTAAGCGCATCCAGCTGTATTTCCAACGTTTGTGTGTATGTTTTTGCCCATCTCGCTTACCACTAACTTTCCTAATATCACATTGACATTTTGCGTTGTGGCACATCGTTTGCCCATTAGTGCATTTGGTAGTCTCAGGTTATTTTTGGTAGAATAACGTCCGTTGTTATCATGAGTTAACTCGGAGATTCCTTTTCTCACTTCTTTTGCAAGTCTTTTGCATTTTTCAGGATTTATCGGTTCATATAGGGTTATTTCCTGGTTGTTGAATTTGAATCCGAGCAGCGAGTTTTGACATTTCGTGTGACGGCTGAGGTGACATTTTGCTATCACTTCTTCTGACGGGGTTGTCTTCTGTACGAATATTGATACTGTAGCCCGTTGAATTTGCTGATTTCCTGTGTAGTTACAATTTCCGGTTTCGGTGTCGGGATCGTAATTGACGGACCGTAGCAATGTCTGAAATTACTGCTTGGTTCTGCCTGGGGCAGAGTCAGCATGGTTAGTACAGCGAACAACGTGCCAAAGGTTGCAAGGCTATTTATTTTATATTTTTGGTTTTTATTTTTTTGTTGCGTACCCGAAAGGTTTGCTGGGGGTTTTCCGAAAGAAAATTCTGGTTTTTGATGCCCGCTGTTTTCAAAAGTGGTGTTTCGGTACTGTTCGTTGTTACCGTTATTTGACTTTTTGTGCCAAGGTTTTTGTCTACGGGGTTGCCACGGCTTTCTGCGAAAACTTTGTTCAGGTTTTGGGGCTACTTTTAAATTAGAAATTTCTTCGGTGAGCTTTGTTAACGCATTAATTATCTCATTATTTTGGGTTTGCAAGTAGCTAATATTAGGCTGTTCGTTTGCTCTAATATACTCTAACTCACGTTCAGCTTCGGGAAGCAGAACTTCCAGTGCAAGGTTTTCTTTGCCTGTGAGATGCAGAGTTTGCCTAAGGTTCGTGGGTAAGGCTGCTAAAAATGCGCTTTTAGTTTGCTCTTTCTTAAGTATTTCTCGTTCTGTGCCTGAAACTTCCGAACTAGTAAATACTATGTCTACTAATCGCTTAATTCTGTCGAAAAAACTCGTCAGCGTTTCGCTCTCATCTAGCCTGGAGTTTGCTAATTTTTTCTTAGCGGCTTCTATTTTAATGCTAATAGGAAAAAACTGGGCCAGTGCTGACATGACCTCATGCGGATCTTTGCGAACAATTAGCTCAGTCGAAAGATTTTGAAAATGCCGAAAGGCATCACCTGTCAAGTAACATGGTATTGACTGGGCAACTTCTTCTCGAGTGAGGCCTTTGTGGATAGCCATTTTATAAAATTCATTTACAAATTGGTTAAACGGTCTATCGTCGTCATTACCCGAAAAAGGTTTTATCGGATAGCGCAATTTTTCATAAAGCATTTTTGTAAAATTAACTCTACCTGTACTTTCCTGTTGTCGACTTAATTTGGCTTCGGTCTCCACTGGCGGTCTTTCTCTTCTTGGGCTTCTTGGAGTACCCAATGTCCTGGAGGGGATTTGTAGGTCCACTGGAACTTCTGGTACAGGTTGGACTGGCTGGCTTCCTGACACTTCTGGAATCTGAACTTCTGGTACAGGCTGTGCTGTGGAGCAGGTACTTCTTGACTGGGTTCCGTTGGTTCTGGTTGAACCTCAAGTCGTGGCCTGACTTCACGTCTGGACTGACGCAGTCCGCTGTCCTGTCGCAGACGGCGTCGTAGGTTTGGAGCTTGTTGACGGATCCGGTTGCCTTCTTCTTCTTGTCGTTGATCTTCTTCTTCGGATTGATCTCGCTACGTTTGCCAAAATCTTCGAAAACGGTATAACTTGTGCTCAGGTGAAAGAACTGGAGGTTCTCCTGGCCTTCGTCTCATGAGTTTTAGCTCAGGGCGGTCTTTTTCTCTATTGCCATTGTTACGAAAAAGTAATTAATTTTGTTTCAGGTGCCTGATTCGACGTATGCGGGCTGTTTCACAACGCGTGGGCTGTTTGATTAAACTCGCCTTTGTTTAATCAATTCTTGGATTAAGGCAACTGCTGTTGCTAGATTCGAAAGCGCCTGCTCAGTTCAAAAGAATCAGAAAAAGGAGAATTGTAATTAATGATTATATAAGATTTTGTACGTTTTATGAATAAAATACCTCACACACTAAACTAATAAATCTTTCACACACACTTATTACAAAAATATTTACAATTTTGTCTAACGTTGGAGTGATCAGTCCCTACCTAGACAATTTTTGGTTTTGGCGAGGGTCTGTGTAGAAAATTTCTCAGCACCGAGGTCTTCATTGTTGTCTTTGATTTTATAAATATCCCGGTCCCGTTTGAATGTTGAGACAAAAAAATTTACTGTCTTACTAGTTACACCAATAGGTAAGAGACCTATTGTACTTGTGCCCCATGCTTAGCCCTGGTAGCGCAACAAGTAAGTTTTTCTACAATTTAGAAGAAGGTGGATGCCTTAAGTCCACTTTTTATAGGTTGACTACCGCGAAGGTAGAGAAGTTTTGGCTGAGTTTTGCGTGCTCCTTATAATTTCTATATAAAACCACTTTAAGGGCTTAGCGCGTCAAAACGAACGGCTTTTAGGGTAGTGGGGGGATATTTAAAGGTACCTTTTTTTTTGAGCGCGGGGACTAAAATATACGTCTTTTGTTCTATTAAACCTATTCCTACACCACACAGTTTTTGTAACTTACTGTTATAAATGCCGTCTTCGTATCTCTGAAAGTACAATCACATGACTTACATTTGCTGAGAGCTTTGGTGAGACCTCCATGTAATATTTTTAATAATATTAGTAATAATAATAATAGTCGAAGTTCGAGCTCACGCCCGTATTCATGTACCTAGCTTAACATTTATATTCATTTATTAACAGTAGTTAACATATCTAAGAATATCAAGAGAGCGAGCGGTGGCCAACGGCCGCCGCTCCGGCTGTTGCCGACCTCTCTCTTGTCTTTTCTAGACCTTTCATCCTTTATAAAACAATCATGACATTAAAATACTAAAACAGGTCTACTGGGCCTTACATCTTTGCTTTATTCATGCCCTTTTGTACCTTGACCTACTTTACTTGTGCTTTACTCATGTCGTTCTGTACCCTACCACATTATTGTACTGTCTTGCTCGGCCCTGCACTACCATGTTTCACCCTACCTTCACTCTTCTTACCCTGCACTGCCCTACCTTACCCAATCCGGCCCGACGATTAAGCCTGACCAAGGCCGGGCTTGGAAATTAGGGTACTCGGCTTGAAAAGTGGGCCCGGCCGTTTCTCATCCCTATCCTCCTATAGCCTACTCTACCCTACCCCAACCTGCCACTTCCACTTACTTCTTGATTTTTCTTCCAAAAAAGAACATTTATATGTCATCCAGCGATCTTGTTTTTCATCTGGATACGAATCACGATTGTCTCTTTCTGTTAACACTAAACTTTGTTGTTCACCGTCGTTAGTTGCCAATCCTTCTTGTTTATCAACGTAGATTTTCGTGTTTTTATTATACAAAGGTCGTTTTTCCTTCCCTTGATTAATACCAACGTTCTGCGACGTGCTAACAACCTTTCTAGCCCGTTTTAAATCAGCTTTAGCGACAACAGATGCTTCGTAGACTATGAAGTTTGGAGCAATGTCTTTTGGTAAAGTACAACGAGGCCTTTGGACAGAAGAAGCGGCGCGATTCCATATTCCACTAAAAAGGATCCAATTTGTAAACCTAAAAATTCACGTTACTTTTATACTCTATTTTAACGTACTCTAACTTAACACTTTAAGTTAACTTAACCTGAGTTACTCTGTTCTACCCTACCTTAACGTACCTTACCCTACCCTTCTCTACGCTTAAAAAGGGGGAGATTTTGCAACGTTTGGTATTTCTTAGTTTAGGTATCAAAAAATTTTTTAAAATTATTTTTTATTGTTGAGTAGGGAAAGACAGGGAGAACAGAGTAAACTGAGGTAGGGTGGAGCAGAACAGGGTAGGGTAGAATAAAGTAGGATAAGTTATGTTTCACCTTTTTACAACAGGTTTTAAAAAATTTAAATTGTAATTTTAACCCACATTTCCACGACAACATCTAAGGAGGAATGGTGACAAAATATCATAAACACTTTCAGGATCTTGCAACATCAGTCTACCAGTTAAAATATGATAAACTTGACACGGCCACCGCCTATTTTCGCCAACATAACTAATCAAAACACAATTGGAGCGAACCAAAAAAAGCACAGAACGAACTTTGCCAAAACTTGGATTCAATGGCAGTTCGTACTGTACTCCCTTGGACACGTCGTAAACAAGCAGCTTGTCCTGTACCACACGAGCACAATAATGCTCAGTTGTATGTTCAAGTTCTCGCATATTATCCATAAAAGTGGTTTTTGTGCTTAACACTTCTTCCACTATGTTCTCAAAAGTGTGATATTTGAAAACACTTGAATTAAATGTCATTCTTTTTCGTGCTTGAGTAAAGAGAGGCCTTCCTGTTGCCAACTCATATACATATGTATCATTAAACCAAACCTAAAAGAGAGCATTTAGTACTATGAGCAGTATAGTTAGATTACAGTTAAAACAGGAAGAGCGCTAGGGGGGGGAGGGGATAGAGTGAATAGGGCTGGATTCAACCCTCCCCCGCCAGAGCTGATCCGAAATGAAACTTCCACTGGTAAAAAAATGAAAACATACAAAAATAGGACCAGGTTTCTATAAGCCAAAATAAAAAGTTTAGCATTACCATCCCTAATAAAAAATTTATATCGACGTCCTTGAGTTAAAAGGCATAGATAATAACTTACATTAATAATAATGTATTTTTGATCTGTAGAAATATCAATCCCATTGACATTTTTCTCAAACCTGAAAACTTTGACAAAAGTGCTCGAAAAATCCAAACTACAAACAATTACAGTAGAGTTATATGAAAACACAACCAAGTGACTATTGCTTTTAAAGTCGATGCTGACCATCCTTCTTAAGTATAAAACTTCATCTGTAAATGACTCCGCGACTATCCATAAGCGGCGATGAGCACTGAAATTTGACTATCAAACATCATATTTGAAAATGCATACCTGCATTGCCCTGTCTTAACCTAAGATACCCTAATCTACTCTACTACTCTCCCCTACATTATCTTACTCTATTATACTTTACCCTACCCTTCTTTTTCGTTATTTTTCCCTACCCTTGTGTTAGTTTTGCTTTGTCCAAACATACCTTATCCCGCCATTTAATGCTTAGTCTTACACCTAGCTTTGCTCTCCTTATCCTGCTGTATATTAACCTAAATCTATTCTACTGTAACGTTTAAAATAACTTGATATTATTCTACTGTATCACTCAACATACTGTAATATAGCCTTTTATATTGATACCTATCGTTTTGTCACCCTACCCTGTCCTTAAAATATTATCCCACCCGCATGTTGTTTTAAGTAGAAACCTACTCGGCGAAAGCGTCGGCCCACGATTCTCCGGGAAGACGAAAAATGTGGTTTACCACACACAACTTATGGAAATCCAAGCCAACATAGTTGTTAAAACGACGACCAGCTCTAGCCAAATTTGTTACTGATGTCAGTTCACTGTGCTTGATGATAATATCCCAAATCTGTAAATTAAAAAGCCATAATATTTTAGCCTAAAATTGTAATTATATTCCCCTACCCTACATTAATCTACCCAACCCTATCCTACCCCACTCTACCTTATTCTACCCTGAAAAACAAACTTTTGCCAGGCCTTATAAAATAATAAGTTTACTTACATCTTGATTTAATTTGCCAATCTTTTCCATACTTTACAACACAAGCCTCTACAAAAAAGTCACTTTATATTATTTAACACCTATATATAAGTGTGATTTTGTCACAGAAAAGAAATAAAAAAGCTGATAAGTGTCAAATGTTTCGTTTCTGTGTCGAGTGTCCCTCTGTTATAAGAAAGTTTTGAAAAAGTAAACGCTAAATAAATCGAGAAAACTATATAAACTATAGAGGTATTGAGAAAAGTTGACTATGTGAAGAAAAGGTTTAAATTTTTATAGTTATCATTAGTGCTAGAGCTAGATATCAGGCTAGGGAAAGAGCTAGAGCTATGACTAACAAGCGGTAAAATTTTTTTTTCGGTTTTTGGCTAAGTTGACCATGCTCTACAACTTGTATGTACCAGTTTTTCACCAGTCCAATGCGCGGTGGGGACCTTTCCTTGTAAGGCTAAAGAAATTAGAAGTATGGCTAGACCTAGGCTTGGACTAAAATTAAAGCTAAAGCTAAGGCTAGGCCTAGAGCAAAAGCTAGGGCTAGAGCTGAGGCTAAACTTAAGGCTAGGACTAAGACAAGACTATCACTAGAGTTAGGGCTAAAACTATTATCCTACTCACACCCTACCTTACACAACCCTATTCCTCTCTACCCTTCTCTGTCCTGCATTACCTTACCCTACTCATACGCCCATCTTAACCCCTCTGTAAGGCTAATATGACTAACCGTGATATTAATGTACATCTTTACAAATTTATCAGTTAGATCAACAAAACCATATTAAAATGGGTGAATAACTGTTAAAACAAAGTGATATCAGCATGCTTTTCGGTTGATTCTGGCTCTTTTACCATTATAAACGACACAGAGTCGAGCGTGGTTTCCGAGAAGCCGGTCAAGGATTGAATGGCAGGGGTCGTGGATTCATTGATGGAGAAATGACGCCAGTTTAGGAGTTCGTTCTGAAAGGTTTGATCAACTATTAAAAAATATAAATATTTCTAAAATTTTCGAGATTTTTTGTCTTGTAAAAAAGTTATTGCCAATCTTTGCTTTGTAAAAAAAGTTCTTGCCATTTTTGGTTTTGTAAAGAAAGTTCTTACCATTTTTCAAATTGTAATGAAAGTTTTTGGTATTTTTCTTATAGTAAAGAAAGTCCTTGCCATTTTTTTAAAAGCGTCACAAACTCCTTACCTTCCCTTCTTCAATTTGGCCTTTTGGCTCCAAACTTCTTCTAATTTGTGTTTCGCCCATTGCCCGGTTCAACATTGAGTTTGAGGCTTGTGTCTCGGGTGATGCACTGCCGTTTTCATTTTGACCATTACCATCTTCTTTACATCTACATTTGAGTTTCGTGTGAGTGTCGGATTTGGAATCTGGTGAGAATTTCAGAAGTTCGTCCAGCTCTTCTTCGTCGAATTCGGTTGGTGAGGTTACTGTAACGTTTTTTGATTATTTACATAATATCTTGCCCTAACCTACCCTTCTAAACCCAAACCTACACTACCAATCCTATCTTACCGTATCCTAATCTAACATAACATGAACTACCCTACCTATCCTACCATAACCTAACAAAATTACAGTATGAAAATATAAGTAAAAGTTAAAAAAATAAAAAATTCTTGCCGTTTAAAGCGTTCACAGGTAATGTTTGTTGTCTTTGGAGCATTTTTTCTTCAATCGTACCCTAAAAATTTACATTATAATATTATAGTAGGTACAAACCACTTCATTCAAGATCTTAACTCCAACAATAACCTTGAAGAATCCTACTCTGCCCCTCTTTACCACAATCTACACTACCCTGTCCTGATCTACCCTACCTTACGTTGCCCCAACCTAGCCAAGCCCTACTCTTATCCCAATCCTGATCCTAGCCTACACTACATTAGCTTCATCCTAGCCCCACACTATCACAACCCTACCTACCATATTCCTACCTCAACCCTAATCCTGATCTATCCTACCATACAGTAACCTCCCCACCCATCTTACCGCAGTAATCAGCCTATAAACACGGCATTCTTCGCTCTGCCCATGCCTCCAAGCCAAGCTCTCTATAATATCATCATTCCTAGTCCAATCCGAGTCGTACATGATCAACCTGGTCGCTCCACTTAGATCCAGCCCCATTGTTGTTGTCTTTTGCGATGTCAACAGTACCTGATTCGGATGGTCGAAGAGATTCGGTTGATTAAACTTCTGAATCAGCTCTTTCCGTTCCGACGGTGATGCTGAATCCAGTCTTAACACTTCAAACAATGCTTCTTCGAAAAGGGCTTGTATCAAATCAAGGACTGATTTTGAATTAGCCACTATTATTGATTTTTCGTCGTTTTCGTCAAAAGATACCACCATTTCGAAGAGTGTTTTTAGTTTATCTAAAAGTATGTATATCAATAAGAAAATGGCATTTTTAATAAAAACTAATAAATACATGTTATAAAACATCAAAAAATGTACTTAATACATCAAGCTTAGTTTGATATAACAGTTCGTTAAAGAGAAACGACGCTTTCTCGTCGAGTTTGACCACTTCAAAACCAAAACAATGTTGAGTATTTTGCCATTTTCAACATACAATGGCATATTACCAAAATCTGATTATTAGACCTAGCATAGCATACATATTTAAACATATTTCCAAAATTTCAAATAGTTTTCATAACGTATGAGAGAGTTATATTCATTTAAAAATGGCAATACCCAAAAAATTTGAAACTTCAAAAAAATTTTTGAACTGCCATTTTTAATGCGACCGACGTTATAAATCTTGTGTAACATAAAAAGATATATATTAAAAATACATCTAAAACTAGATATGTAAGCTATATTTTAATATATTAATTTACGACAAAGTTAGATTCAATTGAAAAAGGCCAAAAAACCAAAAAAGTTCGAATCCGCTTGGAGACCAAAGTTTTTTTCAAACTACACCACCTATACCAAACGTAATATAATAGTAAAAACTTCAAAATAAATACTTCATTTTATGCCTCATAAAACGTATCAATTAAATTTTTTTTAAATGTTGCCGAAAAACCAAAAAATTTTTTAAAAAAGTCAAAAAATTCAAAAAAAAGCCAACTTACTGCAATCCATGACATGAATATCATCAGTTGAGCATGTTGGCGGAAAAGCCTCGTTCAGCACCTCAAAAGCAACGTTTTTCTGCTCACTCTCGAGATATTGTTGTAGTCTAGCCAACAATAATACCGGGTGATTGCAGAGTTTGAGGAGGAAGTCGATCATTTGTGCTGTACCCAATGTCATCAGGTCGAGTATTGAAGTGTACAACAATTGTTGTAGGTCAGTTAGAGGGCAAAAAATTAAGAATTGGACTGAAAATGGCGTTTTAGACAGCAACACACATCAATTTTTTTATAAATCCACCATACAAAAATTTTTTTTCACCTCCTCCGCCCAAAAAAATTTACCCCGCCCTAAAAAATTTTTTCTTGTGACCTAAAAATGAATTTCTATATGTTTTTTAAAGTAAAAAGCTTTCACCACCACCAAAAAAAAATTAAAATTTTTTTACCCCGCCCAAGTTTTTTTTGAGAAAAATGTTTTTCCCTCTTTCTCAACGTGCCTTAACTAAAAAGAATCACTTCCCCCTTCTCTCACGCTCATGAAGTACAAAATCATCCCCGCCACCCCATCCTCCAAAAACCCAAACTCATCCCCCTCCTCCCACCTACCACACTGTTTCTCCTTGATTTCCTCCTGTACCTCCAGCTCGTATGAACCGACATGAAGCCTGGTGTTTGGCATGATATGCAGATCCTTGGCCGACGCTGTTCCTATGGTCGGATGGCCATGTTTGTCTGATTTTAGATACATTTTGTTGTCGTTGACCTCCAGAATGCCGTCTCCTTCCCAATGTTTGTGTTTTTTGGTCGAATGTTTGGCGTATACCACAGTAAATCGTCTTGTTTTCGTATTTTGAGGTTGTGTTTGAAATTGTGAGATCTGGTTGAGTTGAGGTGCGATAGGCTCAAGTTGAGACGTAGTTGGCTTAAGTTGAGATGTGTTAGGCTTAAGTTGAGACGTCGTAACCTTATAATGGGCGGTGTTAGGTTTGAGTTTCGAACTGGTCGGCTTATGCTGCGTAGTAGCAGGCTCAAATTGATCATCCTGATTAACTTTAGGCTTATACTGACCATGATAAGACCTATCTTCATCACCATCAAGCCTCACAGAGCCACTAGGCTTAAAGTCTAGACCCGCAGGCCTAAAATTAGTACCAGTAGACCTAACATTAGTACTGCTAGGTCCAAAATTGTGATTAACAGCGTTAAAACTAGCACCTGACTTCAAATCCCTATCAAAGTTAGTACTACTAGGTCCAATATTAGTAACACTAGGCCCAAGCTTTCCACCGTCGGCCTTAAAATCAGTACTACTAGGCTTAAATTGTACCACTTGAGTTGGTTCCCTTTCATCTGCCTTTAGTCCACATGGTACAATGTCATCATGTTCCAGTACAGACCCCTCATCCTGCGAGCGTGACATTTCCACAGGTTTTCGAATGTGAGACGATTTAGGCGACTGTGATTGGGTTTGTTGATTCTGATCGGTCAATATTGACGGTCGTTTGTATGGCTGATTCACACGACTGGTCGGTGCTGCACTTCGCTTCATTTTTGAACACTAAACGTGGGTTTATAGGATTGAAAATGACTGCACCGTGCAAGAAAAATAAAATTTATTGCACGGTGCAAACATGACAATTAAAATAACTTGGTTTACAAAAAATAAAATGGCAAGAACTTTTTATAAAAAGTAAAATATGGCAAGAACTTTCTTTACAAAACAGAAAATGCCAAAAACTTTCATTACAAAACAAAAAACAGCTATAAATAGCTTCACAACGCAAGGCCTTTCTTTACAAAACAAAATCAAGAACTTTCTTTACACAAACTTGAACTAAATCACCAAAATCAACACAAAAAACCAAAAAAAAATATACAACAGTTCTCTAACACAATGTAAAACAGTCGAACAAACTTCAAAATACCTTTATTCATAAATATTTTATACAAATCTTGATCGTTGACCATGATTATCACACGATTAGACAATGAGAATAGAAGCTCTTACAAGTTTTTAGACAGTTTTTCGACATTATTAACAGTTTATTACAAATTTACGATAATTAAGACACCTTTTCGCAACTATAAATAAAATGTCCCTCGTAAGTACACATATACTACAACATAGAAACTTTTTAGGCAGTTTATACAGTCAAAGTTTGGCTACTGTAACATTTTAGACAAAAATAGTAAAAAGTCGGTCGATAAGTTCGTAGAAAGCTTAAAAACTTCGTTTCTAAAACTTTTTGACCAACAAAATACAATACTGTTCTGTCAAATTACAGTACACCAAAAATCACAGTAAGGCAATCAAGTTTTACAATTAGCAGCCAGCCATGTTAGGCCTTCTTGTAGACCTTCACCTGATGTTGCACATGATGGTTGAACATACCAATTCCGGTCTCGTAACCGCGTCAATCCCAGTTTGTCCTGTAGTTCTTGAGGTTTCATCGCTGAAAATTGTTGTGTAAAGAAAGTTTTTGCTATTTATTGTTTTTATAAGAAATGATCGCCATTTCATGCAATAAAAAGTTCTTACCATCCTGAATATCCTGTTTATTCCCATAAACCAATATAACTGCTTCCTTCATCTCCCGATCATTGATAATTCGATGTAGCTCTGTCCTGGCTTCATCAATTCGATCCCTATCAGCAGCATCGACCACGAAGATCAAAGCTTGCGTACCCGTATAATAATGCCTCCATAATGGTCGTATTTTATATTGTCCTCCAACGTCCCACACATTAAACTTGATATTCTTGTATTGTACTGTCTCTACGTTAAATCCAACTGTCGGTATACTTTTGATAGACTGACCAAGCTTCAAACGATATAAAATACCTAAAAATATCATGTTATATATGTAGTGGACACTAATTTAGAAAATACAAAGATATAAGTTAATATATAAAACTAAAAATACTACTTAAACAACGATATTAGTCTCCTCTAGCTTTTACAAAAACAATATTTGCTTTCAATTTCAAGAAAATCAAAATATAAAACAAAATATTGTCGATACACTTCAAACTTGTTATACCTAAAGGCCAATAAAAGCAACAAAAAAAACTTACTAGTCTTCCCGCTAGCATCCAGTCCAAGCATTAATATCCGAACTTCCTTCTTACCAAAAATCTTGGACAAAGCTTTGCCCATGACTCACCTGTAAACAAAACGGTATCAACACCTCGATATTACCATAAAAATTTATATAAAACCTTAAATATCACGTTAATTTCGCATTAAGTCAAAATAAAGTAATCTTAAAACAGCATTTGATATGTTTTTAACCTAATCATAAAACGTCAACGTATATTATACATCAAGACACAAGTTATAATCAAAACTCTACAACAACATCAAGTTTTATCCCTTCTTGCTTTTCCTTTAATAAAAAATTTCAAAAAACTTAAGGTTAATATATCCAATGCTAAGATGTAGCTAAAAATAACTGTTTCACAACTTTCTCACACCTCATCATGTCTGACTCGTCCACTTGAAGCGAATTTCTCAAAAAGAAAACAAACGATCCAGCATGAAACAATATAAAAAGCAATAAAACCAAAAGAAAACTTAAAATAACATAAAACTCTTCCAAAAACATATAAAAGGCCAATTAAAGGTCAATTTGTATTTTTCGACTTCCGAAATTTGCAAAAAAATAAAAAATAAATAAATTTTTGCGCACTTTGATTGATTTTCAGGGAATTCCGTGGCGGGACCCAGAAAAATAAAAGAAAATGTGCGAAAATTTTCTGTTTCTTAGTTTTTGAACACGTTTTCTAGATTTACTTTGTAAAAATCGTATTTTATACCAATGGTAAGTTATTTAGTAGTTTATTTTCTTTGTTAAAATTGCTTTTTATAGTTATTGTCGGGTGCAGAGCAGTTTTATGGATAATGTGTTTGATAAAAGCTTTTTTTGAATTTGAAAACATTTAGAAAATGTTGTAATTCATGAATATTTTCAGGCTGCCATTGCTTCGATTGTAGAAACCAATCACCGAGATGTAGTTGTAAGTTGTTTTTTATTTGTTTTTTGGGTTTTAGGTAACAAAAATGATGTTACTCTTAATGTCTATATTTAATGTGTTTAGCACGACGCAGAGATGAATTTTTGTGGAAGTAGGCTGGCGACATGTGCGAGCGATCACATAATCAAAGTTTTCGAAGTAAAACCGACCGGGCAGACACATACGATGGCCGAATTGAGTGGACATGAAGGTCCAGTATGGCAAGTCAGTTGGTCGTACCCATTTTCGGACAAAGGAGAATATCTGGCTTCTTGCTCGCATGACAGGTAGGACTTATAGGCTTGTTATACCTTATTCTTTACTTAATTTGAAGTTCCAACAACATTTTATTTTAGGAAAGTGTTCATCTGGAAAGAAGTAGCTAATAAATGGACTCGAATCTACGAATATACTCAACACGAAGCCAGTATCAATTCCGTAGCATGGGCTCCACATAATTACGGTCTAATCTTTGCTTGTGGTTCTACAGATTGTACGATTTCGATTGTCACGAATTACGACGACATTTGGAAGCCTGCTAAAATCTTCAATGCTCATGAACAAGGTGTAAATGCGGTTTCATGGGCTCCAGCCAAAGGAAGTCGAACTGTTATCAATGTTAATGAGATTATCATGCCGAAAAGAGTTGTGTCTGGAGGGAACGACAAAATGGTCAAGGTTTGGAGGTGAGTTTTGGGGTTTTTAGTTCAAAAATTTGGGATTTTATGTTGTAGTAGAGGTAAGTCAACTAAAAGCATTAGATCTGAAGTAAAAGCATTGTTTTATTGAAGGTAGTAATATTTTGAATAGAATGACTAGTTTGTAAATTATTTTCATGTGTGTCAAGTGGCATTTTAGTTAGAGTTTTCTGTTTTTTAGAAAAATTTCATTAATTTTTGGTGTTACATAATAAAATATGAAAAAATATTTTCAGAGAAGTGTCAGAGGACAAGTGGGAGCTTGATACGGAACTGGCCGGTCACACTGATTGGGTACGAGACGTGGCGTGGGCTCCAGTGGAATCACATAATCATTTTACTATTGCATCATGTGGATCTGTAAGCTATTTATTCTAGTTTTGTATTGTCTTGTACTTCATAAGATTCGATATATTTTAAGTACTGGTTTTTACAAAAATTAACAAAAAAACTCTAATTTTTCATTTTCAGGACGGAATGGTCATTATCTGGCGAACTGACAACATAGGAGCCAAAACATGGAAACGAACGGTCCTATGCAACGTAGAAGCGCCAGTTTATAATGTCAGTTGGAATTCGAACGGTACAGTATTGGCTGTCGCCTTCTCCGACAATCGTGTCGCATTATACCAAGAACGGACACAAAACAACTGGGTAGCCATCACTGAAACCGGCATGGAAAACTAAAGGAATTGTTGTTAATTTATATTTAAAAATTTAATCTTTGTATAAAAATACACTAAAGTTGTACGGTGTCTTAGTATAATTTTTAGTTTAATTTATTGCACACTCAGTTTAAGAATGCTTTATGCGAGACGATATGTTTAACCTTGTTCTAACACTATGAGAACTGTAGATTTAGGTTTTAGCTGTTTTACGATAGGCATTGCTAAATAGTTTTGAGAAGTTGCTGTGTGCGACTGTATTGTCAGAGGGAGAGTTTTTCATTCTCAACATGTCCGGAGAAAGCTTCCCATGGTGTTAAAGACTGTGCTTTACTAACAGCACACTCGAATGAGAAATACTGAAAATCAAGATACTGCAAAAACTAAATAAAACAAAGGTTATTCGGACGTTTTTGTTATATGTATTTAGCGTTTTATACTTTTTGTGTCAGAGGGACACTCGACAAAGAAGCGAAAAACTCGACACCTATCAGCTTTGTTATTTATTTCTTATGACAAAATCGTAATTACATATTTGTGTTAAATAATACCGAGTGACCTTTTGTAGAGCTTTGTGTTGTAAAGTATGGAAAAGATGTAGATGTAAAGAAGATGGTAATGGTCAAAATGAAAACGGCAGTGCATCACCCGAGACACAAGCCTCAAACTCAATGTTGAACCGGGCAATGGGCGAAACACAAATTAGAAGAAGTTTGGAGCCAAAAGGCCAAATTGAAGAAGGGAAGGTAAGGAGTTTGTGACGCTTTTAAAAAAATGGCAAGGACTTTCTTTACTATAAGAAAAATACCAAAAACTTTCATTACAATTTGAAAAATGGTAAGAACTTTCTTTACAAAACCAAAAATGGCAAGAACTTTTTTTACAAAGCAAAGATTGGCAATAACTTTTTTTACAAGACAAAAAATCTCGAAAATTTTAGAAATATTTATATTTTTTAATAGTTGATCAAACCTTTCAGAACGAACTCCTAAACTGGCGTCATTTCTCCATCAATGAATCCACGACCCCTGCCATTCAATCCTTGACCGGCTTCTCGGAAACCACGCTCGACTCTGTGTCGTTTATAATGGTAAAAGAGCCAGAATCAACCGAAAAGCATGCTGATATCACTTTGTTTTAACAGTTATTCACCCATTTTAATATGGTTTTGTTGATCTAACTGATAAATTTGTAAAGATGTACATTAATATCACGGTTAGTCATATTAGCCTTACAGAGGGGTTAAGATGGGCGTATGAGTAGGGTAAGGTAATGCAGGACAGAGAAGGGTAGAGAGGAATAGGGTTGTGTAAGGTAGGGTGTGAGTAGGATAATAGTTTTAGCCCTAACTCTAGTGATAGTCTTGTCTTAGTCCTAGCCTTAAGTTTAGCCTCAGCTCTAGCCCTAGCTTTTGCTCTAGGCCTAGCCTTAGCTTTAGCTTTAATTTTAGTCCAAGCCTAGGTCTAGCCATACTTCTAATTTCTTTAGCCTTACAAGGAAAGGTCCCCACCGCGCATTGGACTGGTGAAAAACTGGTACATACAAGTTGTAGAGCATGGTCAACTTAGCCAAAAACCGAAAAAAAAATTTACCGCTTGTTAGTCATAGCTCTAGCTCTTTCCCTAGCCTGATATCTAGCTCTAGCACTAATGATAACTATAAAAATTTAAACCTTTTCTTCACATAGTCAACTTTTCTCAATACCTCTATAGTTTATATAGTTTTCTCGATTTATTTAGCGTTTACTTTTTTCAAAACTTTCTTATAACAGAGGGACACTCGACACAGAAACGAAACATTTGACACTTATCAGCTTTTTTATTTCTTTTCTGTGACAAAATCACACTTATATATAGGTGTTAAATAATATAAAGTGACTTTTTTGTAGAGGCTTGTGTTGTAAAGTATGGAAAAGATTGGCAAATTAAATCAAGATGTAAGTAAACTTATTATTTTATAAGGCCTGGCAAAAGTTTGTTTTTCAGGGTAGAATAAGGTAGAGTGGGGTAGGATAGGGTTGGGTAGATTAATGTAGGGTAGGGGAATATAATTACAATTTTAGGCTAAAATATTATGGCTTTTTAATTTACAGATTTGGGATATTATCATCAAGCACAGTGAACTGACATCAGTAACAAATTTGGCTAGAGCTGGTCGTCGTTTTAACAACTATGTTGGCTTGGATTTCCATAAGTTGTGTGTGGTAAACCACATTTTTCGTCTTCCCGGAGAATCGTGGGCCGACGCTTTCGCCGAGTAGGTTTCTACTTAAAACAACATGCGGGTGGGATAATATTTTAAGGACAGGGTAGGGTGACAAAACGATAGGTATCAATATAAAAGGCTATATTACAGTATGTTGAGTGATACAGTAGAATAATATCAAGTTATTTTAAACGTTACAGTAGAATAGATTTAGGTTAATATACAGCAGGATAAGGAGAGCAAAGCTAGGTGTAAGACTAAGCATTAAATGGCGGGATAAGGTATGTTTGGACAAAGCAAAACTAACACAAGGGTAGGGAAAAATAACGAAAAAGAAGGGTAGGGTAAAGTATAATAGAGTAAGATAATGTAGGGGAGAGTAGTAGAGTAGATTAGGGTATCTTAGGTTAAGACAGGGCAATGCAGGTATGCATTTTCAAATATGATGTTTGATAGTCAAATTTCAGTGCTCATCGCCGCTTATGGATAGTCGCGGAGTCATTTACAGATGAAGTTTTATACTTAAGAAGGATGGTCAGCATCGACTTTAAAAGCAATAGTCACTTGGTTGTGTTTTCATATAACTCTACTGTAATTGTTTGTAGTTTGGATTTTTCGAGCACTTTTGTCAAAGTTTTCAGGTTTGAGAAAAATGTCAATGGGATTGATATTTCTACAGATCAAAAATACATTATTATTAATGTAAGTTATTATCTATGCCTTTTAACTCAAGGACGTCGATATAAATTTTTTATTAGGGATGGTAATGCTAAACTTTTTATTTTGGCTTATAGAAACCTGGTCCTATTTTTGTATGTTTTCATTTTTTTACCAGTGGAAGTTTCATTTCGGATCAGCTCTGGCGGGGGAGGGTTGAATCCAGCCCTATTCACTCTATCCCCTCCCCCCCTAGCGCTCTTCCTGTTTTAACTGTAATCTAACTATACTGCTCATAGTACTAAATGCTCTCTTTTAGGTTTGGTTTAATGATACATATGTATATGAGTTGGCAACAGGAAGGCCTCTCTTTACTCAAGCACGAAAAAGAATGACATTTAATTCAAGTGTTTTCAAATATCACACTTTTGAGAACATAGTGGAAGAAGTGTTAAGCACAAAAACCACTTTTATGGATAATATGCGAGAACTTGAACATACAACTGAGCATTATTGTGCTCGTGTGGTACAGGACAAGCTGCTTGTTTACGACGTGTCCAAGGGAGTACAGTACGAACTGCCATTGAATCCAAGTTTTGGCAAAGTTCGTTCTGTGCTTTTTTTTGGTTCGCTCCAATTGTGTTTTGATTAGTTATGTTGGCGAAAATAGGCGGTGGCCGTGTCAAGTTTATCATATTTTAACTGGTAGACTGATGTTGCAAGATCCTGAAAGTGTTTATGATATTTTGTCACCATTCCTCCTTAGATGTTGTCGTGGAAATGTGGGTTAAAATTACAATTTAAATTTTTTAAAACCTGTTGTAAAAAGGTGAAACATAACTTATCCTACTTTATTCTACCCTACCCTGTTCTGCTCCACCCTACCTCAGTTTACTCTGTTCTCCCTGTCTTTCCCTACTCAACAATAAAAAATAATTTTAAAAAATTTTTGATACCTAAACTAAGAAATACCAAACGTTGCAAAATCTCCCCCTTTTAAGCGTAGAGAAGGGTAGGGTAAGGTACGTTAAGGTAGGGTAGAACAGAGTAACTCAGGTTAAGTTAACTTAAAGTGTTAAGTTAGAGTACGTTAAAATAGAGTATAAAAGTAACGTGAATTTTTAGGTTTACAAATTGGATCCTTTTAGTGGAATATGGAATCGCGCCGCTTCTTCTGTCCAAAGGCCTCGTTGTACTTTACCAAAAGACATTGCTCCAAACTTCATAGTCTACGAAGCATCTGTTGTCGCTAAAGCTGATTTAAAACGGGCTAGAAAGGTTGTTAGCACGTCGCAGAACGTTGGTATTAATCAAGGGAAGGAAAAACGACCTTTGTATAATAAAAACACGAAAATCTACGTTGATAAACAAGAAGGATTGGCAACTAACGACGGTGAACAACAAAGTTTAGTGTTAACAGAAAGAGACAATCGTGATTCGTATCCAGATGAAAAACAAGATCGCTGGATAACATATAAATGTTCTTTTTCGGAAGAAAAATCAAGAAGTAAGTGGAAGTGGCAGGTTGGGGCAGGGTAGAGTAAGATATGGTAAGATAGGGATGAGTAACAGGCCGGGCTCACTTTTTAAACCGGGTAGCCTAACATCCAAGTCCAGCCCGTTTTGACTTTAGTTCAGGGTTGGGTTAGACTCAATCGTGGGGCCGGGTAGGGTAAGGCAGGGCAGTGCAGGGTAAGAAGAGTGAAGTTAGGGTGAAATATAGAGCAGGGCCGAGCAAGACAGTACAATAATAGGGCAGGGTACAGAAGGACATGGGTAAAGCAAAGGTAGGGTAGGGTAGAATAAGGTAGGGTAGGGTCAAGTAAGATAGGTAGGGTACGTAAAACTTGCCATTATTTTTTTTTAGACAAAATTACAGTACGCAATTATACAACAATATGTCGAGAAAAACACCCCTTAGTGGAGCTTAGCCATTTATTAATTTTCCAAGACAGAAAGTACTATGGAGAGGGTGCTGCTGAATACTTCAAACCACTCATCCACAATTGGTGTCAGATCGAAAAACGCAGAAGTTGTAATTAGTTACTGTAATTTGTTAAATTATTATTTTGTTGTAAAACTCTTGAAATAAACATAGTAGCCGTTGCTTTAGTTTTAGCCTTTTTTCAGTTTAGTCTTAGGCCTATAACCCTAGCCTTCGACCCACCTTTAGCTTCTAGCTTTTGCTCTAGCTCCAGGCTTAGGCTCAGCTGTAGCTTTAGCGAAGCCTTAGTTCTAGCCATACTTCTAATTTTAGTTATAGTCCTAGCCATAGCTCTAGCCCTTAATCTAGCCGCAGATCTAGCACTAATACTAACTTTAAAAATTTTAAACTTTATCTTCACGTAGACAACTTTTCTCAGTATACCCTTCCTATATATACTAGTCCCTATATAGTCCACTCTTCACCAAAACAACCAGACAATATTGTTATTATTAATCTTTATTCTTTGTAACAAGGTAAATGGGCAGGAAACACTTAATGAACAATAAGAGACACCCGACACTGCACACACGTTGTTCTTTGGTTTCGAATTCAGAGATTACTTCAGAGAGAGAGAGAGATTCCGAATGTAAGGCCACATAGAGCTGGAACTGACACTTAGTATAGCTTTAGTGGTAAGAGATTTAGTACCGACATTAGGTTTAGAGATGGTTTCGTACTGATAATTACTGATAAAGTAATCTTGTACTGACAATTAATGATAAAGAAGCGTCGTACTAAGATATCCTACCATAACATAACATACTACATATACCATACTGTATCATATCATATCTTACCTTATCCAATCTTATACAACACTACTGTGTACTACCCATAAGTAGGGTAGAGTAGGTAAATAAAGCAAGATAAATGATATAATATAGTCAGGTAGAGAGAGTATGGCATGTTATATATGTTAGGGCATCGTAGGATTTGGTATAGTAGATAGGACAGCATATAGAATGGTAGGGTATTGTAGGGTTTGGTATGTTTTGTTTTGTAAGATGAGTATGATATAATAAGTAGCATAGGACATGGTACAGTACAGTATGGTATAGTAGAGTAGGGTAATAAAGTCAAGGGTAGGGTCTAGTAAAGCTAAACAGGTCAAAGGTAGACTTGGATAAAGCTAAAGAGGTCAGAGGTAAGGTTGAGTAGGTCTAAAAAGGTCAGGGGTAAGGCCGGGAAGAGCTAAAAGGGTCAGGGGTGAGGTCGGATAGGGCGAAAAGGGTCAGGGATGAGGCCGGATAGATATAAAGCAGTTTATTTCACTTGTTATTAGCTTTATAAACTTAATTTACAAATGCCCTGTAAAACCCTGTAAAGCCCTGTAAATGCCATCGGGTCTTTTCGAGACAACTTTGCAATCACCTTATCCTGATATTTGGTCGATTTTCTTGTTCTTCCGTTGTTTAAAAAGCTTTATGGATGCTATTCTTCTTATGACGCTTCCAAATTAAAGAAAATGTAATTTTGTTTATCGAAAAATCTTCTGCGATGTTGTACATAAGGTCGCCTTGTTCGATGCCTTGAAAGATCACCTTCTTGACTTTTAAACTCAACTATTTTAGTTATTTTCCATTCATTCCTAACTAAAACAATATGTAATAACTAGAAAAGCTTAAATCTTACCTTTTTAATGATGTTTGGGATAGGATTCAGAAAAGTTCACTATTTTTTGTCCACCCTTAATTTTTTGTTTCTATATATTGAGTCACGATGACATATTTTAAGTAATTTGTCATTTGGTTATGATAGTAGGTTCAGCAGCTACCAAAACAAACTTTGTTTCATAAGAATCGGATAACTACGACAAAAGTTATGTAGAAAATAAAAAAGTTCACTATTTTTTGACAACGGCTGTAAGTCTTTTGTACTACACATAAGGAAAAACAACCCCAGCTTTAACTATACCTTATTTCGAGACTGCCCTTTGGCTAAATCTAATACTGTCAGAGACCTCGGTGTCTTACTTAACAGTAAGCTTACTTTTAAGGACCACATCTATCACATCGTATCTAGTGCTAAAAAGCGTATCCTCCTCCTATTCAGAAACCTAAAAACCAAAAACTCAAAAGTCCTATGCAGAGCATACACAACCTATATTCGTCCACTAGTCGAGTACAATTCCCCACTCTTTAATCCTTATTTTAAAAAACACATTGAAGCCCTAGAATCCGTTCAACGCCTAGCAACAAAGATTATTTTTTATAGTTGCTTTCCTAACGCAACTAACACAACTTATCCTGAACGCTTAGAAAAACTAAAGATAAAAACGCTTGAATCCCGCCGCAAACTCTTAGATCTAAAAACAATTCAGTCCATATTACTCAACAAAATGATTGTACTCCCGTCACATAAACCAGTAATCAGAGAATCGAGGATAAGAAGGGGAGCTTCTTACGTTGTTCCCTACGCCCGAACAAGTATTAGAGCCCATTCCTTCTTTCCTCGCGCTCTTCGTCTACTTAGGGATCAAGTTTAGCTTATGCTCATCACTTTAACTGCAATTACTACTCTCCTTCCTACTACAGTTTCATATTCTTTTATTTTACTTTGATAGAAAAAGGTTAATAAACTGTATTGGTTACGAGTTAATATGGAAAATAAATAAATAACTGATACACAAATGTTGTACTGACAACTACAGATAAATTAATCTTGTACTGAGTTATAGCTTTAGAAAACAGAGATAATACAGTACTGCTATATTCAAGCAGGCACAATAATATCATACAAAGGAAGAAATGATGGTTACGCTGAGATAATGACAGTTTAAGTTCAAAAAGGTACTATAACTTTAAGTAGTGGTAGGGTAGGGTAGAGCAGGATAGAATAAGGTAGGGTAGGGTAGAATATGGTAGGGTACGTAAAACTCGCAATTTTTTTAGAAAAGATTACCGTACGTAACTACACCACGAAAAAACACCCCTTAGTGGAGCTTAGCCATCTATTAATTTTCCAGGACAGAAAGTACTATGGAGAGGGTGCTGCTGAATACTTCAAACCACTCATCCACGATTGGTGTCAAATCGAAAAACGCAGAAGTTGTAATTAGTTACTGTAATTTGTTAAAACTATTATTTTCTCGTATTATAAAACTCTTGAAATAAACACAGTAGCCGTTTCTTTAGTTTTAGCCTTTTTTCAGTTTAGACAGGCCTATAACCCTATCCTTAGCCTCACAATTAAAAAAATTGTCAGCTCTAGCCCTAGCTTTTGCTCTAGCTTCAGGCCTAGTTTTAGCTCCAGATTTAACCTTTATTTTAGCTTTTGCCTTAACTCTAGTCCAAGCCTTAGGTGTGGTCATTCTTCTAATTTTAGTTATAGTCCTAGCTATAGCCCTTAATCCGATAGCCTCAGATCTAGCTCTAGAACTAATACTAACTTTAAAAATTTTAAACTTTATCTTCACTTATACAACTTTTCTCAGTATCCCCTTCCAATATATACTAGTCCCTCTATAGTCCACTCTTTACCAAAACAACCAGACAATATTATTATTATTAATCTTTATTCTTTGTAACAAGGTAAATGGGCAGGAAACAGTTAATGAACAATAAGAGACACCCGACACTGTACACACGTTGTTCTTTGGTTTAGGATACAGAGATTACTTTAGAGAGAGAGAGATTCCGAATGTAAGGCCACATAGAGCTGGAACTGACACTTAGTATAGCTTTAGTGATAAGAGATTTAGTACCGACATTAGGTTTAGAGATGGCTTCGTACCGACAATTACTGATAAAGTAATCTTGTACTGACAATTAATGATAAAGAAGCGTCGTACTAAGATAATACAGTACTGACATATAGCTTTAGTGATAAGAGATTTCGCACTGAGGATACAACAAGTGAATAATGGATATTCAAATAGGCACAATGATATCATACAAAGGAAGAAATGATAGTTACGCTGAGATAATGACAGTTTAAGTTCAAAAAGGTACTATAACTTGACAGTGTACCATAAGGTACTACAACATGATACTATAACATAAGGTACTATAACTTGACAGTATAATAACTCATACCTTAAGATAAATTTATTTGTCAAAAAGAGCATTTTAAAGCCCCAAACTAAACTGCAAAAAGTCTTGTCGCCAATTTACAATGACTCGCATATAAAAAACGCCAAAACTTTTAACAGCCAAATAGAGGAAGATTTTAGGTAAAAAAGTACATTTAAAACGAAAAGTAAGGTCGTTGAGACAATGAGATGCAGAGAAATGTCAGTTTTAAAGGCATCAACAAAGATATTTTACATTAGAGTAGAATTTATTGAGTAAAAAGCATCTGAACCCACAGAGATCCTAACAATAGAGATGCAACTAGAACAACTAAAGACAGTAATTTGTAACAGATAGTAGGCAATGGTACACTCTATAGTACTGATAGTAGTAGAACTTCAAAACCATTGAGTGCCACGTACTATAAAGACCAAAGAACCATGTGCTGAAGAGAATACAAGATATGGTACAAATTTTAATGACTATGGGGGTGAACCTTGGCGATTCGGGCGACTTCAGCTGTGAGCAGGGCCATTTGGCGGTCGACAAATGTTCCCAACATGTTCACGCCCACTTGAAGAGCCGGCGTTCCAAAGCCATGCGTGAGCATCGAGTATGTTGATAGAGGATCTTGAATATTCGACGGTAACACTGGTTCTGGCTTCTAAAATGCAAAAAATAAGTAAATTTATATTATTTATTTAGCTGCACCGTGCAGTCAATTATTTTTTTGCACAGTGCAAAACTTTTTATTTAATGCACTGTGCAATTTCTCTGTAATTTTAGGTAACAAATACTTTTTAAAAAATTTAGAAAGAGTTGATAAAATACTGCTAAAACTAATTTTAACCTATTTGCTTTAAAATTAGAAACGAAAAAATTTTTGAAAAATGATTGCAACCAAAAAATGTGTGCACTGTGCAATCTTTAAAACTTCTTTTCTAAAATATTCAAAAAATAAAAAATCAAACTCACCAAATCCTTTATCTCCGACCGATCCATCTGTAACAATCCAATAAACTCGCCAACCACCTTCTTGGTTATGTTGAGCTCCAACGCCCTCATCTTCAAGGCGTCCATGTTGTTGCAATACTGTGCAAACTGGTGATCGACAAATTCCTGGATAGGGAACTTATCGTCACTAACCTTGGCAAAATCGTGGACCAATTGCTCTGCCTCTGCTTCAGTAAGGGCTGACATAAGGGATACCGTGACGTTCCGTCTTCGGCCTCGGGGTATCGACAGTCCAACCTTCTGAAGATCATCGAATAGGGCCTGTGACTTCTCAGGCATCTTCGCACGTCGTAGCAAGGCCCCCAGCAGCGAAAAGTTGAAGCACTCCGGGCCGAGGACTCGTCGACGTACTTCCGCAACTGTCATCTACAATAATATTAAAAATTAGTAACAAATAAACAAAAAAAAATCAAAAATTAAAGTCAAAAAGTGATGTAAAAACCGACTTTTACAATCAAATTACAAAAAATGACAAGCAATAAATTTGTGACACTTCGTCAAAAAACCAATAATTTTTGTGACATTTCGTCAAGTTATTCAAAAAACCCATTTTTATGTTAAAAATCAAACAAAAAACTAAAACCAACCTTGTGCTTCGTGACGTTGCTCAGTAGTGAAAGTCGGCCAGGCACTTCGGAGAATATATCATCATGAGCCACCTCTCGAGCTTTTGGCAACTCAAACATTGACGCATTAGTGAAGCTTGTTGATAAAGCCTGAGAACCAAACACTTCTGGCTTCACTTCCGTTTCCTCCGAACTGTTCTGATTGCCGAACAGTGATCTGAATAAGCTTCCGTCCTCTAGGCTTGATCTGACGTCTTCTGATTTGACCTCGTGCTTTGAACCTGACGATGATGTAGTTTCTGTATCGTCCTCGCGGGCACCGGCTCGGTTGAACAATTCTGACCAATTTTCCTTTTGAGTACCATCGGTTTCGTTCTGAAATGAAACAATTTTCAAAGTTTAGATAACAAAAATATTTTAAAAAATAGAAAATTGTATTTTAGGTAACAAAGATATATAAAAATTCATTTTAGGTACAAATAATACTACTTTAGATCCCAACCATAAATAAAAATAAATTTTAGGTAACAACTTTCTTTACAAACCAAAAAAATCGCAAGAACTTTCTTTACAAACCGAAAAAATCGCAAGAACTTTCTTTCCAAAACAAAAAATACAAAAACTTTCTTTCCAAAACAAAAAATCTGCCCTTTATACCAAAAATTCAAAATCAAAACCTACATTATCCTTCTTAAGCTCCAATCTTCTCTTCTTGTTATTCAAAAGCTCCATAATGGCGGCTGGTCGCTTCCTGTCTCCTTGATCACCTTCCTTTGGCAGTTCCAGATCATTTCCAACATCCAATGGACTGACTGGACCACTTCTCGTATCAGCTGGACTAGTGGAAGAAGTGTGAACACCTTCATCAATAGAAGTCGTCGATGAAAGTGGCTGGAATTGATGAATCGACTGGTCGATGGCTACATTCAATGATCCGAGAGGCTGAGAGCTTGATCCGGCCTGTTGATTGTTCTGAATTGAATTGTTGTTGGCTTCTTGATAAGTTTGGGCGGCGGCGAAGGTCTGGGCATCTGGAGAGAAGCGTTGGGCATCTGGGAACATGTTTTGGGCCTCTTGTTTGATGTTGTTCATGGTCTGAAGGTGATTGTAGTCGACTGGTGGTTGATTTTCCTTGATCACATTCTTTCGCTTGGTTTCTTTGCTTCGGGCAGGGATGTTTCTTGGTGAATTTTGTCCAAATTTAGCGTTCTGACCAAAGGCTGGAGCTTGATAGCTAGAAGTCTGTCCATTTTTGCCATAATCGTTCGGTCCCAAAGCACCATTCGAACCATTCTGGCCAAAGTCTCCCAAATTCTGGCCCAGGTTACCAAGTTGACCACCGTTCTGTGCCATCGCCTTCAGCAGTTGACATCCCATTGGGCTCTGGAGAATCTGCATCAACGGGTTAGCATTGTTATTGTACATCGGTTGCTGTTGTTGCTGCTGTTGTTGTTGTAGCAGCTGAGCAAGTTGGAGTTGTGGCGACATTCCATTCATTAAGAGTTGCTTTAAGTCCGCAGAACCGTTGTTATCCATTGTTATGAGTCGATTTAGACTGAAAAAGCAAGAGAATTAGAGATTTTAGGTAACAAAATATAAAATTGAACGCGCGAAGTTTAAAATTGTTAAAATAAGTAACAAAAACAATTCATATTGATGCCTAAACAATAAAAAGTTCAAAAATAACATCAAATCTCCAAAAAATTGAGTTAGATACCTAAAAGTTAAAACACTCTTAAAAAAGTACCAACTGCCCCAAAAGGTCAAACCCAATAATAAAAACAAATCAAACTTCATATAACGCCATCACAATATCCAAAAACATAATATTTCTAAAAATTCCTTGAAAAATCTCAAAAATAGGTAACAAACAACCTAAAACAATATAAAACAACAAGAACCCAACCAAAATACCCAACAGCGAGTGGACCCGAAGCGAACACGTCTATCGAAAAAAAAAGGCCATGAGCAAATGAATCGGAGAAAAAACAAAACATTATGCAAATTTCTCTGCGGTTCCCAAAAAAACGCGACAAAAAACGAAAAAATCGGTAGAAAGATGCTTTCAGCGTCGAATATAGGTTCAACAACAGTAAATGATCAAGGTTTAAAGTTCTGTGCCTTGAAGCAGTTTTTGGAAAGCCTCGCGGACATAAAAGTGCAAAACCAGAGGCAAAACAGTCGATTTTTTTTCCGAAGAACGCAAAGTTCACGTTTTTTTCATAACGCACAGCGGTAATGCATAAAAATTAACGTTTTTTGACAACACGCCAAATTTACGTTTTTTCCATAAAATTCGGCGTAAATGTATAAAAGTTGACGTTTTTGACCATAATCCAGCGGATTCAGGCTTTTTCCATAATGCGCAGCGGTAATGCATAATATTTTACGTTTTGTGTCCATAAATGTCTGGATTTACGTTTTTTCCATAAAATATGGGTTAAATGCATAATATTCAACGTTTTTCGTCGATAATAAAGGTTTTCTTTGACTTTTTTTAAAAATAAAGTAAAGGAGTAATAAAAAAGGTAAAATACAATATTCTAGTGTATTATTTATCACTAAGCTATATTTTTAAAAAAATTGATTGGAAGTTTATGAAATAATGGTTTTACACCAAAAACACCACCCTAAAAGCTGTTTTATTAGTTTTACCCCTGCTCACTATCAAGGCCTAAGTTTTAGCTCTTCTCACTACAAAAGCCTAAGTTTTATCCCTTCTCACATCCAAATATCAGGTTTTTACATTCTCTCACAACCAAAACCCAAGTTCACCCCCTCCCAGAATCAAAAACCGACATTTTACCCCCTCCCACCATCAAACCCAAAAAAATTAATTAGAGATGTGCATGTTTTTTTGCATATACCCCTCCTCTGCTCGATCTCCTTTGGCATAACGCGGCGAACGACCTTCGCGTCTTCCGGAACGGGCGCAGTTGTTTTCAAGGCCACGAACAAAAATGAAAAAAAAAAACGAAAAGAAATGCGGGAAATTACACGGCTGCTCTGCAGGGCTAATAAAGGGGCTCGCGGGGGTACGGTAGCAAGGGGATACACATAGCTCAAAAAAAATTTTTATGAAAAGTGACAAAAAATTTAAAAAAAGGAAAAAAATTTAAAAAAATGACAAAAAATTTTTAAAAATGGCAAAAATGACCAAAGCAGGGTAAAAATCAAAAAAATTTTTTTATCATATGATCGTAAAATCAGGGTTTTTTTTGGGCTTTGACATAGTTTTATTGTCTTATAATTTGCCGTCCAGACCTCTATACTACAAAGCCTACAACCTAGTGCTAAAAACTTAATGCACGGTGCAGACAAAACAAAAATAAAACAAAATAGCAATAACTTTCTTTACAAAAATGAAAATCACAAAAATTTAGTTTACAAAGCAAGAAATGGCAAGAACTTTGTTTACAAACCAGAAAAAGGCAAGAACTTTGTTTACAAAGCAAGAAATGGCAAGAACTTTCTTTACAAAGCAAAAAAAGGCAAGAACTTTGTTTACGAATCAAAAGGTAGCAAGAACTTTCTTTACAAATAAAAAAAATGACAAGGACTTTCTTTACAAAATAAAAAGTAGCAAGAACTTTGTTTACAAAACAAAAAATGGCAAGAACTTTCGTTTCTTAAGCCTTCTAGTACAATCACCTCTAAACAACCCTCTCCCATATAAAGCGACATCTTTTGACTAAAACAAGTCAAACAAATTCCCAAACCCTCGATACCTAGAAGAGTTGGAAGGACGCGATCAGCCCGCTATTACGCCTGCGCGATGCCATAAGGCCTGGCGGGACTCTGCCCAAATGCCCGATGGTTGCTGCTGCATAATGTTTTTTGTGGCACCGCCCCTCCCCTCGCTTCTTTGGCATTTCGCCTCCTCCGGCAACGCACACACACACACACTGCCGCGTTTTTTGGCATACCCTCAACGCAGGCGATCTGTCCCCCTGCCCTGTGTAGCGATTTGTCCCCTTCTCTGCTGTAGGTAGCGAGTTTTTCCCCAGTCGCCCTTTCCCGATAGCCTTACGAAGCAATTTGGTCCCCATACCTATATAGAAATAGGAATGTTTAGGCAAATAATTAAAGGTAGAAACCTATACGTTAGATAACATACCTTATACAGTGATTTTTAACCCCCATGCCTCAGCTCTGTATTGAAATTTTTACCTTTGCCCCTCCCAATGACTTTGGCAAAAATTTTTTTTATTTTTACCATACCCTAGACAAATTAATTATTTTTGACCCCTTCCTGAGCTCGAGACTAAAGTGCTTTGCTTTGTTCAAGCCATTGATAATTTTATTTTCACCCATCCCCCCCATATTTTAAGCAAAACATTTTTTTTTATCTTTCCATGCCCCAAGAAGTTTTAAAACATTTTTTACCCCACCCAGTGCTTAAATTTCCACACCCCGACCCATACTGCAGAAACATTTTTTGCCTGTGCCCGCCGATCGCCGCAATCTCTTCGGAACCTCAAGCCAGCTTTCACCCCTTCTCTACCCCCACTCTGCGGAGGTCTCGCAGGCCCTTTGGTTACCCTTTGTGTGTGTGTTTTTTGCCAAAACCACAAAAAATATGCATATTCTAGAGGGGCGGTACACGGCTATTTTGTTAGATGTGTTCGAATATATAAAGGGTATAGTATAATATTATATTTAGAATGAAAAAATTTTAGAGGTAGGTCGAGGCTAGAAAATATGAAAATCAAAAATTATCAGGTTGTCCGCTTATAAATGAGCCAAAAGTTTCAAAGTTGGACGCTTCAAACGCTCATCCATAAGCGGACTACCTGATATGTTTTGGCATATCTTTTGTCATAAAATTGACAAGAAAATTGAAATTTTCAGAAAATGTAGACTATTTACATTGTCATCCAAACATGATAAAAAGATTTTCAAAAATTTTTAATTTCAAATGTTACAGTAGTTTTATCGTACATCACATCCTATCTTACCTGATCATAATCTACATTTACTTTACTCTCACTGTCCCCTAACCTATCCTTACTTTACCCACCCTCACCATGACTTACCCTTACTTTACTCTTACAGTGCCTTACCCTGCCCCTACTCTAATATCACCGTATCTTACCCTATCCTTACTCTACCCTTACCCTACTCTTGCTCTATTCACAACGTACCATACCCTACCTTTACTCTACTCTTACTGTGCCTTACCCTTAGTGTGCCTTACTCTACTCCCATCGTATTCTACCCTACCCGCCCTACTCTACCCTTGCTCTACCCTTACCGTGCCTTATCCTACCTTCACTTTACCCTCACCGTACTCTACCTTACCTTCAAAACCTGTGCTCGCCTTGTCATTGTATGTTTCTTTTGCAGACCCCCCCTGCCCTCCCCTACTTTTAAAAATACTCCAGCACCTTCGTCCCAGAATACACCACTTCCATGCCCGTCCCAGAATCTACCATCTCCACCCCCGTTCCAGAATACACCACCTCCACCCCCACCCGTCCCAGAATACGCAGATCCGAGAGGAGGTGAGAACGATGCGATCGGAACATCGTAACGCCGTCCCCACCAAAAAACCACTGATTCTTATTTGTGGCGACTCTCGGAGTCGCGCCAAAAGGCGAAATGCCGCGATCCAAACAAAAAACAAAGTCAGCGTTCTCCCTTTCAACCGCGTGTCCAAAAAGTGTTTTTCAATGTTCGGCGGGACTGTAGGAATCATTATGAATCCTCGGCTGTGAAAAGCGAGAGCGCAAAGGTTACGGTACGGCGATTTGCATAAGGGAAGGAAAAGTGAATGCCTTTTTTGGAACTAGAGGGGTAGGGAGTTAGAGGTAGACCTGACAGGGGGCCTACTAGGTCCGGCACCTGGCTGGCAGTTTGGCAGAAGAAAAGTTCAAAAAAGTCGGGCCGGGCCCAAACATGTAGATTTGAGGCTAAAATCAATGCCTTCGGGGCCCAAATGAAGGTTCGGCCTATGGGATGGACCGTAGTATTGAGACCAACCCGGCCCCTTCACGGGCCTTGTTGTGACGGTTTTTAAGCCTAAGTACCGTTTTTAAGCCTAAGGACGATTTTTAAGCCTAAGAATAAAATTTCAAGTCTAAAATTAGTTCTTAGGCTGTAATTTGAATTTATAAGCCTAAAGTTGGTATTTTAATCAGTCCATAAATTTTTAAGCCCGAATTAAGTTTCTAACCCTAAAAATTAATTTTAAGCCTAAAATTGCTTCAGTTTAATAAGGTTTTTAAGCCTAAGGGTGAAAGCGAAAGCCTAGAATTAGTGTTTAGGTCATACCGTAAATTTTAAAGCCTATAATTGATTTTAAACCCGGTTTTTAAATTTTTAAGCCTAAAGTCACATTCTATGCTTAGAAAACCAATTTTAATCCAAAACCTATTCCTAAAGCCTAAAAATGCATTTTTAAGCTTAAAAAATTAATTTTAAATTTATTAAAAAATTTTTTAAGCTTAAAAGTTTGCTTAGGCTAAAAACATTTAGTAAGGAATTTTAAGCCTAAAACTTCCACCCACCAAGAAACCATGAAGACCAATATCCCC